TGGTGTGCCTGCCTGAATCTCGAGGATTGAGCATCAGCTTGTTCGCGGCGCCCTTGCTGCTGGTGCGCGGGCTGGGGCGCCGCGCCGCACGCTGGCTCGTCATAAACCACCAACGACAGTTGCAGAAATTGTCGGTACGGCGACGCCATCGCCAGTCACTGAGCCAGAATGTGCGGCCATGCAGCGAGCCACTCGTCTCCAGGACACCCCACGATCACGACTGTAAAATTCGACCTTGGAGCGAGCCAGTCACATGCGCGCAACTCGGTCATTCATCTGCTCCCGGTACGTCGCCAGCCGCAACAAATGGAGGCAACTTTCCCGCAGGTCGGGAGCTTGACGTCCACATCTACGGAATACACGTACCTGTGGAACCCCTTGTTGCTTGTAGCCACGTCCCCCAGGACCCGTGTGGCTCACCTTGCCAAGACTGCGGGCGGTCGCAGCCCCAGTCGAGAGCCAGCTTCCTTCGTCTGCCGCTGGTGTTCGACAGGTGTAGCAGCCAGGGGTGCCAGGATGCTGTTGCTCTCCTCTCACACACCTGCTCAGGTTGGACATTGTTCTACTGCACTTGTATTTAGTCTCGATAAGTATGGGATATGGGGACCCTTTCCTGACATCTGTAGAAATATATGTAGCGTTCCCTTGTACTTTTACAACCTGCATGTGTTATATCCTAGGTATTAGCTAAGGTTGTGGCGGAGATCGTGAGCAATGGTTGTCACCTGGGCAGTTGGGTCTTGGTGTCTACACCATTCATCCATTGCTTCCTTTCATTTTCTCTCCTACCATTGCCTGAAAATAATTTATATACATTGTTTTAAATATTTGAAATGATTAAAATGTTGTCATTATTATTATCATCAATTTGTCAACAAGCACAACCATGTGTGGGTGTGTCCTGTCCAGGGATTGAGCTGGTTTTGGATTGAGAATCGAGAACGTAGACCACTGTGCCTTCGGGACTATGTAGGCACGGCGGCAGGAAGCTGGAAGGCACTAACTGTACCAGCTTTTATAAGGTGGGCGGGCAGGTTTGTGTTGAGTAAAGCGTGCACGGTCAGTGACCCAGGCCATGCCCCCTGCCCTGCCCTGCCCTGCCCTGCCCTGCCCTGCCCTGCCCTGCCCTGCCCTGCCCTGCCCTGCCCTGCCCTGCCCTGCCCTGCCCTGCCCCGCCCCGCCCCGCCCCGCCCCGCCCCGCCCTGCCCTGCCCTACCCTGCCCTGCCCCACCCTGCCCCACCCTGCCCCGCCCCGCCCCACCCTGCCCCGCCCCGCCCCACCCTGCCCCGCCCCGCCCCCGCCCTGCCCCGCCCCGCCATACCCTGCCCCGCCCCGCCCCGCCCGGCCCCGCCCGGCCCCGCCCCGCCCCGCCCGGCCCCGCCCCGCCCGGCCCCGCCCCGCCATACCCCGCCCCGCCATACCCCGCCCCGCCATACCCCGCCCCGCCCCACCACGTGTCTTCGGCAGCGAGAAATGCATAGCGAGTGAGGGAACGGGGAACATGGAAGGGGGGAGGGAGGAGACACGTGGGGGCGCCACGCGGGAACTGAATGGTGATGTGTTGAAAACGTGGCTGTGGAGGTGGTGGTGGGGGAGGTGGACTGATGAACCAGGAGTGACGAACCGCTCGGGTCAAGAGAGTGCTCCTCTTCCATTCGTGTGGCCGGACCTCTGGTATTTCCGGACTCAATCCTTTCCCTCTCCTTTTCGCTCACCTGTTAATAATCCTTCCACTTCCTGCACCCTCCCTCCCTCTCTCCCCTCCCCCCCCCCCCCCTCTCTCTCTCTCTCTCTCTCTCTCTCTCTCTCTCTCTCTCTCTCTCTCTCTCTCTCTCTCTCTCTCTCTCTCTCTCTCTCTCTCTCTCTCTCTCTCTCTCTCTCTCTCTCTCTCTCTCTCTCTCTCTCTCTCTCTCTCTCTCACTCTCACTCACACCTAGTTGTGCTTGCGGGGGTTGAGCTCTGGCTCTTTGTTCCCGTCTATCAACTGGTGTACAAATTCCTGAGCCTACTGGGTTCTTATCATATTTACATTTGAAACTGTGTATGGAGTCAGCCTCCACCACATCACTGCCTAATGCATTCCATCTGTTAATTACTGACACTGAAAAAGTTCTCTCTGACGTCCCTGTGGCTCATTTGAGTACTCAGTTTGAGAACATGTCCATTCATGGTTTCAAATGTAGCTGCGATAGAACTCGAGCTCAGAAATCTGTACACCAGTAAATTGACGGTTGAGAGGCGGGACCAAAGAGCCAGAGCTTAACCCCAACAAGCACAACTACGGTGAGTCCACCCCGCCTCCCAGCCCCTGATACGCCAAAAGCCGTACTCCCAAACGATAGTACCGTCATTACCTATGTGGTCAAAAGCACCAAATATGTAGTAATGTAGTCCGCCAGTAAGCCACTGTTGGGGACGGACTGACTGGCCGCGTGTTGAGGCGCAAGAGATGTTTTCCCGTCTTGATAACTTGTGTCACCAAGCCTTGACCTTTGCTGTATGTTAGGTGTCCATAACATGGCGAGCACCACGGTGTTTGTATGAGAGATGAACATTGGTTTTCACCTTAGCTAAACCCTCGGCTAATTGGCGTATTAATTGAATGAATGCTAGGGGTGAGAGGAGGAGGGGGGAAGGGTCAGACCCGCCGGCCGTTGTGGAAATAGTGTTCAGAATACGGGTGTTGCCAACATCAGATTATGCTTAGATATATAGATATATAGATATATCTTTCTTAGATATATAGAACAACAACTGAGGGTATCTGAATCACTATTGTTGGGGGGTCAAAGTTAATTGCTCGTATGCCCCTGATGAAATGTTAGCTTGACCTGTCTTATATTAGTGGGTTTTTAGGGCTGTTGAATAGGTTAGCCTTGTACGTGGATTTCGCATGAATGAGTCAGAGAGGAATTCTTGGCGGTTGGGTTTAGATGAGTTGGGGGGGGGGAGTACTCGTGGATATAATGTTTATACGGGTTTTTCTTGTTTAATCCCAGGTATTAAACATAATCAAGAGCTTATTTTGTAAAAACCTACGTCTAGCAACCTTAAATCGCATTGCAGAATGGTACTATTACGTTGATGATTGGTTGACTTGAATGTTAGTTGTTCTTGAGGTGGGCGTTTATCGCCTGAAACAAAGATACGACGATACGCAAGATAATTGCATTCATTAACAAAACCCATCACGACTCGTACTCCTTAATTAAGTAGTAATTATAACAACAAGCGCATAATATATATATATATATATATATATATATATATATATATATATATATATATATATATATATATATATATATATATATATATATATATATATAATGTGTGTGTATTTAACATTAGCGGCCATTTGGACAAAGCCAGGGAGATTACGGACGGCTTCCTGTGTGCGTGTGCGCGTGCGCTTGCCTGCACATCCTGCCTGGCCCCACCCCTGGAGCTCTCACCTTCACCTGGGGGGTTGTCCCCCACCACCTGGGGTTGTATCCCCCCACCCCCACCACCTGGGGTAGTCTCCCCCCCCCCCCCCCCCCCTTCACCTGGGAATAATGCTTGCCCTAGGTATTTCCGCGAGGGCGGCGTCATTATTGAGGCATCCCGCTGTCCACCATGACGGGACGACGGGCTCCCAACACCCCCCCCCCTCCCCGGGGGTCACCGTCACCGGGGTTCGAACCCTCATCACGGCCCTTGTGATTTGTTTACCGTCTATTTTGTTTAACTTTGATTATAGCCGGGTTTTTTATGTGCTTGTCGTTTGAATGTCTTCGCCTTATGAGGTATGATGATTATTGTTTACAGTGACCTCGGCTACTCTGTTATTTTGGGAGCGTCTTAAAGTTGGTTATTTTGATTATTTTTTTTAAATGATTAAACTCTAGGTGATTAAAAAGTACGGATTGAGAACCACGCCTCTTACACTCAAGCAAATCCGCCAACAAAAACATTCGAAATCCGCCAACAAAAACATTCGAAATCCGCCAACAAAAACATTCGAAATCCGCCAACAAAAACATTCCAAATCCGCCAACAAAAACATTCGAAATCCGCCAACAAAAACATTCCAAATCCGCCAACAAAAACATTCGAAATCCGCCAACAAAAACATTCGAAATCCGCCAACAAAAACATTCGAAATTCGCCAACAAAAACATTCGAAATCCGCCAACAAAAACATTCGAAATCCGCCAACAAAAACATTCGAAATCCGCCAACAAAAACATTCCAAATCCGCCAACAAAAACATTCGAAATCCGCCAACAAAAACATTCGAAATTCGCCAACAAAAACATTCGAAATCCGCCAACAAAAACATTCGAAATCCGCCAACAAAAACATTCGAAATCCGCCAACAAAAACATTCGAAATCCGCCAACAAAAACATTCGAAATCCGCCAACAAAAACATTCGAAATCCGCCAACAAAAACATTCGAAATCCGCCAACAAAAACATTCGAAATCCGCCAACAAAAACATTCGAAATCCGCCAACAAAAACATTCGAAATCCGCCAACAAAAACATTCGAAATCCGCCAACAAAAACATTCGAAATCCGCCAACAAAAACATTCGAAATCCGCCAACAAAAACATTCGAAATCCGCCAACAAAAACATTCCAAATCCGCCAACAAAAACATTCCAAATCCGCCAACAAAAACATTCCAAATCCGCCAACAAAAACATTCCAAATCCGCCAACAAAAAAAAAACAAATCCGCCAACCCCCAAAAAATCCAAATCGGGCAATTTGGAAATTTTCTAAGCACCCCCCCCCCCCCCCCTTTCCTTGTTCATCTGAGCAACTCCCACACCTAAAGAACAGCTGTTTTGCATATGGTGGGATTCACCCAGCTCATATAATTTTGTGCTGCTGATCTGGGCAGTCATTAAAGAGGGAAGACAGCGTCGCTTATGTAGATTGGTACTAATAAAATGACAATGTACTGTGCAATAAGTATTACATTTTCACAAGATTCTGTTTTGTTTTGCAGCAGATGGTCGGGACACGTCATCCCGTCAGGCACAAGGAATTGGAGCCCAACAGCCGCCGCCGCCTATAGGGTACAACCCACCAAAATGGCACTCTGGAAGTAGTCAAGTACTACCTAAAAGTACTCCAAAACATCCATCAGTTCTCCCCAGACATCTTAATCAACCATCTTCCTTAAATGTTTCTCACAATAGACAACATGAATCGAATCCCGATGGAAACGCACACACCCCAACCCGACCACCCATACTGTCTGGTTCGCCCAATCTCAACACCAGCCGACCACCTGCACCCATTCCTTCGCTCCCCATTTCTGGTCCTCCCATTCCGCCCACCAGTGGGCCACCACTGCCTTCAAACAATCCTCCTCCTATCCAGTACCCAGATCAGTATCCAGGACAACATCAGACAAATTCTCTTGATTACCTGCAACTTGATCAGGTACCACAGGAAATGGCCCCAGCAGTACCAGGAGTTTCACCACTACCTTCCGTTGGAATGACAAGTACAGAACGTGTTAACCTGGGAGATGGAGAGAGTATTGAACTAATCCCGCTTTATCGCAGACTTATGGAACAACCATATTTTCATGTAATATCTCGAGCCAAATCCAAGAATATTCTTGAAAATGGTAAGAATTTGACTTCAGTTACTTACAAAAAATATTAAATTCTTTATAGAGTTTGCATGTGTATTTCAGTAAAATTATTTCCTTACAAGGTCACTTAAGTGTACACAGGGCTTCCGGCTGTCCCTCCCACATTCTCAGTCTCTCTTCTTTAGTCTCACCCTCCACCTCTCTCCCTCCTTTCAAGCTGGCAACATTGAACCACTGCCAAGTTACAGCCCCGCTCCGGTGACAAGTCAGTCCACTTTGGGCTCACCATAGCCCGTGCTACTTGCAACTTTTTCTTCTGAGTAGCTGTATCTAAAACAACAATAACATAGCACCACTTCATTATAAGGGTGACTATCATCCGGTTATATGATTATCACCCGAGTTGTTATTCCCCTTCTCCCCCTCCCCCCCCCCTCCATCAACCCTATTTCCCTGCTCTCTCCCATCCAATCTCGAACAGACATTTCCATTTATATACTGTATATAGATTCAGATTCAGATGTTTATTCAGGTAAGGTATATACATACAAGTGATGTTACATTAATGGATTGATATATAGATAGAGCTAGTACATACAATGCCTAAAGCCACTATTACGCAATGCGTTTCGGGCAAGAAAAACATTAATATCTAGAACTTAATACTAATTGAGCATAAAGAATAAAAGATGTTGAGAACAAATACAAATAAAGATAAAAAAAAGGGGGAACATGACTGAAAAAGCAGCACAAATACAATAGGTTGACAAACAGTGTTGATTAAAAAAAAAAAAAAATAACAGACATGGGTTGACAATAGAGGAGTGAGGTAGATTACAGGGAATTTATTAGGTAGTGTTTAGTTTTTATCTTAAACTGGTTGAGAGAGGTACAGTCTTTAACATGGTTGGGAAGGTCATTCCACATTCTGGGCCCCTTGATTTGCAGAGCATTTCTAGTTTGATTAAGACGTACTCTAGGAATATCAAAACTGTATTTATTTCTGGTGTGGTGCTCATGGGTTCTGTTACAACCTTCTATGAAGCTTTTAAGATCAGGATTGGCATTATAGTTTAGCGTTTTATATATGTATAATACACATGAGAGAATGTGCAGTGACTTAATATCTAACATATTAAGAGATTTGAGTAGGGGTACCGAGTGATGTCTGGGGCCAGAGTTGGATATTGTTCTAATAGCGGCTTTGTGTTGGGTAATTAGAGGACGTAAGTGATTTTGGGTAGTAGAACCCCAAGCACAAATACCATAGTTGAGATAAGGATAGATAAGGGAGTAATAGAGAGTCACCAGAGCAGGGCGTGGTACATAATATCTGATCTTAGAAAGAATGCCCACAGTTTTTGAAATTTTTTTGATATATTTAGAATGTGTCCCTGGAAATTCAGCTTGTGGTCAATGAGAATGCCAAGGAATTGCCATCTAATTTGTTACAAATTTGGGTATTGTTTATTTTGAGATTTATAAGACTAGAGGATTTATTGCCAAACAGAATATAGAAGGTTTTGTCAATGTTAAGGGTGAGTTTGTTGGCAGTTAGCCAAAGATGGACTTTATTTAGCTCAGTATTTACTGTGGCATTTAGAGCAAGAGGGTCAGGACTGGAGTAAATGAAGGTTGTGTCGTCAGCAAATAGAATTGGTTTGAGGTGTTGGGAGGCATTTGGAAGGTCATTAATGTAGATGAGAAAGAGGAGAGGGCCAAGTATGCTGCCCTGAGGAACACCAATGTTGATGGGTAGGGTGGGAGAAATTGTATTATTCACAGAAACATATTGGAGCCTGTCAGTAAGGTAGGACTCGAGGTATTGTAGGGAGTGTCCTCTGACTCCATAATGATGTAATTTAAGAAGAAGGTTTTGGTGGTTGACAGTATCAAAAGCTTTACGCAGGTCCACAAATAACCCAACAGGGAGCTCCTTTTTATCAAGAGCTGTATGAATCGAGTTAAGCATACTAATAAGTGCATCGTTAGTGCTTTTTTTGGGTCTGAAGCCATATAGAAGGGGTGCCCAAGTTCGCCTGGGTCTCTTCCTAACTCTTAAACCATATCTTCCGCCTTTGTCCATTTCCTTGCCTTGTCCTACCCGTCTTCTCCTCCTCCTCCTCCTCCTGCTCCTCCTCCTCCTCCTCCTCGATGCCTTTTTCCCTTCCCTCAGAAAATATATTACAGTACTATTATCGTAAAAAACTCTATGGGAACCACACTAACTATTTCATACTTCATGAAAATCACATAAGGGTCTTTATAAACTATAATATTTCTTAAAGCATTTAACATAGGCTAGTAGGGCTTGGCCTATGCTAGTCTCATACCCAACACCATTTTCCCTGCAACACTGAGTGAGGCTAGCCCCAACCATCTGGCATCAACTATGGTCATTTTAATTTTCTGTATATATACACACACAAAATGTCTATATATATAATTTTCTCTTCTATATCTATACTATATAAGAGTGTCTGTGTCTGTTGGTCTGTATGTCCAAAGTTGGAAGCCAGATGCTTGGAGATAACTTACACAACTTTGCAGGGGGAATGGTCTGGAGCACTCAATGGACATAGGTTGGTCGATAATCAGCCTAAGTAAAATATTTTATGAAATACAGTATTAGCATTTATATAGACCTTGATGCAATTTTCATGGATTCAGGTGTGAAATATTTGGTGTGTTCACCACTGAATTTTCAGTGCTTTTCAATAATAAGTTGTCTGAGAGACCTATAGAGTTTCAGTGCTTCTTAATACAGTAGGTGCTCAGTAATCTGCAGTATGGTAACAAGAAAATTTTGAGTAATCTGCAAGGTTTCATGTTCAATTTTTTACTTGTTTGTTTAAGTTCTTTTAACCCAAATTGGTTTTCAGTTATAAGGGTGTCCATGGTGTGCTGTATAAACAGTGTGTGTATGTACCCTAGCTCATCCCAATCACAACCAAGTAGAACACCAAAACCCAGGGACTATGCAGAGACATCAGTGACTCCAGACATTGAGGCTACTTTTGGCCTTTGGAGAGGAAATGGAGACGGTGGTTATGCTTCCCAGTCTCCTTTATCACAAGTGTTATCTGGCTAGAGTATTTGAGTGGACCAAGACCCACTCACAGGAGACCCCATGAGCCTTACCCCAAAGTAGTATGCAGGTGATTTGATTTTATAACCGACTGATATTAACTGCAAAATATTTTATTTTCTAGCTGATGATGGAATGTTCCTGATTCGTCCATCAACTCGCTCCATGGATCCACTCACCCTCTGCCTTAGACATGGAGGCCGCACTTACAATATCAATATTAGACATCGTCGTGATGGACTGTTTGCCTTAGGCTCAGAAAAGAGTAAAGAAATGGTATGTTCAAACAGTTTTCCTCTTTTTTTTTTTCCTGTTACATTCATGAGGCAATAGTGAATGGTCATAAAAGGAAGAAGCCATCTGTATGAATTTGTGTGAATGTGTTTATGTAAATACTGTATATGTGTTGTATGAGGGGAGGGCATCTTTCGGGCTGCGCTTCCTGAGGCTTTGAGGCGATAGGTTTCTTTTATCCCCCTTTCATTGGGATGTGCCTGGTGGTTTGTCATCTAGGATTCAGAGGCTTCATTTGCTAACACATACTTTCTTCCTGCTAGCGAGAATCAGGAGGAAATGTTAACTCCATCCTGGGGCTGTCTTCCTCTACATGAAAGACAGTTCCAGGAATTTGGGGATGCCAGGCAAAAAGACCGTGGTTGCCCTTTAACCCACGTTAGAGTCTGATGTCTGGCTTGGGGGTTTGTTGCTCCATACAAATGTATTTTCTTACTCCCTTTCTCAGTATGATCTGGTTTCCTGCTCCACTTCCTTGTAGGTGCATTTCCATTTCAGTGACTTGGATAGGCCCCTATTTTACAGGTTTCCATCATCTTGTCTTGCTCTAAAGTCAGCCCTTTTAGGTTTTTAAAGATTTGGAACTGGAGCTACCTGTTGTAGGTTCCAAGAATCAATGTCTCCATGGCCCAGTCTCTGTTAGGCTTCCTGGTTGGTGATCTGGTCAACCAGGCTGTTAGATGCCGCTGCTCATAGTCTGACATGAATTACAGCCCGGTAATAAAGATATCTTTTGAACACTTTTGAGAGGTTGGCTAGTTATGCCCCTTATGTTCAAAGGGAGAGAGTTGAAAAGTGTTGGTCCCTTAACGTTGATTGAATTGTGGGCAGTTTGTGGTGTCATTCATCTAGGTAGCCTGTGGTTTGCCCTCAGGCTCATTTTGTTAGGAGGCTTGCAGCTTTGACCTCTGTGTGATTTTTGTTTTGTCTTGGGCTGATATCCTGCCACTGGGGTTTTGGAGGTCTCCTGGGGGTCTTTATAGGTCATTACTTGCTTGGTGTTCTTGGTCCCTCTTCGATCTTGCATTTTCCTGAGTAGGGTTTCCCGCCTGGTCTCTCTCCTTCAGGGATTTGATCTTTGCTCTCCTTTGCTCTCTCCCTTATGTATCTCGTTTTTTCTTCTCTATGGTTAGCTTTGTACAGGGAGACATTGTTCCCTGTAAATGCCTCTTTCTGTGGGGGACCTTGGCGGCTTCCTGGACCCTTCCCCCCCCCCACTACCAAGTACATTACTTGGTTTTTCTTATGCTCTGAACTGATGAATGTTGACATGAAGAACCAGCTGCTCCCATGGTGCTACCAACATTGTACTGTAGTAGTCAATTGTTACTACTGGGGTGTATGACATAACTACTGGGTGGATCATTTGCGGAGTCGTCTGCTGCCTGGTATGTTTACATTCTGTGAACCTTGCAGTTGTATATTAGTTCACTTCTTTTCTGAAGATTTGTTTCTTTTGTGAGGTGATCCTGACTCCTTGCACCTCAATGAAGAAGGGGGCCATCTTTTGGCCTGTGGTCTGATAGACTATCAAGGACTCGCATGTGTTAACGTGACTTACAAGGTATTTTAATATACTGTATAGTATTCCTGGTTACCTGGTTGATACCTGGTTGATGGGGTTCTGGGAGTTCTTCTACTCCCCAAGCCCGGCCCGAGGCCAGGCTTGACTTGTGAGAGTTTGGTCCACCAGGCTGTTGCTTGCAGCGGCCCGCAGGCCCACATACCCACCACAGCCTTTGGTGGCGATTCATTGGCAATTTTTTTTAAGTCAATCTAGGAAGAGTTAAAAATACTCAGGATTTGTACTGAGGCCTAAGGTTTTTTGTAAGTGTAAATAGCACATGGGAATCTGTATTCCCATGTGAGTGAGTGTATGTTTATTGTGTTTTGAGATCTGAACAGACTGGATGTTGTCTAAAAGATATTGCAATAATTCTGGGAGCAGCTTTTGCAGGTTGATGATGAGTTTGAGGAAGGTTGTGATGGTTGATTTCCAAGCACAGGTACTGTTAGATAGATAGGTACAAATGAGTAAGTAATATATCCTGAGAGGAGCAGATTTGGGGGGACATTGTCATATTTTAAGGTACATACAGTATGTCACCAGTTGTGGAGAACTTTTGGCTTTGTGTTTATGAGAGTGATACTTCAAATACAAAATTTAACCGAAAGAGTATGCTTTATTACACATTATTTTTATTGACTCTGTGTTTTGACTTTACAGGCGTTCACATCAGTAGATGACATAATTACTGCTCACAAACGTGAACCCATCAAGCTACAAAATGGAGAGCGTGCATTGCTGACCGGATCACCGCCTAAACCTGACCGCATTTATGTTCAGATACGAAGCTCAAGATAATGAGAGTTACCTGGCAGAATAGTGTGATTGATTTAGAGAATATAGGAGAACTTTAACATTTTACTATAACAAAGCTCTAAAAGTGGACATAAAACTGCATCTTTATTTGGCTAAGATTTGTATACGTTACTTACTGTTGTGTTCACACCAGACAATAATATTGATAAACATGGGTTTTCTTAGCCAAGATAAAATGTAATCTATAATCATGTGTAAAACCAATCAAAACAAAAGTCCAAAACAGGAAATTATAAAGGATACAGCTTTTAAAACTATATACCTGAATAGTCTTTTATTTTTACATATGTTGCATAATTTTTACATACATTCCAGGAGCTGCCTCGTATGGGCCAATAGGCCTTCTGTAGTTACCTTTATTCATATGTTCTTATGTTGCAAAATTATGTTACAACTTGTCTTATAAAATTGGTAGCATACATTAATTGGACATTGGTAGCATCTGAATTTACTTGAGGACCAATAGCTCAAGTGGCCTCAAAGGGAACAGGAAGTCAGTAGCTTGTCATAGGTTTCCCCATTATTCCAGAGGATTTTTTCCGGCTCGGTATTAAGCTGAAATACTGTCTTAGCATTTACAGATTCGGTACATAAGCAGTTCAATGGGTTTATAACGCTATGGGTAAAAAAACATCTCCTGTTTTCTGTCCTACATTGTTGCTTGAGCTCGAAACTGTTGCCCTTTGTATACGTTACATTGAAAGTTTTAAAGAAGTTCCATTTTTATAGGTTGAGAGTCCAGCTCTATCATATCTGGTTTGCAGTGTTGTTAGTCCTGTGGCCCTCCTTCATTCCTGGTAAGGGACATGGTTTAGGGGTGATTTTTGGTGCGGTGTTTTGAACTTTCTCCAAGGCAGATGTGTCCTTTTAAAGGTGAGATCTCCATGCTTGGATACAGTAGTCAAAATGGGGGTGCTCCAGAGGTTTGTACAGTTGACAAATCACTTTCTTTTCCTTGAAGTCAAAAGTTCATATTATTGATCCAATTTATATATATACACATACATACACATACACACATACTACACCTACCTACCTACCTACTTCTCATACAACTTTCAATGACTGGTGGGTCATAATTCTTGGCATGAACATAGCAATATAAGGGAACAGAAAGCTTGGTTAATTAAGATGTGGTTTCTAATCTATGATCACCATTTTTAGACTCAATCTTCCCACTTATTGTTTCATTTAATTAGATTTTTTGTTGTTTTAAACGATGTTGTAAAGATATAGTTCTACATTTTGTTTTTGTTATAATAATCATGTTATACAATCGTGTTATGTTATATAATCAGTTGTGCTGTAATTAGCAAGAATAAGGCCAAGAAATGTATGCATGATATTTTGTAGAGTTTTTTGCTGTACGTTGTGAAATTATGTACTGCATATATACTCGTAATAAGACTGTAAACTAGAACATATCCTTGCTTTCAGAAATAGTATGTTGCATAGTACGTGCAATAATCATTATTTCAACTTTTAATTTAAATGTTCTCTACAGTCAACAGTATGAAATGTCAGCGTGTAGTTTTCTACTAGGCAAAATATTGCATTGGTGTTATTTCATTAACTTCAGTGTTATGGCCATTACTGTGTTTATTCTGCAATTTATAGAACTTATTTAGCTCCTTGTTATTTAGTATGCAGTTTTCTTGACATGTATTTTACTTGTGTGCACATACACACACACACATGAGAGAGACGTGCCAAGTTTTGTAAGAGATAAGATAACGGCACAAAATTCATAACGAAACCGAGTACTGTACCAGCAAAACTCGACACTTATACTTTGTTCAAATCATCACACTTACACCTCGCAACTATTTCTACAATGTTTTTTTACACAATTAAGGTATGTCTTGTGATTTTTAATGATGTAACATGTTGTGTACAAGATACATATATGTATATATATATATTAATTATTTTTAAGCATATTGGAGTCAATTTGCAAGCTTGGAAAAAGTTTTTATCTTGTATATAAATATTTTTCTTTGCTTGTTCAAGACTCATTCACCATTATCTGTCCTATAACAATTAATGGTAATTATGAAAAGAGCATTTTCCTAATTAGAAATGTATATATATTTTTATTGAACAATATAGATCAACAAGAAAGCAACGCAAATCAATATAGGAAAAAATTAGCTGAAAAGAATTCTGTTTGCTATTTATGACTAAAATAGAAAGAAACTAAATCCCTCATAAGTATGCTTGTTGCGTTTACTACAGTATACTGTATTTTATCAATTTTAAATATGCGTGATCTGATTTCAAGTTTGTTGAGCTGTTTGTTTTATAGTATATAAGGATATTTGGGGGGGGGAAGTCTGTATTTTTGTCCTATCTAAAATACATTTGTTATGCTGTTTTGTGGTACTGTATCTCTGGAAAGAGCACACCCTGTTGTTATATGAAATTACTGTAATATGTTTAGAGAAAAAACAAAAAAAGAACATACCCCCCTCCACCAAAAAAATCTTGAATGATCATAATTGTTTTGTATTTATAATAATAATACAGTAATGTATTTCTTGGAAACCACACCCAGCATTGTTTTAGATTCCATGGACTATATCTCAATTAGAAAAGTTACTTTTATTCCATATAATTGTTTTTTTAACTGCACAGTAGGAAAGACCAGGGTATCCTCTTATTAGACATATTTTAAAAAATGTACTTTTCAAAATTTAGTTTCATTGCTGATATTTGTCCCACTGTGGGGAAGGATGAAGGGAAAAATTAAGTGTGGTAGCCACAAGAGTAACCATGCATCAGATGAACAGGCGATGAGTCACAATAACGTGGCTGAAGTATGTTGACCAGACCACACACTAGAAGGTGAAGGGACAACGACGTTTCGGTCCGTCCTGGACCATTCTCAAGTTGATTGTGAGAATGGTCCAGGACGTACCGAAACGTCGTCGTCCCTTCACCTTCTAGTGTGTGGTCTGGTCAACATGCGTCAGATGAGATCTCCAGACATAATGGATTGTTGCTTCTCATCTGGGTTCAGTCCCTGGGCAGGACAGAAGTGGTTGGTCATGCTTGCTTTCACCTGATGTTCGTGTTCACCTAATAATAAATCTTTACCCACGAGTTAGGAACCTTGTAGGTTGCATCCTGGGGAATGTCAATAGTTGGCCTAGGATAGAACCTTGATTTTAACTGAGGAACAGACTTCCTCTCCTCATCAATGGAAATATTACTCAACAACAGCCATACATTTGTGAGTTGACAAACATATATTAGATAAGTAACTCTTGTCAGAATAGTGCCAAAATCTACAGTGCCAAAATTTGAATCAAGGTTCATTCAACTGTCAACAATCTTTATTCATATGAGAGATGCTGACGTGCATGTGAAAGTTCATACATTGTTTATATGCACTCTCCTTCCTCTCACCCACATGCTCACCACCTATACATTCTGTGGATTTCGGTCTTTATTCAACACAGTAATTCCTTTGAAAAACTTTATTGTAATTGTATGTCTAAAAATATACAGCAGAATGTGGAAAACATATCCATCCTTGCATAGTATTAAGGATCTGTGATTGTCAATCGTAATAGTTATAAAACTTGGAAGTGGCCAAGGCATAGTGCATTGGCTTTAGGATTAGGCCAGGAGGTACAATACTCAAATATATTATCTTTGTATTTCTTAATTTTTGTATGTTCTGTATTTTATAAATGCTGGTTTTTGTGGAAAGGATTTTAAACAATGACAAATTTCATGGAACACTATACCTGAGGAAAGGGGTTTGGCATCATTTGCAAACTTTAATGTGTTTGTAATAACCCAATTGTATGTAAAGGCCAAGAGCCACACTCATGATGACCTGTCTTCCTTATATATTTTGTCATATTTAATATTAAATTCAATAATTGTTAACGTAATCAGTCAATACATTCCATTAATTACAACTGTTATTAAAGAAATTCTTCCGTATGTTTGTTCTGCTTCTTAGGCCTCCTTAACTTGAATCTTGTGTAATCTGGCCCTGCTGGTGTCAAGATCTTTTCTTAACCCACTTTCTCTGCACCTGATAATATTTTGTATAATGTCATCTTTCAACCCATTTATCTACAAATTTTGCTAGGCTTTAGTTCTTCAGTTGTGATGGTGGTACAGTGTGTGGAGACTGTGGGTAGTGGTGGTTATTGGTACCGTGAGTAGTATTGCAACACTTGCACAGTACAGCAATACTTGCATTGTAGTGCAATGCTGTCATGAATTGGGAAGAGGGGGTGGATGTCTGGAAGGATGGGGTAGAGAAGGGGTTTCTGATAATATCCTGTTTCACTAAAAACTTTTAGTTAACTTTAACTTTGTACTTACCTGCAAATTAGTATAGGAGTGAGGCATGTCCCGTGAAATTTTAATCCCAGGCTTACCCACTCTGGTAACTGGTTTCATAATAGTTACATTAGTATGAGTGTGCTAGACTGTTAGTAACTAGGGGAAGGAAAATGGAGGAGAGAAAGAATACTCATTCTAAAGATGGATAAAGACGAGACATTAATGAGAAGGACGAGGGTATACATATACGCATTTAAAAGAGAACACGGGAGGGAACACTACCAGCATCCATTGATTTATAGACAAAATGAAGTGTTGTCAATGATGATTTGCTCAGTTCATCAGTGAAAGCCTTTCACTTACATAAAAAGATATGCAAAGTAAACTTTGCTTTTATAGTAAAGCAAAGAGTATAACACAGACATTTGACTTATTTTTCTTTATCAATCTACACTTTGACTCTGAGACAATACATTGGAGTCCCCTGGGATCATCTTTCCATTTCGGTATTCCATACTAATCAGTTGCGTTCCTGAACTGATTGTGCCTCTGTAACCCTTTCCACTATCAGCCACGGGATGGGCATAGGGTGCATAATAAATTTAATTCCTTCAGACTTGCTGTCGCCCCAAAATTCCGGAACTTTGCAAGTAAGTAATTATCAAAAGAAGGCACCAAACCGGGGAACTTTGCAAGACTTTTCTGCATATAATTTTTATATAAAAGCCATTTATGGCATTACAACTAGCCTAATATGGCAACATTTGCCTAAAGCTGCGCACTTGCCTATTATAGCAACATTTGCCTGGTTTCAATAGAATTTTGTATGGTTTTTAGATGATTTACCAAATTTGTACCAGAACTTTTAAGTCTCCGAGCGTGATATCGCACGTCTATTTTTGTCTTCACTCAGAATTTTTTTGCCGATTTTTTGTTTTGTCTTCACTGGTGGACTTGTTTTGTATAGAACAAACGATTAATACATTCAGTAGCAGCGGCGACTCTGTGGTGTCTGTGAACTGAGTGTCAGGTCAACCCTCCAGGTAAGTGGGCCCTGGTATCTAGGAGTTAAATAACCCATAGACAACCCAGCTGATTCACACATATAACCAGCTGGTAAAAAAAACAGACAGACAGCTAGCTGGTCTACACAGGACACTCCAACCCCCCCCCCCCCCGTTCCCTAACTAATCACGGCATACAGCCATGTGATGGTGGCGGGCACCAAGGCAGCAGCAGTAGTGAAAGGAGGCTGCCAAGAGCAGGAACGGGCCAAGGAAGGCCAAGACGGTGGCTACGTAGAAGAAGACGAGGAGAGGCAGACTCAGGAGGGCCACGAGGCCAGTGGTGTAGGTGGCCAGGCCGTCGTTACAAGGGATGTGACCAGAACAAACATTATGGCGGGCCTCCACCACCCACTCGCATCCTGCAAATACCACATATGTCACATCACTGATCAAACACATTACATCAACGTCATCAAACTACACATATAGCATCAGCAGAGCATATATTTATATTTAATATATATAATATAGTAAAGTTATGTTCTCTGTTCATGAAGAATATGCTCCGTTTAACACAAAGATTCACTTGCCAGTTTACAAGTAGACTATTATTAGAGCCATAATATGCTTTCAGACAATCAAAAATATCTGGATAACTCTCCAGGTGGGTTTAGAGTCTCTATTGGATTTGCTCTAGAGGCATATCAGCGAATGACACGTAAAGGTAGTGAAACATGCAGTTTTCTGACCGTAGAGTGCTTCCATTACCTCATCTCAAAATTAATACTTTCCAAGAATCAAATAATAAAACAGCCAAGCATATTTGTTCCCCAATTCTTAATAGAATTCTTTGATATTATTTACCAACTATAAAGATTGTGTGTTCTGGGACAACGTGAATAATCGCATGGAGTGTGGAACTGAAAACACTATTTTACAATAGGGAGAGTGAGCTAGTGAGGTGGAAGTGCTGTTTACTGCTTGAGGTGGGAGTACAGAAGCCTCCAGTGAGGTGAGGTCACACCTTTACACAATCCGTATCTCTCTTTCTTGCTTGTTCCCTCATCCCCAAACACACTCTGAGAGTTGTCTCACGGATCCACAATAGCCACACCTAATTACTATCATTCTAAGATGTGATATCATTCAATTTGAATCAATTAATATTGAGGTAATTGTAAACTAAAGAGGCTTTTGCATAGGGGAGCGAGTCGTGAGTCGTTGAACGACGACTACCTGCAGTACTCACCTACAGTGAGTGAGGCGAGGAGGAGGACGCTGAGGACCAGCACGGGGAGGGCGAGGGTGATGACGGGGTTGACCCAGCTGGCGGCCAGATAGTTGTGACCACCCTGGTGGAAGGTCACCATCACCACCCACACCACCGCCACCGTCCCTGACACACACACACACACAGTGATCACCACAGTCACTAATACTCACTTTGATTTAGTGCATACATTTGTAATTTTTTTAAGACATACGAACTGTATGGTATACTGCACAAGTGTGTGGTATACTCGTAGACCATATACGTATGTGTGGTATACTCGCACCACCACACACGTATGTGATATACTCACACCCCGACACAAGTCCAAGATATACTCAGCACCACCACAAAAGCGATGAAAGACAATCATATATTAATAATATACAGGCTTTTGAGTATAACTATAACTTTCGAGTATATGCTAGTACAATACTAAAATTATACTTAATCTCTATGGGAAGCAAAACCACAATGTCAGACTTCAAAAGCGTTGCAGAGTCGCAATAGTAGCTGACCCTTCTTAAAGGGAACAATGGGGCTGAAGTCCCAATTAGCCTATGATAGTGCCATACCACCCAAGGGTCATCCTGAGAAGTTAAGCGAGGCTAGCCCCAAGCATCTACCTTCCAACACTGGATAGACAGACACTTAGATATGTAATTGTTTACATATAGATAACAAAAAAGTTGCAATAGGTCCAATAACATACCGAAGGCGATGTGCCACAGAGGCATCCAGTCTTGGTGGTGGCAGGAGTGATAGTAACTGGCTCCCACTGCTATACTGGTCACCGCCAGCACCACCACAACCACCACACTCACCTTTCCTCTACACCCACTCTCTGCCGGCATGGAACTTCTTTAGAAAGACACAAATACAGTAAAGAAAAGAGACACATAGAGATAGAAACAGAGAGACGCAGGAAGAGTTACAGACAGAGAAAGGAGATGTTAACATGATGCCGTATATGACGAAGTTCCCTTTTATTATAACAATAAAATAAATATAAATAAGTTTTACAATGATAAACACAATGAAAGATGTTAAGAAGAAGGCAGAAGGCGGTCTTGTGCCGTGTCACACTGCTGCCTCACACACCAGGGGGCACGTCTTGGGTGACACACTGCTGCCTCACACACCAGGGGGGACGTCTCGGGTGTCACACTGCTGCCTCACACACCAGGGGCACGTCTTGGGTGTCACACTGCTGCCTCACACACCAGGGGCACGTCTTGGGTGACACACTGCTGCCTCACACACCAGGGGGGACGTCTCGGGTGTCACACTGCTGCCTCACACACCAGGGGGCACGTCTCGGGTGTCACACTGCTGCCTCACACACCAGGGGCACGTCTTGGGTGACACACTGCTGCCTCACACACCAGGGGGGACGTCTCGGGTGTCACACTGCTGCCTCACACACCAGGGGGCACGTCTCGGGTGTCACACTGCTGCCTCACACACCAGGGGGCACGTCTTGGGTGTCACACTGCTGCCTCACACACCAGGGGGGACGTCTTGGGTGTCACACTGCTGCCTCACACACCAGGGGCACGTCTTGGGTGTCACACTGCTGCTTCACACACCAGGGGGCATGTCTTGGGTGTCACACTGCTGCCTCACACACCAGGGGGCATGTCTTGGGTATCACACTGCTGCCTCACACACCAGGGGGCACGTCTTGGGTGTCACACTGCTGCCTCACACACCAGGGGGCACGTTTTGGGTGTCACACTGCTGCCTCACACACCAGGGGGCACGTCTTGGGTGTCACACTGCTGCCTCACACACCAGGGGGCATGTCTTGGGTGACACACTGCTGCCTCACACACCAGGGGGCACGTCTTGGGTGTCACACTGCTGCCTCACACACCAGGGGGCACGTCTTGGGTGACACACTGCTGCCTCACACACCAGGGGGCACGTCTTGGGTGACACACTGCTGCCTCACACACCAGGGGGCATGTCTTGGGTGACACACTGCCGCCTCACACACCAGGGGCACGTCTTGGGTGTCACACTGCTGCCTCACACACCAGGGGGCACGTCTTGGGTGACACACTGCTGCCTCACACACCACACGTCTTGGGTGACCACTGCTGCCTCACACACCAGGGGCACGTCTTGGGTGACACACTGCTGCCTCAGGGGCACGTTTTGGGTGTCACACCACGTCTTGGGGCACGTCTTGGGTGACACACTGCTGCCTCACACACCAGGGGCACGTCTTGGGTGTCACACTGCTGCCTCACACACCAGGGGGGCACGTCTTGGGTGACACACTGCTGCCTCACACACCAGGGGCACGTCTTGGGTGACACACTGCTGCCTCACACACCAGGGGCACGTCTTGGGTGACACACTGCTGCCTCACACACCAGGGGGGCACGTCTTGGGTGTCACTGCTGCTGCCTCACACACCAGGGGGGCACGTCTTGGGTGTCACACTGCTGCCTCACACACCAGGGGGGTCACACGTCTTGGGTGTCACACTGCTGCCTCACACACCAGGGGGCACGTCTTGGGTGTCACACTGCTGCCTCACACACCAGGGGGCATGTCTTGGGTGTCACACTGCTGCCTCACACACCAGGGGGCACGTCTTGGGGGTGCCTGACACACCACACTGCTGCCTCACAGGGGCACCAGGGGCACGTCTTGGGTGTGCTTGGGTGTCACACTGCTGCCTCACACACCAGGGGCACGTCTCACACACTGCTGCCTCACACACCAGGGGCACGTCTTGGGTGACACACTGCTGCTTCACACACCAGGGGCACGTCTTGGGTGTCACACTGCTGCCTCACACACCAGGGGGCACGTCTCGGGTGTCACACTGCTGCCTCACACACCACGTCTTGGGTGACACACTGGCCTCACACACCAGGGGGGCACGTCTTGGGTGTCACACTGCTGCCTCACACACCACACGTCTTGGGTGACACTGCTGGGGGCACGTCTTGGGTGTCACACTGCTGCCTCACACACCAGGGGGGTCTTGGGTGACACACTGCTGCCTCACACACCAGGGGGGCACGTCTTGGGTGTCACACTGCTGCCTCAGGGGGCACTGTCACACTGCTGCCTCACACACCACGGGGGCACTGCTGCCTCACACACCAGGGGGCACGTCTTGGGTGTCACACTGCTGCCTCACACACCAGGGGGCACGTCTTGGGGACACACTGCTGCTTCACACACCAGGGGGCACGTCTTGGGTGTCACACTGCTGCCTCACACACCAGGGGGCACGTCACACACCAGGGGGCACTCTTGGGTGTCACACTGCTGCCTCACACACCAGGGGCACGTCTTGGGTGACACACTGCTGCCTCACACACCAGGGGGGCACGTCTTGGGTGTCACACTGCTGCCTCACACACCAGGGGGCACGTCTTGGGTGACACTGCTGCCTCACACACCAGGGGCACGTCTTGGGTGTCACACTGCTGCCTCACACACCAGGGGGCACGTCTTGGGTGACACACTGCTGCCTCACACACCAGGGGGCACGTCTTGGGTGTCACACTGCTGCCTCACACACCAGGGGCACGTCTTGGGTGACACACAGCTGCCTCACACACCAGGGGGCAGTCTTGGGTGACACACTGCTGCCTGTCTTGGGTGTCACACTGCTGCCTCACACACCAGGGGCACGTCTTGGGTGACACACTGCTGCCTCACACACCAGGGGGCACGTCTTGGGTGACACACTGCTGCCTCACACACCAGGGGGCACGTCTTGGGTGACACACTGCTGCCTCACACACCAGGGGCACGTCTTGGGTGACACACTGCTGCCTCACACACCAGGGGCACGGGGTGACACACTGCTGTCACACACCAGGGGGCACGTCTGGGTGACACACTGCTGCCTCACACACCAGGGGGCACGTCTTGGGTGACACACTGCTGCCTCACACACCACGGGGGCATGTCTTGGGTGACACACTGCTGCCTCACACTGCTGCCTCACACACCAGGGGGCACGTCTTGGGTGACACACTGCTGCCTCACACACCAGGGGGCATGTCTTGGGTGACACACTGCTGCCTCACACACCAGGGGGCACGGGGGTCACATGTGCCTCACACACCAGGGGGCATGTCTTGGGTGACACACTGGGTGACACACTGCTGCCTCACACACCAGGGGCACGTCTTGGGTGACACACGAGGGCTCATATCTATAGCCTCGCCACATCATTAGTTTATATCAGTTCTACCTTTAAGGGACTTAGTATAGTATATATATTTATATCACAAAATCCTAATTTTGGGATATATATTTTCCTTGTATATGACTTACTGCTCTGATAGTGAACGTCACTTTGATTTTACAATATATCACCTCTCAAATAGTAAGCTAAATGTCACTCAAGTTATGCATGAAATGTAAGTTTGATCTAGATTACCCCACACCTGTTCAATCTAGCAACTAATGTATTGATTTGTGTAAGTTCTTTCTAATAAAGTTTCTGTTGTTGTGATACCCTTATGTCATTAATGTCCTCTACTTTATATATATATATTTTCACACTTATAAGTGTACAAACATTTATGTATAAAGTTTTGTGGTTTGATTACTGACTTGTGTGGAGGGAGGCAGCTGCAGGGGGCAGCAGTAGCGAGCGGCCTGCGCAGGTCCTCGCGCACATCACCTGTGGAACAACACCGCTGCACCATGACATGTCTTGCTGGAAGACGGAAGAGCTCGGGGAGACATGATCACCACATACAAAATTCTCAGGGGAATTGACAGGGTGGACAAGGATGGACTATTTAACACGGATGTTAAGTACAACTTCCCCATGTACTTACCTATATTTGTAGGTAAAGTACAACTAGGCAAACCCCAAAATCACCATTTACGGGTAAATACGAGGATGCTTGCATCTTCTGGCTTCTCTAATAACTTTTAAATACAACTTGTGGTCTACAGTAATATCTGGATCGAACATTTCCATAGCCTGAATGAACAGTTTTTTTTTTTTAATTTAGAGAAAACTATTTACAAACGCAACAAGCCAGCATTTCGGGTATGAAATGAGGTTAATTCTAGTACTACCTATTCATGACAAAGCTAAGTCCGTAATATACATTCCAAACCCCAATTACTAAAATGGTAACTGTCAGTGAACGTGTATGTTGGTGTAACCAAGAGGAAGAGGGTGTAAGGGGACGTCACTGAACGTGTATGTTGGTGTGACCAAGAGGAAGAGGGTGTAGGGGACGTCACTGAACGTGTATGTTGGTGTGACCAAGAGGAAGAGGGTGTAGGAGACGTCACTGAACGTGTATGTTGGTGTAACCAAGAGGAAGAGGGTGTAGGAGACGTCACTGAACGTGTATGTTGGTGTAACCAAGAGGAAGAGGGTGTAGGGGACGTCACTGAACGTGTATGTTGGTGTAACCAAGAGGAAGAGGGTGTAGGGGACGTCACTGGACGTGTATGTTGGTGTAACCAAGAGGAAGAGGGTGTAGGGGACGTCACTGAACGTGTATGTTGGTGTAACCAAGAGGAAGAGGGTGTAGGAGACGTCACTGAACGTGTATGTTGGTGTAACCAAGAGGAAGAGGGTGTAGGGGACGTCACTGAACGTGTGTGCTGGTGTAACCAAGAGGAAGAGGGTGTAGGGGACGACACTGAACGTGTATGCTGGTGTAACCAAGAGGAAGAAGGTGTAGGGGACGTCACTGAACGTGTATGCTGGTGTAACCAAGAGGAAGGTGTAGGGGACGTCACTGAACGTGTGTGCTGGTGTAACCAAGAGGAAGAAGGTGTAGGAGACGTCACTGAACGTGGGTGTCTGTGTTACCACGAGGAAGAGGGTGTAGGAGACGTCACTGAACGTGGGTGTCTGTGTAACCAAGAGGAAGAGGGTGTACGGGGACGTCACTGAACGTGGGTGTCTGTGTTACCACGAGGAAGAGGGTATAGGAGACGTCACTGAACGTAGGTGTCTGTGTTACCACGAGGAAGAGGGTGTAGGGGACGTCACTGAACGTGGGTGTCTGTGTTACCACGAGGAAGAGGGTGTAGGGGACGTCACTGAACGTGGGTGTCTGTGTTACCACGAGGAAGAGGGTGTAGAGGCCGTCAAATACGACGACGAAGACGAGGCTGACGGAGAGGATGGAGGAGGAGCAGCTGACGTCCCAGGTGGCCAGGACGGGGCGCTGTCCACGGCAGGACGAGACTATGATGGCCACGGCGACGTTGCCTGTCGCACAAACAACAATTTTGTGTTATTTGAACCTTACTATATACATAATTCTTTATGTTTATACACTAATAATTAAGTGAAATTATTTCTTTTAGGTAGAAATCCATAGTACCTCTTACTTTTAGCAAAAAATACACAAAACTATAAAATATGATATTAAATTGTGTAAGAAGATGTCGTAAAGGGAGGATCAGGGCTTTGATAAGCACAGCTTTAAGGTCCCCCAGGAGCCACACCTGGCATGTGTAGGTCCCGCAGGAGCCACACCTGGCATGTGTAGGTCACGCAGGAGCCACACCTGGCATGTGTAGGTCCCGCAGGAGCCACACCTGGCATGTGTAGGTCCCGCAGGAGCCACACCTGGCATGTGTAGGTCCCGCAGGAGCCACACCTCACACACACGAAGATCCCGCAGGAGCCACACCTCACACACACGAAGATCCTGCAGGAGCCACACCTCACACATGTGTAGATCCTGCAGGAGCCACACCTCACACATGTGTAGATCCTGCAGGAGCCACACCTCACACACACTAAGATCTTGCAGGAGCCACACCTCACACACACGAAGATCCTGCAGGAGCCACACCTCACACACACGAAGATCCTACAGGAGCCACACCTCACACACGAAGATCCTGCAGGAGCCACACCTCACACACACGAAGATCCTGCAGGAGCCACACCTCACACACACGAAGATCCTGCAGGAGCCACACCTCACACACACGAAGATCCTGCAGGAGCCACACCTCACACACACGAAGATCCCGCAGGAGCCACACCTCACACACGAAGATCCTGCAGGAGCCACACCTCACACACACGAAGATCCTGCAGGAGCCACACCTCACACACACGAAGATCCTGCAGGAGCCACACCTCACACACACGAAGATCCTGCAGGAGCCACACCTCACACACACGAAGATCCTGCAGGAGCCACACCTCACACACACGAAGATCCTGCAGGAGCCACACCTCACACACGAAGATCCTACAGGAGCCACACCTCACACACACGAAGATCCTGCAGGAGCCACACCTCACACACACGAAGATCCTGCAGGAGCCACACCTCACACACACGAAGATCCTGCAGGAGCCACACCTCACACACACGAAGATCCTGCAGGAGCCACACCTCACACACACGAAGATCCTGCAGGAGCCACACCTCACACACACGAAGATCCTACAGGAGCCACACCTCACACACACGAAGATCCTGCAGGAGCCACACCTCACACACACGAAGATCCTGCAGGAGCCACACCTCACACACACGAAGATCCTGCAGGAGCCACACCTCACACACACGAAGATCCTGCAGGAGCCACACCTCACACACACGAAGATCCTGCAGGAGCCACACCTCACACACACGAAGATCCTGCAGGAGCCACACCTCACACACACGAAGATCCTGCAGGAGCCACACCTCACACACACGAAGATCCTGCAGGAGCCAGACCTAGCATGTGGAGATAGATCCTGCAGGAGCCAGACCTAGCATGTGGAGATAGATCCTGCAGGAGCCAGAACTTACCAATGAAGAGCCAGGCGACGTTTATGAAGACAAGCAGGACCATGAGGTACTTGGGGCCATTGATGACGTTGGTGGTAGAGGGAGCCCCGCGCCACGCCCACACGCCCATCAGAGCACCCAGCGTGCTCAGCCCTGCAATACAAACACTCTTGCAACATCATACCGTGACAACAGTGATCCGATATCGTAGCATGAATCATCACGAGTCCAGGGTATGGATAACGTAACTCATCAGAGGAGTCCAAGAAGAGTAGCCGGACTCACCAAGGCCCAGGAGCCAGTAGTCGAGAAAGGAGTGGTTATGACAGCTGCTGTTGGCGACGGCTCCTGTGAGCGTGGACACCACCGCAAGAGTCGCCAGGAGACCCACTAGCGCCTTCCTCGCCACGTCCAGCGCTCCGTCTCCTGACGCACACACCACTAGTTAGTTACTCTCTGACACCCTCGCCCCCTAGTTAGTGCCTCTCTGACACCCTCGCCCCCTAGTTAGTGCCTCTCTGACACCCTCGCCCCCTAGACACCCTCGCCCCCTAGTTAGTGCCTCTCTGACACCCTCGCCCCTAGTTAGTGCCTCTCTGACATCCTCGCCCCTAGTTAGTGCCTCTTGACACCCTCGCCCCCTAGTTAGTGCCTCTCTGACACCCTCGCTTCCAGTTAGTGCCTCTCTGACACCCTCGCCCCTAGTTAGTACCTCTCTGACACCCTCGCCCCCTAGTTAGTGCCTCTCTGACACCCTCGCCCCCTAGTTAGTGCCTCTCTGACACCCTCGCCCCCTAGTTAGTGCCTCTCTGACACCCTCGCCCCCTAGTTAGTGCCTCTCTGACACCCTCGCCCCTAGTTAGTGCCTCTAGTGGAAAGGTTATAGCTGTATAAACAACGTAGGGCGCGAATGGTAAGATAAATATTAGTCTAATATATGTGTCGAGTGTGTGCCGGGTGTTACAGTGAACTCTATCACTTCCTAAGCTGCTCAATGTGATTACATTTCGACCAAGAAAAAGCTTATTGTTTCGAGGGAATTAAATAATTTCCCTATAATTTTATCAATATTGTTGCATTTTTTGTTTTACTGTTCAATGTAAATTAGACTTTTTGAAAGAATTTTGTAATGATTTAAGAATAAAAATAAAAAATAGGGATAACTGCAAAAGACCTATTGGACCATGCGAGGACCTATTGAATCCTTTTTATACCCAATCACTCATATATTTATCCCGACTATGTTTGAAACAATGCAGTAACCCCCACCTCTAATACCTGACAATGAACAGAAGCGAACGTGTTGGGCGAACGTCCTCTCGTGTCGTGAACGCCAGTCTTGTTTGCTAAATATGTTATCGATACAGAACATGCGGCTACTATGCATATTATCAATGTTAATATTTCGGTTGTTCACCCTATGCTTTGTTGATGGACACGAAAATGTGGGTCAGGGATGTGTTGATTGGTGCTAGATAAAAATATGTGAGGTCAGTGATGTTTTGGTTAGTGCTGGACACAAAGATGTGATTAACCTGTGGATCAAAAGATGTGTGGGTTGTCAATGGCAAGCCTTACACATACCTGCAATCCTTAAATAGCATACGTTATACATCCATTATTTCTGACGACTGTGGATGTTGAAACAACAAAACCGGGTCAAAATAATATATAATTATTATTATTACCATAACAATGACTCGTATAGGTAGGTCTATAAGCCTTTGCTGTTTCCTTCATTCCTATCATCAGAATATTATAGTCCCATTGGTTCATGACAAATTATTCAATAATAGTGATAATGAAAGTGACGCAGTACTTGCCCTGAATCTTCATAGCTGTTGGAGCGTTTACTGCAGGGAACGTTGACTGGCCTGGCGCAGGATGGAAGGATGGATAGTCTTAGTGGAGTTGGGAAGAGTCAAACCGGAGTGAATAGGCTCTGTGGTCCAGCAGTACCACAGGGCATATACATCAATGGTGGAATAAACTTAGTTTCTCTCCTATTCTTTGACCAGAAGAGTATCCACAACTAGCTGCTATCCGTCGGAGCACTCAGTCCATTCACCTCTAGTACGTAGTGTGTCACTGGGCAAATTACAAAATAAACAGTATTAGGTCCCTTGCTGGAATAAATGTATCGATAGAAGCCACTAAGCAGTCTACGAAGATCACATAACATTGTGTAGCCACAACTGTCCAGGGGCCAGATTCACGAAGCAATTACGCAAGTACTTACGAACGTGTACATCTTTCCTCAATCTTTGATGGCTTTGGTTACATTTATTTAACAATTTACCAGCATGAAAACTTGCCAATCAGCTGTTGTTATTGGTATAAATAGCCTCCTGGCGATTCGGAGCTCATTAACTGTTTAATAATTGTAAACAAAGGCGCCAAAGATTGAGAAAAGATGTTCAGATTCGTAAGTGTTTGCGTAACTTCATGAATCTAGCCCCAGGAGCTGAAGCCCCAACAGAACCTCCGCCACAAAGACCAAGTTCAGTAGAGCAAGGTGCCTCGGCAGCATCTGCGAGTGGCCACTGACCTTTAAGCTGACCAGTGGTGACTTATAGTCACTAAAGAAATACACTGTAGGGTAGCAAAGCCAAAGACCGCTGGTTGATGGCGCAGTAGGGATATACCCTGGTTAAATCGGTGCTTATTTCAAACGGAAAACTGCCTTAATGAATCAGAAAGATCAAATAGATTCTTAAGAGAGCAAAATAATATGGAGACTTTGTGACTTTATATGTTAAACATATATAAGTTATTGTGGACCGAGAAGCCGCTGGACATATCTCACCAGGGCACGTGGGCATGATGGTGTAGCGAGTAGATTATCCCAATAATATACTCGCTCCAAATGCATTGTTAATATTCCTGTCAACCTTTGGAGATGAATGAGGTGAGGCGTTGCCTGGGCAACACGGTGAGGTGTTATCCGAGCAACGCCTCACCTCATTCATCTCCAAAGGTTGACAGGAATATTAACAATGCATTTGGAGCGAGTATATTATTGGGATAATCTACTCGCTACAGAACCGTTACAATGGTATGTCCGACGAAGCATATGATATTGACTGGTTTTCGGTCATCCTCGGAATATTATGTAGCACTTGCATAATACGTCACCATTCGTCATTCTCTTTTAATGTAAGACAACAGAAAATTCAGATTGTGAAATCAACAGTTAAGGTATTCGTTGCACAATATTATCAAAACGATTTAGAAAATGGAATATTAGACAAGAATGAAAGATTTCGTACCGGTTGAAAATTTGTCTTCGTTCCAAGCTGCGAAGGAAGGTTTCTATAACAGCCTTAATACACTGCCTGCATCAGTACACTGCCTACTGAATCAGTACACAGCTTTCCGCCTCAGTATACTGCCTCAACGCATGAGGGACGCGACGTGTGTATGAACACAGATGCTGGTGAAGATGTTGGGAGTGTAGATGCCACGGAACACTGGTGACACCCAACTGTGGCGGCTGTGGTGTGTGGAGGCTCCGAGTGTACATACCTCTCACGCTAGTGTGTTGCCTCCACACTCTTCACCACCACCACAACCCTCACCCTACACCCCGCCCCTCAAAACCCCAGCCCTCCACCCCCACCCTCTCTTGTTGGACACGTATGTCTCTGTATCTCAGCATGTACCATGTATATTTTCAAGTTTATGTATCACCTATATTCATCATATATCTCATCACGCATATATCATTCACCAGCATGAGGCTACCGAATTGGCAGGGACATGCAGACAGAAGAGGCTGCTAAAGGAAGACGACAGTTGGTGAACTATCAACTGAGTCGACGACTCTGAGCTGTTCAACTCAGGTTTCATTTTAAAGAACGAGATACTCTTTAAAATATCGAGTTCAAAGCGAGACGAACTGCAAGACAGAACAGCGAAATCGCTGTACATGAAAGTGTGGCCGTTATCCTCGATGTGATCTATAATAGCAGAGGAAGAACATTGCCTAAGAGGCAGACAAGTACGGTAAGAGTTAATTTAGTTCAATTATTATGCACCCCATACCCATCTTGTGGGTGGTAGTGGAAATGGTTACAGGGGCACATAATGGGCTCAGGGACTGAACCCCACAATTCATTTAGCTAAGCAAATTACAATTTTGATGAGCTAGTTACAAAATTCATTATACGTCGTCGTATCATCATTGGGTTCGAGATCGACCACGGTAAGAGATACCCATTTGTTCACAAGTACGGTGTAAAAAGTTTCGGGATATATTTCCCATATGACGAACGCTGCAGTTCGAACATTTAGACAGATAAACAACACTAGATCTGAGTTCAATGGGTAGTGGATCTCCGCGTTTTAAGTAGCTTCCAATGGTGGTGTTAGTAAACACCAACTGAAACTAGTTTGTGGATAAGTATGTTAATGAACTTTCTTAAGTTCCTTCCTAATATAATAGCTTACAGAGCCTAGCTATGGAAATCTGATATAATGTACGTCTTTCAAGGACTGGAAACCTCGCTAGTAGGTTTAAATATGGTATTTAAGAATCTCCTCAGAATTGCATAAAATATTTTGCTAGGAAATGTATTTAAAACAAACACGTCTTGCAAAAACTTAATTGTAATACAGTTTGAACAAAGATTAAAGGCTCTATTAAAATTTTGATAGTATTCAGAGCATATAGTTTTGGACAAAAACAAAAGTAATGCAAATCCTCACCCAATACACACCCTCACACTCCCACCTTAAACATCCCCACCCTCCACACCCCGACCCTACATACACCCACCACCTCCACATCCTCACCTTGTACACCACACCACCCTCCCCACCCCCCCCTCACAGTTCCCAATATTGGCTCAGAGATAAAACTTCAATATTTATCTTGCATGTTCCATATTCTATTGTTTATATAGATGGGGTTAATAGCGTTATCAGATGAGACGAGGTGGGGCGTGCAGCGGACAGGTGTGGCACTCTCGCACAGGCTGTGGTGGTAGAAGACGACTCGCCTGTCTCCCGGGCACCTGTCTGTCTGGCCACCTGTCTCCCGGGCACCTGTCTGTCTGGCCACCTGTCTCCCGGGCACCTGTCTGTCTGGCCACCTTTCTCCCGGGCACCTGTCTGTCTGGCCACCTGTCTCCCGGGCACCTGTCTGTCTGGCCACCTGTCTCCCGGGCACCTGTCTGTCTGGCCACCTGTCTCCCGGGCACCTGTCTGTCTGGCCACCTGTCTCCCGGGCACCTGTCTGTCTGGCCACCTGTCTCCCGGGCACCTGTCTGTCTGGCACCGTTGCTTGGGCACCTGTCTACCTGGAATCTGTTTCCCTGGCATCTTTCTCACTGGGCGCCTCTCCACCTTCCCTCAGGTATCAACTACACAGATTACATTTCTTAAACTAAGTGATAAACGCAATCGATTCACAACCGAGAAGTTATAGGTTCGCTTCCCGCTTAACAACAAAGAGGGTTGCATCCCGGAACGGCCACTAGCTGGCTCAGGGCAGGGTGTCGAACCCTTGTCGCCTTGCATGTAGTCCCGTCCCTTGGAATTTCAAACCCCACTAATTTATTTATTTATTTATTTATTTATGCATATACAAGAATGTACATAAGGAATGTGAGGATACAAATATGGTAATTACAGTCTTGTAACGCCACTAGCACGCGCAGCGTTTCGGGCAGGTCCTTAATCTAAGAAAATTTTAAGGAGGTAAATACTTGCAAAATTTATAGACAAAAAAATGATAACAGATTACATGAAATGAAAAAAAAAAAAGATGAGAGAAAATTGTAGGTACAGTATATTAAAGCACATAGGTAGCTAAGATTGATTGCAATGACAGCTTAAAATGGTAGTTGACAACAAATTGGTAGGCACAATACAGCAGAAACAATATAAGATTGATTGCAATGACAGCTTGAATGGTAGTTGACAAAAATTGGTAGTCACAATACAGCATATGGCTAGCACATAAAAGAAGACAGCAATGAACACAATGATAAGGTTGTTTGATATTACATAAAAATTAGGAGATTGGGTAACACTAGGTACAGAGCAAATTTAAAGCTCAGTGTAGGAAACTAAGAAGATGAAGTTAGGTACTTTTTGGTTTTGCTTTTAAATAAGGCAAAAGTTTTACAGTTTTTCAATTCACTAGGGAGTGAGTTCCATAGACTAGGTCCCTTAATTTGCATAGAGTGTTTACACAGATTAAGTTTGACCCTGGGGATATCAAAGAGATATTTATTTCTGGTGTGGTGATAATGGGTCCTATTACATCTGTCCAGGGAGAGTTTCAGAGCATGGTTTGCATTTAAGAACAGGGTTTTGTAAATGTAGTTGACACAAGAGAATGTGTGGAGGGAGTTAATATTTAGCAAGTTTAGGGATTTAAACAAGGGAGCTGAGTGTTGTCTGAAAGCAGAGTTAGTTATAATTCTGATAGCAGATTTTTGCTGTGTGATGATGGGCTTAAGGTGGTTTGCAGTGGTAGACCCCCCTAATAATAACTAAGTAAATTTATAATGGTTATCATTGCCGCTAAATAAAGCGGCAGATAATATTCTACAAATATTTTTTTAGGATTTGTTTCAGTCTCGGCCTACTTGATGCGGGTTTTGAGATTTTCAAAGATTTGGAAAATTTAGCTTTGTAAAGTTATGGCTACAATGTCCTCCTTTCTTTGTTGACGGAATTTTAGAAAATTATTTGTTTTCTTAGTAGCATTACGGTGAGGACCGTAATTCATTACGTGTGAGGGCCAGAGAGATTATTATTATTAACATCTTCATTTACAAAAAATAATTACAATTTTGCCTAATCTGGGGAATTCAATTAGGTCTTATTAGAGTGAGGATAATACTGGTATTCGTTGTCACACAGGACAGAGGATCATACGACTTCTTTAATCACGATCGTTGTACGTCTGTATACACATTCATCATGCATACTCTTTCAAGGTTTGTGTATGCATGTAACGCAGAGAGAGAGCGTCCAGCCGTGGCGTGACGACCAGGCGCTGCGTCGGGGGTCGTCGCTGCGTCGGAGTCGTCGCTGCGTCGGGGTCGTCGCTGCGTCGGGGTCGTCGCTGCGTCGGGGTCGTCGCTGCGTCGGGGTCGTCGCTGCGTCGGGGTCGTCGCTTGACTCCACCGCCGGCTGTAACACGGACTCTCAGACACAATGCCAGCTGCTGGCAGAGTAAAACGTAAGTTGTTATTTCCCTCATGTTTGGCGCCAGTGAGCTAAGTACAGTTGACAGAACTGTGAGAAAACATTTCTGTACTCTGCAGGGACATCTCAGGGTTTAGATTAAAGGCTATTGATGACCAGACCACACACTAGAAGGTGAAGGGACGACGACGTTTCGGTCCGTCCTGGACCATTCTCAAGTCAATTGTGAGTGGTCCAGGACGGACCGAAACGCCGTCGTCCCTTCACCTTCTAGTGTGTGGTCTGGTCATCATACTTTAGCCACGTTATTGTGACTCATCGCCTGCATTAAAGGCTATGCGTGTTAGTGGCTTTGCAAGAATGTAAAAATACCAATCTTATGTTATCTCACAAACCAGTTGTACCTTCTTATAAATAAAATTATTATTAGTATTATTATCTTATGGAGTGGGAATTGTTACGATGGTTTCTGTGATATGCCTCTTCCCAACTCAATGTCATTGGCCCCGCCTTTTTGTACATTTAAGAAGCCCCAGAGATTCATTCAGTTCAAACTAGGATGCAGCAGAATGCGTAATTCGGTATTTACTTTTATTTTTTTTATGATTTCTTGGCTGTAGCCTAACTGTTGTCTATTTTTTCAAATATGGCGGAAAGCAAGTGTCGTAGCTTGGACAAGATTGGTCTGAAAGACCTCACTGTAACTCGAGACGTCTAGAGGAACGGATTCATGGGGATGAGGCATGAGGTTTCATGCGAATTCATGAGGCATGAGGATTTATGCATCTTCATGATGCATGAGGCCTCATGCATCTTCATGAGGCATGAGGCTTCATGCATCTTCATGAGGCATGAAACCCTGCAGTACTGTTAACGTAGTCATGCAGTACTGTTGTTCTCATTGTTCTTGTGTTGTCACCTGTCATCTTTATTTCAACTAAGATATCTGTTCTCTCCCTGCAGCGTTGGAGAGTGTCGATCCCAGCCCGATTCCCGCCTACAGAGGTGAGTCTCACCTCAAGTATCGTGTCCATTGACCGTTGTTGTGTTAATGAGTCTAATGATCAGATTATCGACCCTAGTTATTAATGCATATGCCCCTAATTATCAATAGCCTAATTATTTTTCACGTTGGCGCATACTCAAAGAGGAAAGGACTAGCATCTCATGACTCGACATCACCTAAACGGACAGTAAATAAAAACTTACTCGAAATTAATGGGATAGTCAAGACCACTTGACCATCCCTCAGTAAGTGCTTAGTACGCTGGTTGATTCACCTGTTGTGTCCGGTTGTAGGATGGGGCGCTCGGGTGTGGCTGCTGACCATTACTGGAGGGGTCCTCGCTCCACTCTCCGTTGCTGCTGCTCTTTTTCCCCTCAGTCGCTGCTCCTGCTGCAACAGCCTCGACCTGTGGCTGATGGGTCTCGGTGAGTCTCCCTTCTGCTGTAGTAAGTTCTGCAATATGTTCAACGTGAACTTAATAGTTTACTATGTTCTTAAATACACGTTAGAGTGGACACAGCGTGAACAAAACACATGGTATGTTTTGAAGAGTAACGTCGACACCCGCCGTGACAATTCTTATCATGGAAACATGCGGTGTAGACACATGTGAAGCTGACACATGTTTACGTGTGTCACTGTGTCTTGAGTGTGGCACGCGTGTGTCTTGAGTGCAGGTGCAACACTCATGGTCCTCACAGTGTAGACGAGAGTGTACTTCGTTCGTAGGTGTGAGCGCCCTGGGAGCCATGCTGGGAGTGTTGGCGTGGAGAGCGAAGCTGGCCCATGGAAAGTCCATCGACGGACCCTTCATCTTGGCCGGCCTCCTCATCGTCTTGAACTTCATGTGGCTTGTCTTAGGTACGTCCCGGACTTCCTTGCACGTGACCCAGGTGTGTTACTTGGTGCTGCGTGTGAACGAGGTGTTAACATGATCGTAAGTTACCCAAGTATGTTACCATGGATGAATAATATATATATATAATCACTCGGATATACTATATACTGTGATCCATTATATATTTTGTATATCTTTTTCATTAATAAAGAGAATAGAGAGCGTTGCAGAAGTGTAGGAGTGAGTCAAGTGTCAACACTGTGGGAGTGAGAGCTGTGCTCGCTCTCATCCTGCACTGTTGCATGGCATAGCAATGCTATACAACATTATTATAATATGAAGACAAAGCACGACCCGTCGTCTTGAATCTATCTATATAAATATATTCTGCACATTACGATGAGCACATTTATGATCTCGGCAAGATAGGAAACAAAGGAACTTGATGCAATCATTTGATCACATTGAATGTATAGTATAGAGGGCGTTGGTGTGGGCGCAGGGAACGTGATGGTGAGCGTAGAGTACACTGCCTGCGGGGACGACACCCACGACGGGTTCAGGGACTCCTGCAGCAGCAGCTACCCACTCCTACACTTCTCTCTGGCCGTTGTCGTCATCTTCGACGTGAGCTACGCCCTCCTCCTCTTGGTAAGATCTAGCCCGGGGGAGCTTTGGGTCTTCATACACATTTGACTACACTTTCTCCCGTTGTTGCCGGCCCATACTCTTCATAGTATGTGGGGAGTGTGTGGGGAATATATATAGGGAGTGTGAATGGAATATATGGAGGAGTGTGTGTGTGTATGGAACGATTCATAAGACAATAAAGTTACAATTTGAGAATGTTCTGTCTAGGTTCACTTGCCAGTTTACAAGCAGACTATTATTGGGTCCGTCATATATGCTTTCAGACCATCACAAATATCTAGATAGCTTTCAGGTGGTATGAGAGTGGGTTTGGTGTCTCGTAGTAATTACTTAACCTATAAGGACGAGCTCGGTTATCAACAACCAGCTTACAATTAGGAACATCCTACCATCTACAAGACCAGGACCAAACTACCAGTTTACGCAAACTGGTAGTTTGCGTAAACTGCTTCCCCCCCTCCCCTTCCCCCCAGTTGACCAATGAGAATGCATGCCAAGGTTACCCAAACCCTTCAACACGATAAATACCTCATCTCTCTTTATACCTCTATGGGAACATATACAGCAATCTCTGCCCATATATATATTTACTTTCCCACCACTTCCGACTTCCGAAGATAGTAATGTTCGTTGTAGTGAAACACATCCTTAAGTAAAATGTGTTCGTTAGCCAAACGTGTCGGGACCATTACGTGTTAAATGATTTTTGGGGCACTAATGTTGTCAACTTGACTCACAAGTGATGAACGTAAGATATATGAAGAGAATTCGTGCTAAAATCATTGATATAGACTGTATTGTTATGTTCAATAATTAATATATATAATATATATATAATATATATATAATATATATATAATATATATAATGTATATGTGGTGTGGGCAGGTGGTGTTGCTGAGCTGTTGCAGCCGTAGAGGGAAGAGGATGCAGTTGAGTGTCAACAACGACTACTTTACCTTCCCCTACTGTTCCTGCTGCCTCCCTGGAGACACCAACCGTCAGTATCCGCCCCTACCATATGCCTCAACACCCGCCCCTACCATGCCTCAACACCCGCCCCCTACCATGCCTCAACACCCGCCCCTACCATGCCTCAACACCCTCCCCCTAATCTTCCCTCTCTTGCCTTTTACCTCGTCCAGCTTGCGTGTGTCTCCCCCCTTGTTGCTTGGTGCTGTTGTTATAGATTCAGCTACTAGGAACAACTTCCTAGTAGCACGGGCTATGGTGAGCCCGTAGTGGACTTACCTGGCACAGGATCGGTGCGTGTGGTCTCCCCTTCGCTCGCTCACGTGTGTATATCTCGCCTCACCATCCCCGTATGTCTCTTCTCTCACCTTCCACACTCTCTGTCGACCCTCACAACGCATGGCTACCTGAGTTTATCTCGAACAAATGGAAAGTAATGGAATTAGGTTTTGGGAACAGAATACCGGTCACAAGGTACCAAATGGGGGAATAAAGTCCTTCAAAATACTGAGAGACAGAGAAATACCAAGGGGGTTAATATAACTCCGTCTTCCAAAGCCATTACAGCCTAAAGCATACTGCTGCTCTAATTTGTGCAACTTTTATGGAATGATGGATTCTGAATACATTGGTTATTCCCCGACTGTCCAAGAAGTTGGGCACCATTCCTTCCCTCCTTCCTATCCTTAATTCTTGTCCTCATATCCCTTCCAAGTGCTATATAGTCGTAAGGGCTTTGTTCTTTCTCCTGATAACTACGCTACCTTAATATAATGGCTCTAGACCCAATTGTGTATATAATACTTTCCTCTAGCTGTCTCAGTTACCATTTTTAGCATATTCCACTGATTCAATATTTTCTCACTAAAAATACTGTATCATATAGCATTGTACCGTATACTGTACCGGCCCTTGGCAGGCATGAGCTGGCAGGAGTGGGTAGGAGCGGTGACTGCGGTAGCGTACCTGGGGCTGGCTGTGGCTTGTATAGTGGTCGGGGCCTCCGTCGTCCGCTCCTGTCACCTCACCGACCACATTGCTCTTTGGCTCATCATTCAAGGCCAGTACCATCTCCCAGTCTTGAGTGTGAGTGGACAATGTGTAGTTGTAATACACCAAGAGGCAGTGCTGAGTGTAGGTGTACTGTGTGTGGTGACGATACACAAGTGTATGGCAGTGAATACAGTGGTGACCATGAATGTATACCGGCAGGTGTGGTGACGGTGGTGGTGGAAGTGGTAGGGGCGTGGTACCTGGTGTGCTCCAGGTGGACTAGCGTCTACTGGCCCCCCGGGTCCTTCCTGGTGTTCTCCCCGCTGGTCGCCGCCCTCCTCCTTCACTTCGTCATCAATATCCTGGGTCAGTGACCGCTCTCTTCTATACAGTACCTCGCCTCTGCTCTTGAAAATGTTGACAGAATCAACACCACATTAACGCCCAAGACTGATGCCTACCATATACGTGTGTGTTGCAGGGACGGTGAGGGTAGTTGAGATCCTCGGCAGCCAGTGCACCGGCGAGGTGTGCAGTGAGGCCCTCAGGATCTTCTACATCGTCGTCATCGCCTTCTACGACCTCCCGTTTCTTGTGCTGCTCTACATGGCCACCATCTTCGTTGCCCTGATGCTCGTCCTTCTGTTCATCACAAGCTGTTGTTATTGCTGCAAGAAGCTAAAGACTGACACCGAGAGTCGGGACCCCAGAGTTGGAGACAAGCAGGAGTAGCGGAAGGATGGCGATGTAGGTGACCTCGGTGAAGGTTATGCTGATGTGGATGCTGCTGGTGCGAATTATGCTGATGTAGGATAACCTGGTGTGGATGATGCTGTTGTGGGTGTCCATAATATACAGCAGCTCCAGCTATACTGCTGATCTTATCCAGCTGGAGCTGATCTTATCCAGCTGGAGCTGATCTTATCCAGCTGGAGCTGATCTTGTCCAGCTGGAGCTGATCTTATCCAGCTGTGTGCGATGCTGGAAACTACAGCAGGTCCAGCTACTAAGCTTGGTTACTCTTTGTTTTCATTTAAGCATGTATTTCATTATCATGAAAATTGCAATTCTTTTTTTATTATTATTAATTGGTGTAACTTTGATTATTATTGTTTCAGATATGTATATGACATGCGTCAAGTAAAACTAGACGTAGCAGTTAAGCCTTTCCTTTCATCCAGATCGTTGCATTGGTAAAAAAAATATAAAGCATTTAATGAAAAGGAAATTATAATGTTAAACAGCAGCCTCTTATAACTTAAGAACTTTAGCACTGTGAATTAGCAGCTTCTCGGTGTGAGTTACATTTCACAATTCTTAAATCTCCTAAATACGTTGTACTCTTTTTTTTTCCTTCCGGGTCAAGATCATTCATTACATTAAAGTTTAATGTCTTTATTAATTTGTGGGATTACTACATATATTTATATTTTTTCTTTACTGTGTTAGTAAAGTTATCAGTTATTAACTGACCAGATGAACGTATTTTAAGTCGCACTCTTGGAAAATATATATACCTGAAGTATGAATTGAAGCGAGTGGTAGGCGGCTTTAACTTGGGCCGTTACAACGTTATGATTTAAGCCAGCCCCTTCCCCTCCCACACCCAGCAACCCTTTCCTACACCCGGCAACCCTCTCCCACACCCGGCAACCCTCTCCCACACCCGGCAACCCTCTCCCACACCCGGCAACCCTCTCCCACACCCGGCAACCCCTCCCACACCCGGCAACCCCTCCCACACATAGCGACATCCCCTCCCACACCCAGTGACCCCCTCCCACACCCGGCAACCCTCTCCCACACCCAGTGACCCCCTCCCACACATAGCGACATCTCCTCCCACACCCAGTGACCCCCTCCCACACCCAGCAACCCTCTCCCACACCCGGCAACCCTCTCCTACACCCGGCAACCCCTCCCACACCCAGCAGCCCCCTCCCACACCCAGCAGCCCCCTGGTCGACCCACACCCAGCAGCCCCCTCCCACACCCAGCAACCCTCTCCCACACCCGGCAACCCTCTCCCACACCCGGCAACCCTCTCCCACACCCGGCAACCCTCTCCCACACACGGCAACCCTCTCCCACACCCGGCAACCCTCTCCCACACCCGGCAACCCTCTTCCACACCCGGCAACCCTCTCCCACACACGGCAACCCTCTCCCACACCCGGCAACCCTCTCCCACACCCGGCAACCCTCTCCCACACCCGGCAACCCTCTCCCACACCCGGCAACCCTCTCCCACACCCGGCTACCCTCTCCCACACCCAGAGACTCGCCGCTCTGCTACCGGAGGGCGCTGACGTTCGGCCCGGGCTGTCAGTGTTGACCTGTACCTGCTGCGTGGTGGTCGTCTTGTTGACGGTGTGGTGCGGCCATTGGCCGGGGCCTGGCGGGTGTCATGGCGTCGACTAGTGGTGGCCGTGTTCGCCGGGTCGACACCGCCCGGCTTGATTTCTCGGCCCCCATTGACTGGCCCTTGGTGGAGGTTGCCCTTATGGACGTCATGCGTGTTGAGTTCCAAGATCTCTACGGTGTTGAGAAACTTTCCCCTACCCGGGTGGCGGTGACATTCTCCTCGGCGCAGGTGTATCAGCTGTTTGTGCGTCGATGGGGTACACGGACGCATGTACTTCCAGGTTCTGCTGTGACGGTGGAGGTCTCCGATCCGTGGGGCCCCCTGACGTATGTGAGCGTTCATGGTGCGCCGGTGCAGTTTCCTGAGGAGGAGCTGTCCGCCGCGTTCCGTCGGTATGGTGAGGTGGTGGGGCAGCGTCATGCCTGTCTGCTTAGTGGGCGCCTGAAGGGGCTCCGTATGGGTGCCCGTACTTTGCGCATGCGGCTCTCTGGGGCTATTCCCTCTCGGGTGGCTGTGTGTGGGTTTTATGTGCGTGTGTTCTACCAGGGGCAGACTCGCTCCTGTTTCCGGTGTGGTGAGGTAGGCCATTTCGCTGCAGCTTGCCGTGCCCCTCGCCCGGAGGACCCATCGGTTTTCCATGCGGATGATTTTCCACTTCTGCCGGAGGCTGGGGCGCCCCCAGCGGGCCCGGGCTCTGTGGGTGTGCCTCTGGAGGCGTCGTCCCCAACTGTCCCTACCTCTCCGTCTGCTGCTGGGTCCTCTGCTCTGTCTGTTGACTCTGATGCTCTCGCGGCTCCTGCTTCGGGTGCGCCTATGCTGGTGGCGGCGGAGGTACATCGTGACCCGAGTGTCTCCTTGAAATCCGACGTGTGTGGTGTAGTGCCGGAGGGCGACCCGTGTGCAGTGGCCAGTGTGCTTCCCGAGGCCAGGGGCGGTGTTGATACTGTGTCTCCTGACGGCCAGCCTAGCGGTGTTCCTGATGCTGGTGCCGTGGCGCAGCCGCCTGCTGTCGCTTGTGCTGTGCCTCCTGTGGTTGCATTGGGCTCTTCTGTTCCTCGACGAAAGCGCGCTCCGAGGGATCGGTCGCGCAGCAGGGGCCCCCCTGGGAAGAGGATCGAGGCTTCGGGTGGTGTGCCTTTGGCTGGTGCTCCTCCCTCCGCTTCTCCAGTGGTTCCTCCTCCCCCTTCGGAAGCGGGATCTGGGGATGAGCGGGGCATTGAGCGTGGTGTCGGGCTCGGGGCAGCGGAGGAAGTGGAAAAACTGTGGATGGTGTCCTCGACGCCTGGGGCGCCCTCTTCGCATGGTGTATCTCCTGTGATTTTGAAGGCGGTTCCTGGCCGGTCGTCTTCCAGGGTGCGGCAGGGGGTTGAGCCTGGTGGTGTGGATGTGGCTCCCGCTGCGGGTGCGGTTGTGTCCCCTGCGGGACGCGTTGGGTTGGGGGTGTCCTGAGGTTCTCCCGATGGCGCCCTCTGTTGTCTGTGCGTCTTTGAATGTTCGTGGTTTGAATGATCTTGGGGTCCAGTTGGGCCTGTTGGATGTTCTGCAGGAGCAGCGTGTGGATGTGGCTCTGATCCAGGAGCATAATGTTCGTGAGGTGTCTGTGCTGCAGTGTTTAAGTGCGCATTTTCATGTTGTGCTCAACCCGCCGAGGACGTCCTTCGGGGGGACGCTTATGTTGTTTTCTAGGAGGGCTGCCTTCTCCGTGCTTCACACGGAGATGGATGAAGATGGGCGGGTTTTGTTTGTGAGGGTTGAGTTTTTGGGGGTCGTTCTTCCGTTCCTGACGGTGTACGCCCCCTCGGGGGTGGCTCGCCGTCGGGAACGGGAGGAGTTTTTTCGGGTGGGGCTTCTCCCTTTCCTGCGTCATGATACGCGGAGTATGGTTTTTGGTGGTGATTTTAACTGTGTGACGAGTGCGCGGGACTGTAGTAGCGCCCGCCCGCAGAATGTCTCGGGTGCGCTGCTGGAGGTGGTGCGTTCTTGCGGTTTCAAGGATGCTGCTGTGCTCTATGGGGGCGAGTTGTCCTTTACTTTTGCTGCGCATGGGGCGCGTTCGCGGATTGATCGCGTGTATGTTACTGGCGGGGGGTGTTCTGTGTTTGCTTTCCACACTGTCCCGGTTGCTTTCTCGGACCATAGTCTCGTGGTGGTCCGGGTTGGTGTGCCCAGTCAGGTACGGGTCGGCGCGGGGTGGTGGAAGCTGAATTGTGGGTTGTTGCGTTCTCCGAGGGTTTGTGGGCAGTTTCGGGTTTGGTGGGTCGGGGTTCTCGCCCGGCGGTGTGATTTTCCTTCTGTTTTAGATTGGTGGGAGTGGTGTAAGGAGCAATGTCGGTTGTTTTTTCGGGTGGCTGCCAAACGTGAGGCTGCTGGAAGGTTTGGGTTGCTGCGGTTGTTCCAGGCGAGGCTTTCGCGGTTGTATGTGCGGTACAATGCTGGGATTGACTGTTTTGGGGAGATTGCGGAGTGTAAGGAGCGTATTTGTGGTTTGCGGAATGAGTGGGCCGAGGGTGTTCGTGTGCGTGCTCGTGTGAGTGAACGTGTTGACGGGGAACGGCTCTCTCCTTATCTTTTAGGGAAGGTGAAGGCTGCGCGGGACGGTGTTCTTTTTACGGCTCTGCAAAGGCCGGATGGGTCTGTTGTTTCGGACACCGGTGGTGTGTTGCATTATGTGCGGCAAGAGTTGGTTGCGCTCTATGGGGAGGTGGTAGGGGACGACGCGATTGCGGAAGGTTTTTTGGGTGGTTGTGCTCCGGGGTTGTCTGCTGCTGATTGTGTTGGTTTGGAGGAAGATGTTTCGTTGGGGGAGCTTTTCGGTGTGGTGAGGTCATTTCGTTCCGGGAAGGTGCCGGGCTCGGATGGTCTTCCTGTCGAGTTTTATGTTGCCTTTTGGGATGTGTTGGGTGATGTTCTTTTGGAGGTGGTCCGGACTTGCCTCCGGGGGTGCGTTCTGCCTGTATCTCAGTGCGTTGGGATTGTGCGGCTGCTCCCGAAGCCGGGCGATTTGCGGTTCTTCTCGAACTGGAGACCCATTACTTTGTTGAATGTGGACTATAAGATCCTGTCCAAGATTTTAGCTGGTCGGTGTCGCCGTGTGGTTGCGTCTGTGGTTTCCGTGGAACAGTTTTGTGGTGTTCCAGGTCGCTCGTTACTGCAGTGCAATGCGTTATTTCGGGATGTGCTTCTGTACGTGTCGGGCTCTCGCTTGTCTGCAGCGATGCTTTGCCTGGATTGGTCTAAGGCTTTTGACCGTGTTTCGTTAGCTTTTGTTTTTCGTGTGTTAGAGAGGCTTGGTTTTCCGCCTTTGTTTGTTCGTTGGGTGCGTATGTTGTACGCTCAGTGTTGCAGTCGGGTTTGCATCAATGGGTTCTTGAGTGCTCCTTTCCCTGTCCGCCGTTCGGTGAGGCAGGGTTGTCCGCTTTCCATGCTCCTTTATGTGCTCTTTCAGGAGCCTTTTTTTAGGGCGGTCAAGGCTTGTGCGTTGATCCGTCCCCCCCGGCTGCCTTCTGATCTTCGGTTACCCATCTGCGGTTATGCGGATGATACCATCCTGTTCGTGGCCTCTGCTGGTTCTGTTCGGGCTGTCCAGGTCGTGGTTGAGAGGTTTGAGTTGGCCACTGGGGCCCAGGTCAATCGTGCCAAATCTGGTCTTATGGGTATCGGTGGGTGGTCCTCTCGCCTTGTGTGGGAGGGGTCTTGGTTTCCGGTGGTCTCCTCTCTGCGAGTTCTGGGGATCACCTGGTTCGCTTCTTACGAGAGATCTTTGGAATTTAATTGGGGTGCGGTTTCTCGTAGTGTTGGTGTTGCGGTTGGGTTGTTGGCTGCGCGCCCGTTAACAATTTATCAGCGGGCGTTGCTTGTTACTTGTAAAGTTCTGTCACGTGTCTGGTTCGTGGCTCGGTGTTTCCCCCTAGAACGCCGGCTGGCTCTGGGGTTGGAACGTCAGGTTTATAGGTACGTGTGGTGTGGTCGTTACCACCCGGTTCGTCGCTCGACGTTGGTGTTAGCGGTGCGGGAAGGTGGGGTTGGTATTCCTGATGTGTTTACCAGGGCTCGGGCGCTGTTCTGGGTCTCGTTGCGTCAGGGTTTAGCGTTGGGTGGGGGGCTCAATGCTTTGTGTATTTTTTATTGTTCGGTCCGGTTTAGTTTTTTGGTGGATTGCGGTGTTTGTCGGGAGGTGGCCTTTTGTACTCCTCCTGTTTACTCCTGGGCGGTAGACATTCTTCGGGCTGTCTGTCGTTGTCCGGGTTATATGTCTCTCTCAGTGAAGGCGATTTATGGGGTTCTATTTTGTCGTGTTCAGCCGCGGGTGGAGTCTTTATTCCCGTGTTGGGATTGGGGGGAGGTGTGGGCGGCGTTAGGGGCGCGGTTTTTGGCGCCGCAGCAGCGGGAGTTGTTGTTTCGCATGTTGCATTTGTCGTTGGCGACAAATGACCGGTTGTGCATGCTGGGTTTGCGTGCCTCTGACGCATGTGTCCACTGTGGTTTGCCTGAAACTCAGTTACATGTTTTCTATTTTTGTGAGAGGCTGAGTGGTTTGCTTGCTTGGTTTCGTGCTGTGTTGGCCGTGGTTTGTGGGCCGGGATGTCGGGGTGGTTTTTTGCCGTTTTTGTTTTTGTCTTTTCCGCGGGGCTCTCGACGGGTGCGTAATACGCTCTGTCTTCTTGTCGCTGACTATGTGTATTGTGTGTGGGTTGGCCGGAGGGAGGGTTATGGGGTTGATAGGGTTTTGGGGTTTTTGAGAGGGCGCTTACGGTTCACCTGGTGGTGGCTGCAGCGTGCTTTTCCGGATGATTTTTGTGGTTGGTTTACTGGTGCGTATGTTCGTGGGGCTGCTTTTGAGTGATTGGTCGTGGGTTGGGCTCGTGGATGTTGGCTGTGGGTTGGTTGGGTGGGTCTTGTTCCGGTTTGTTTTCGGTCCCCGGTCCTCCGATGGGCCTCCTCGGCGGGGGTTGGGCGGGGTGTGTGTGTGGTTGTTTTGTTCTGTTGTGGTTGCTCCTGTGGGTGTGTGTTTCGTTTGGGTGTGCTTGTGTGTGGGTGTGGTTTTTATGTTTTCCCTGGCTCCTGCGTGGGCCTTTTTGTTTGCCTTGTATGGGTTTTATGTTTTGTGCATTTTTGTTCTTTGTGGTATGTATGCTTATGTGCTCCTCTGTCTTTGGAGCGTGCCTCTTCTGTCTTATGTGATTTTCTGTGTGGGGGGGTTGGGGTGCCCGGGTTATGTTTTGTCCTCCCCCCCCCTTTTCATGTACTACTGTTCCTGTGTTATGAGTGTTTTTTTGCCATTACTGATTGTTATTTCTCTTTTTATGTGCCATGTACTTTGCCTTGTGCTATTTATGTATTATTTATCTGTTCTTTCTTGATTTGTGTTTTGTGTTCTGCCTTTGTATTATGTCTTTTTAATTATGCATGAGGAAACGGAGTAAGAAAAAAGAAATGTACTCAGTTATTTCTGTTTGACCTTCACTGTATGTATTTCCATGTTTTTTGTTTAATGTAGTTTTGTAATTTTGCCTCTTAGGGGTTTCGGAGGCCTGTTGTTCTATACTTTTATGCACCTGTGTTTGGGTTGTTGGGCTGGGCTTGTATGTGCGTTCTCCTTTTGTATTTCTGTACTTAAGGTTGTGTGGATGTGCCTATGTTTTATGTTATTTCTATTGTATGTTATTTCTATTGTGTGCTATTAATGACATGTTCTGTTTTTTGTGGTACATACTGTCCCCGTTTCTGGGTTCTCTTTTTTTTTGTGCCTTGTGTCATGTGTTTTTTTTCTTGGTTTTTGTTGGGTATGTTTAGTGTATCCGTGGTTTACTTCCTTTGTTATATTGTCCTGTGTATGTTCATGACTTGTTTGTTCGGCGGGTGTCTGGTTTGTACATTGTGTATTCTTTTATAAAAATAAAAAAAAAAAAAAAATTTGATCACGTCAATCCAAAGGCCAATTCCCCACCCAATGGGCCGGGGTGCGCATGGCACTGGCGCCGCGGTCGTGAACATCAGCTGGTGGTACTGAGTGGCCCCCAGTGGCACTGTGTGAACCCCCGGTGGCACTGGGTGAACCCTCGGTGGCACTGCGTGACCCCCGGTGGCACTGTGTGACCCCCAGTAGCACTGTGTGACCCCCCGGTGGCACTGTGTGAACCCCCGGTGGTACTGTGTGACCCCCCAGTAGCACTGTGTGACCCTCGGTGGCACTGTGTGAACCCCCGTTGGTACTGTGTGACCCTCGGTGGCACTGTGTGACCCTCGGTGGCACTGTGTGAACCCCTGGTGGCACTGTTTGACCCCCAGTGGCACTGTGTAGCAGGCCCCTTGCTGGCCCGGACGACACCGCTCACCATGAGCTGTGGGAGTGATGCTGGGGTGGTGTGAGGCTGCTGCAGGCTCAGGTATAGCCTCCCTCTCCAAGCCCCAGCACTATCTCTCGGTAATTATTTTCCTGTGAATTCGCGTTGTCTAGCACAGGAAGCCTGCCAGGGTTATCGAGGTCACCCTAGGCCAGCTACTGACCTTTCCCGGGATGCCACCCTACAATATTTGCCAAACTCTCATTACCTATTTACTTACTAGGTGAAAAGATGTACTGTATTAGGTGAAAGGAAACATGATCAACCGTTTCCGGACCCACCGTGGGATTGAACCCGGGTCCCCTGATTGTGGGTCGAGGATTCAAATTAACTAGTATATAATATTGGATGTTATTAACTGTTTTGAGTTCTTATAATTTGTAATTAGACCTGCAGGGACTTGAGATGTATCATATTGCTCTCAGTGTTGTGTGCACAGGTACGTTAATATTATTATAATTATTATTATTATTATTATTATTATTATTATTATTATTATCAATAGGCTGGAAGAAGGGATCCATAGCCTTTGGAAAAAAACACGAATCATTATAGAGGATGTTTAGGTCATGCCTCGCCCCCACTATATATATACCTGTATATATATATATATATATATATATATATATATATATATATATATATATATATATAGTATATGCAATTGACGATCACAAAACACTGATCATTTTATGCGGAAAATCCACAGAGAAATATGAAATGAGGTGAACGTTTCGGCTTTGTTAAAGCCTTTGTCAACACCAGACTGAATGGTGATGGTGTTCCTCTCCCTTAAGTGGGTACCCTATTGTATTTACGATTGATTCCTCTCCCTTAAGTGTTGTATGTACAACATAAAGGGGATATTTATAGGGTATTAGATGTCGGGCACATAATAGACCACGAAACAATAGTCTGGTGTTGACAAAGGCTTTAACAAAGCCGAAACGTTCACCTCATTTCATATTTCTCTGTGGATTTTCCGCATATATAGTATATAAATATGACAGTGTATATAAATATATATTATGATAATAAAACAGGTAATAATAAATTAAAATACAGTAATTATATATATATATATATATATATATATATATATATATATATATATATATATATATATATATATATATATATATATATATATATATATATTTTATTATTAAATATGACCGAAAAAGTAAGATTAATAATTCTAACATGAATTTTCTCTATCTTTCTTACGTTTCTTTTCACTGTTGATGGTAATTCAAAGATCAATTCTCCAAAATTCCTTTTTATTTCTAGTCTTATTATTTATTTCTAATTATATATATATATATATATATATATATATATATATATATATATATATATATATATATATATATATATGTCGTACCTAGTAGCCAGAACGTACTTCTCAGCCTACTATGCAAGGCCGGATTTGCCTAATAAGCCAAGTTTTCATGAATTAATTGTTTTTCGACTACCTAACCTACCTAACCTAACCTAACCTAACTTTTTCGGCTACCTAACCAAACCTAACCTATAAAGATAGGTTAGGTTAGGTTAGGTAGGGTTGGTTAAGTTCGGTCATATATCTACGTTAATTTTAACTCCAATAAAAAAAAATTGACCTCATACATAATGAAATGGGTAGCTTTATCATTTCATAAGAAAAAAATTAGAAAAAATATATTAATTCAGGAAAACTTGGCTTATTAGGCAAATCGGGCCTTGAATAGTAGGCCAAAAAGTGAGTTCTGGCTACTAGGTACGACATATATATATATATATATATATATATATATATATATATATATATATATATATATATATATATATATATATATATATATATATATATATATATATATATATATATATATATATATATATATATATATATATATATATATATATATATATATATATATATATATATATATTATTATATATAATTATATATATATATATAATTATGTATGCCATTGTGGCCCAATCAGAAAAAGGCATTTCATTACATTCAACAATGGTTTTCTGAAGGGTACTCGTTGCGGAGTGCAAGGGGTTCCCTGCAGAAAACCACGAAGCTATCTTCCAAAGATTGCTACATAGTAAAAGGTCACATCAGTCGCAGAAAGTTCTGTTTAGCCTGCCAGGAACCAGAGCTAGAACCTGGCACCCCCTCATGAGAGGTGCAGGGAGCAGGTGACAATCTGCCATCTCACCAGAAAAAGTCTGTAGAAAGGGCAGCTTTACAGACACTGTTGTTGGTTCACAAAAACAAACTCTCAGAAACTGGCAAACAACACCTCAACACAATTCACATGGAATAAGGGATTGACCCCCAGTAGGCCAAACAGAACTTACCATGACTAATGTGACCTTTTAGTATGAAGCAATCTCAGGAAGATAACTTTGGGTAGCTACCTGAACTCCATCAGAGATTGGGGTTTCATTACATTTAATGCTGGGTTTTTACTCATTATCAGGACTCCATTTGACATGACTTGTTCAGGTGTTCACTATTTCCTAGTCCTCCGTTATTGCATGATAAGACTCGTATGATTTATAGCAATTCAATTATGCAGTATTATAATTCTTAATAGTAATATTTTCCAGCTGATACCACCACAATGGATACAGATGAAGATATCAGTGCATTGGAAGAAGAGGAAGAGGAGGTTGCACTTCTGTGCCATTCAAATCTAACCTGTGAACTGGAGCTGTCACATCCATGCTCTTCCCCAGAACCATCTTGTTCTTCTCCGTGCAACTCTGAACCATCATGCCGTCCCACACAGAGCTCAACTACATCACTGGAAGATCTTCTTTCTTCAGACATTGACGGTACTTCTTCATTTAAAATTTTGTCCATTCTTGGCATCAAAATAACTGTAATCCTATTTTATTTTTACCCTGTTAAATTTCAGAATGAAAGAACATTTTTTGCATTAGTGTTTTGTCTTCAGTGGTTGGGTAAGGCATTGTTTACACTTGTGTCTGTTGGTTGCTTGATTTAACCGCAAAACAGATGAATGGATTTGGAAGAAGTGCATTGAGAAAACAATGTTGAGTATGATGCACACAGGATTAAAGTGTTAAGAAGATTTACTGTTATATTCAAGGTTTTAGGTGTGTATTAATCGAAATTAAAATTATCTGTCTATGCAAGCAGGTAACCTGACACTTAGGCTCTTACATGCATATGTTAGTACTGTGTTGAAACAACTGTGTACAGCTCTTGGTCAAAGCATGATAGTCTAAATCCTTTTCAGTTCAGTACTGCATTGTGCAACTGTAAATACTTTGTTATGCAGCTTTTTGATTACTTTCTGCCTATGCTTTTTGCCAGTTAGTAAGACATATTTCTGGAACAACAAGTAAATATCTTTGAGGGAAAGCTTGATAGACTTTGAAATGTATCAGATGTTTAGCAAAGACCGTGTTATCCTGAGGGTTGAATATCGCTATAGCCTGGTTGATTAGGCAGTCTTGAAAAGGAGTCTTGGGGTTTTGCAGCAAGAGTAGAAAAAATTCATGAGTTGGCCACAAGGCAATTCCTGGGGAAAATTCCTTGTGGCTCCCTGAAGCTTCTTGGAGCCTAACTAACAGTCCCTAATTACTGAATCAATCAGTTGTTGAGTTCAGTTCAGCTTACCAAGGACCAGAACCTGGTCCCCGTCACAGAGGCACAGGAAGCAGGTTACACTCTGCACCTCACTTGGGAAGGCACCCAGAAAGTCAGTCAACCAATATAAACCACTGCCAGATTCAAAGAGACCAAAGCCTCACAACCCACTTACCAAACTCTCCTAAAAATGTATACAAATAAAAAAATTCTCAAAACAAGCATGTGCAAGTTTGTCCCACTCTTCCCACTCGTTTGGGGGGAAGTTGGGGGGGGGGGGGGGCTGGAGCTGTACATTGGCTCAAGCCCTCAGTTCCTCCACTTATGCAGTGCCCTCCAGACATGTGCAGTATGGCCCCAGGGTCATCAGTAGCTGTAGCTGTAGCTTTCAGCTAAGGGCTTCTCAGGATTGTTTCCTGTATGCTTTGTTTTTGTACACTGTAGTGTAGTGTGGGCTTGATGTGATCTAGTAGTTGGGTGCCATCTCATCTCAGGAAGACACTGAGGCTCGCCCAGAAATTGGCATTTCATTACATTCAATACTGTATTGTTTTTTTAAATTCTTTTATTTAATTTTAAATTTATTAGAAGTTTAAGTGTCTGAATATGTGTTTATCAGAAAGTGTAAATTGTGCAAGTAAAGTTGAGAATAGAGTGAGTTCAAAGTGGATGGGGGCAGATCCTTGGTTAGGAGTACTATAAGATAGGCTGGGATGTAGGTACAGGCCTAACTATTCTGCCCAAAACTCTGTGTGTGTTAGTAGATTTGTAAGAACACCAATGTTATCTACTCTCACAACCCAATGTATCTTCTATATAAATAAATAAAAGAAATGTAGGAGTGACCCAGTTGGCATTTTTTGTTGCTTTAACATCATCCACTGGTGATGCTCGACAATTAAAGCAATCGAAAAGGCCCATTGGGGAGTGTGGCAGTCTGGGACAAAGAACACTTGCACGGCATGAGCATGGCAAATGTAAGAGTTTGGGCAGTAAAAATGGTTACTGTGAAGTATGTGTAGTTTTATGAGGGAAGAATAAGGTTTGATAATGTTTTATAATAAGTTATATGTGCCTTTGGAAAAGAGGTCACCCATGTTTTCAAGCGCTGTTAAACCTGGGAGACATGTATGGAAGACAATGGTAAGTGCAGTCATGTTTAATTGCAAAACTTGAGAGAATTCTTGAAGTGGATGAAATGGCGACAGTTAGATTTTCAGCACTAACTGTTGTGAATAGTGAATTGGGACCGAGATGATTTAACAAAAACATAAGTTATATAAATAAATAAATAAATAAATGTTTATTTATGTAAGGTACATACATAAAGAGATTTTACAAAGTTTGTTGGGTTAATAGATAGAGCTAGTACATACAATGCCTAAAGCCACTATTACGCAAAGCGTTTCGGGCAGGAAAAACATTAATGACTAAAGCTTAAAACTAATGGGTAAAAAGCATAAAATGTGTTGAGAACAAATAAAAATAGAGGTAAAAGAGGGGGGAACATGGTTGAAAAAGCAGCACAAATACAATTACAAATTAATACAGAAAATTACATTCAAGCAGCGTTGTTTTGAAAAAAAAAAAAAAAAAAACATACATGGGTTGACAACAGAGGGGTAAGGTAGGTTACAGGGAATTTATTAGGTAGTGCTTCGTTTTTATCTTAAACTGGTTGAGAGAGGTACTGTCTTTAACATGGTTGGGAAGGTCATTCCACATTCTGGGTCCCTTGATTTGAAGAGCATTTCTAGTATGATTAAGTCGTACTCTAGGAATATCAAAACTGCATTTATTTCTGGTGTGGTGCTCATGGGTTCTGTTACAACCTTCAATGAATCTTTTGAGGTCAGGATTGGCATTACAGTTCAGAGTTTTATATATGTATAATACACATGACAAATACAAATATCTTAGTATAATGGAATGGGTAGTAAAGAGGAGTCAAGAAGCCAAAGGTGAATTAGCCTGCTAAGTGCATCTGGAAAATTGCATGGCAAATATACATCTAATAGATAGGATTTGTAAATTAAATGTGATTGTAAGAGTAGAGAAAGAAGCTTATGAGAGGAGTGTATTGGAATGCCTAATGCTTAGTAGTTTAGGGTGCAGGAGAGAAGCTGGTAACTGCATAACAATATTTTTAGACTTTTCAGTCATCAAATCCTGATTTTAAACACTTGACAAGGGAGGGCATAAGCAGCCTCGAATGACAAAACAATATGTACACGACCCAGATGTGTCCTCTGCTAAAGTTCAAGACCGTCTCTTTTCCCTTCAAGAAGCCCCACAGTGGAGACTAAATGTCATGCACTGCCTGGAAGTGAGGTGACTCAAGAAGAGTCTTCTCGTAGAGAACCTGCATTTACTCATAACAGAGACTTCTCTTGAAGTATTGTATATAAAAATGCAAGCCAACCCTGGGGAGGGGGTGCCCTGTCCACGGTTGGAATGAAATAGAGTACTAGGGCATGTATAAATTGGGTGCTAGGGCATGCACATAAAGCATAAACAAAACAAACATTGCCCCTATCCCTGATGGAATGTAATGATCGAAGGAAAGCCAACACTGCTTAGCTGAAAGTGATAAGCCAATGATAGAATCAGGAGAGATTAACAGTGTTGGATAAGTCACAACAGTCAGAAGAGTAAGGGGGGACAGACTGGCCGAGACTCCAGGTTACCTGATCCACCACCTGGTGGCAGTTGAGCCAATTGCAAATAAGGTATTTACCCTGCAGCAGTGATTGTTTGCTTTATTTACCAAGGAGTTCCTAATTTCCTTTAAGTAGTTGCTTATTTTGTTGTGCCTATACTTTCTGGGGGTTTTGCCAGTTTTGTGGGTGATATGTGAACCCCCTGCTTTCCTCGCCTCATAGACAGCCAGACTATGGCCCTGACTCCTGGTAGGTTACACTTGGGTCTTGGAGGTCTGGTGCATTAAGTAAAGGTTAGGTAGTACCAGCGCTAAGCTCTGGGAGCTACCAAAAGGGTCCCTCTCAAAAAATAACTTTTTCATAAAAATGTGTTGAACAATGGTTGGGAGAAATAGATACTGAAAAAATGTGTGTAAAATATAGAGGGGGGGGGGCATGGGACAGATATACGAGGCTTTAGATAGTAGAGTAGGATGAAGTGAAGCATTACAGTAGTTTGCCTGATGCTGGTAGTATACATATTAGCTGCTGTATCTAGTGGCCCAGGCAGGGCATGAAATCCTGTGGCTTTTCATGATCCCTGCTATTCTGATTGATGAGTTTATCTGCAATATGCAAACTCATGAACTTATCCTTTATAAACTTTATGAGATAAACTTTATAAAATAAGATAAACTTTGAGTTTATCTGCTATATATAAACTCATCCGAGTTACACTGATGAGTTTATCCATGTGTAACACCCAACCACTGTTGATGTAGATGATGACTTGTGCCTCTCATTCTTTCCTGCTTCTTCCCATCTAATTTGCTCCTTTTGTGTACCTGTTGAGTCACTCCGCAGTCTTTTTCCCACAATTTTATTTCTTATTTTATGCAAGAGGTGACTGTTTCCCTAATGTAATTGCCAAGCAAGCATGTAGAATTCTTTGGCAAATATTTCAGGTGTTGCTTCAAAAGTCTTCAACACTTGAAGGCATCTGAAATGTCTGGAGATTCTACATGAGACCATCTCCTCAAGAAAGGTGAGCTCCCAGAGGAAATAAGGCATCAAAGATATAGTGACTGATTTTCTAATACAACTTCATTTTTCAATACCAACTTCATTTTATAAATTAGTAATTTTTTACAACTTTAATTATAGACTTGCTGTACATTGTTTCATTCCTCGTTCATATTTCGCTCCCACAAATCAGGATAAAGTAGAATAATATTCTTGTATGATTATTTCTTCACATTTGTAGCAATAATCTTACCATTCATAACTCTTCCCAGGAGTCTGATTTTTATATCACCTTTCTTCTGTGCACTACTTGCTCCTTTATGTTTTTAACGTGTCTGCATCGTACCAGTCCCATCCATTGAAATTTGTTTGCTTCTTCCTTGGCTCAACCATCTATTTCTTTTATGTTTCATGACATTTTATATGCTTTAGTAAATCTGATCAAATATAACATTTCACATTTTTGCCTTTTAAAGACCATTGGCATGCTCTTTTACTGGCATTAAAGTTTAATTTTCTTCTGTTTCACACAACAGTACAGTATACAGATCTCATTCACAATAATCTGTAATTTTTCTTCACTGCCATTAAACAGGCTCCTGACATACCCAAAATCCCACATTTATCTCTCCTTGTTCTTCTAAGGGGCATACACAATCTCCAAACTCATCCTGTGAATTCAGATATTTATATTCACCCTTCTTTTCAAATTACAAACCTTTAATTGCATGTTCCATGCCATCTTTTGCAGTGCACGTCCATATCACTTGATACACTTTGTGCTTTTCACATCATTCCATATGCATGTACCAGTACCACTCCATCATTATTCATGTACCTAACAGGCCTAATTTAAACATTTTCAAAGCACTCATTACTTGCTTAGTATTGCACTTATCACACATTCCTCTCATGCTGCATATGATCGTACATACCTGCACGGCTTCATGTAGACAGCTGGCTGCACACTGCTATCTTGAGGGCTCACTCCTAAATTGCATAGGTAGTTGACGTGTCTTGCCACAGTTAGGGCTCTTAATCAGATTTCCAATAGATTAACCCTTTATTTGAAGCTACTGTACAAACCAGGAACTCCTCATCTGAATTAAAAGCCAGTCTACAATTGGTGTGAGCCTCTACAACATTAGTGAATTCTGCCATGGGACATATGACATTTCTCAGGATGTATGCATTAAAGTAGAGAGAGAATTCTGAGTTGCTTTATAAACTCCTATCATTGAGCAGCTTACTATAGCAGAATACATTGCATATCTGCACTATTTGGCTTAGCTGCCACTTAGATGTAAACAAATTTATAAAAGCTATTTACTCTCTGTGGTTACTGGAGGTTTATGTTCATTTGCCTGGATAAACTGGATCAAAGTATACTTTTATTATATCAAATTATAATTATATCAAATTATACTAAGGAGCCTCCCCCAGTGGCTCCCAGAAGCTATCTTGATGAGATTGCTACATCTTAAGGAGTCACATCAGTTGTGAAAGTTATGCTTGGAATACTAGGGACCAGACTCAGAACCTGGCCCTACCTCACAGAGGTAAAAGGAGTAGGTGACAATCTGCCATCCACACTAGAAGACGCCTCCAGAAAGTCAGCAAAGCTTTACAGACAACTGGAGTGTTCGCAGAAAATGAGGCCTCGAAACCGCCAAACATATCCTTAAACAATTCACTCGAAACATGGTAATCACTCAAACTATCAAATATTGTTAGTGCTAATTATCACCATAATGCCTCCCGACCTCAGCGTTCATCAACTCTCCACCTCAGTTTTTTTGCTGATACCGTACCTACTGGTACAGCTTGAAGTGTTACCAATACGTCAGACTGTGAAAAAGTCTCGCTGCTTCAAGCTAGCCGTCCTTGGACTCTGTTGTCTTGTAAGGACCATTTTGTTCCGACATGTTGTATGGGTTTCACTCTTTTGGCATTTCGGGTTACATGCACTCAGTGTTTTCTTCTGAGTGTGTGACTGCTAATGCTGCCCTTGCATAGTTAGGGTTCCCTTCTTTGGTTTGTTCAGGAATTTGCCCTTGAGAGGCCTGAGCACTGAGGTAGGGAACATTGCCTCAGGCAATTCAAGGATCCATAATTCCTTTGTTTGATCCCCTGGCTGGGGAATTCTTTGTGTTGAGTGCACTGGGGTTTGCATACTTATTTATACAGCACACCACACCATGGTTGTCACTCATTTTGGCTGCAATTGGCACCTGATGTGTGTACTTAGCTACCATCCTTCAGGCTCTTGGAATCCCCCTGTGGGTCTCTGGCATGGTCTGTATGGCTCAGCCCATCAAGCCCTCTCTTGCACTCGGCAAGATTTCGTGGCATTTCTTTTGTCACTTCCTCTTCCTTTGTTGTTGTTTTTCTATTTCTGAGAGTGTGGTGCTGTCTTGGCTTTTTCTTGATCAGCATCTCATGCTGAATACTGTTGCCTTGTATCATGCGGTGCTGGCAGAGCCACTGCAGCTTACATTTGGGGTCGATACTATCTCGGCTCCATTTCACAAGCTGTTTTGTGCCTTGTTTCACCTCCGGCTTGCTCATGCACCATCTGAGCCTGCTTGGTCTCTGAACTGCATTCTTACATTTCTCTCTCCCTCTCGGTTTATGGTGTCTCCCTTCTGTCTGGGATTGTTTCTCTTGCTTCTGGTTGTCAGGTTTGGAGCTTCTTGCTCTCCTCTGTAGACGGGGTTCTTGTTCTTTTGGCCCTGGTGGGCGTTTTGTTCACATGCAGCCGGCTCCTGCTCTTCTGACGAAGAACGAGTTGGCTGGCTTCTGGAGTGATCCTTTGGTCATTGATGTCTTGTTGGTTTGGCCAGGAATACATCATGTGCTGTGCCTAGGGGTGGTGCTGGTGCTACCTTCATGCCATCAATCCAGTAAATGCCTTGTGATTGATCCTCTTTCTTTGGCCCCTTGTCAGTGTTAAGTCTAACGAGCCTGCAGTTTACCCTCGTGCCCTGATGTTAGGAGGTATGCCGTTCTGTCGGCAGTGTTTGCAAACGTGACCTGGGCAGATGGTTTCGAACTGGGTTCTGGTGACCCGGTATCTTGTTAATGTTCCCAGGCCTCGATACCCTTGTGTGGCTTTGGGTCGTATCTTTCCGCTGGGTGTCTCCTCTTCATCTTGAATCCTGCAGTGCTTCCTCCTCCCTGGTCGAGTTCCTGTGTGTTTTCCTGCTCTGTGGGTAGTTAGCTTCAGGGAGCCACAAAGAAAACCCAAGAAAACCAGCATTGAATGTAATGAAATGCCAATTTCTGGGTGAGCCCCAGTTGCTCCCTGGTTCCCTCCCTCCCTTCCTACATCTGTCCTACAACTGAGGGTAGAGACATCAGCTAGCAGTGTGCTGCTTCTCTCCTCCACCTAAATGAGCAGGGGAGGTGAGGCGAGCAAGCTTGTGCTAGTTTCAAGATAATTTGATCATTTGTTTACATAGCTGGGGGAGCTCTTTAGCAAGGTTTGAGGCTTCAGTCTCTTTTCTAACAGTGGATTATTTTGACTTGTTGACTTTCTGGTTGTCTTGTCTGGTGAGGTGGTGAAAATAAAATGTCACCACTCCCTGTGCCTCTGTGAGGGGGGTAAGGGGGGCAGGTTCGAGCACTGCTTCCCAGTAGGCCTATAGAACCTTACCACTGATGTGACCTAGTAGATGGTACCACCTCCCAGCGCTTTAGGAAGCCACGGGCTCACCCAGGCAATTGGTGCTTCATTACATTCAATGCTGGTTTTTTCTTTTTACGGTTAAAAAAAAATTAATTTCTGCATATGTGAAGATTTAATATATACTGTATACTGTATTTATAAAACACATTGTTGCACTGTTGTATTAATCTTAACCCCAGTTGTGGACATAATGAAAGCATATGATATTTGCTACCTGTTGTCTTTTATGGGTTCTATAACTGTAATTACTTAATTGCAATTGCCATATTAATTTAGTTTACTATATCAGGCTCATACAGTAATTACAATCAGGCTACAATTACTGAATGTAATTGTAGTTAAGTTGTAAGTTATGCCTGAAACTCTTTGCGTATTAGTGGCTGTATTAAATATACATTCAGCATTCTATCATATTTCAGATGATCCTGTAACCTCACTAGCTTCACGGGTATCATCATATACTCTCCCGATAAACAGGAGAGAACACAAGACTGTGGTCAGATATGTTATCCAGTCAGCACGTACACAAATTACTAAGGAAGAAAAGTTTGTGGTAAGAATTTTTTATTAGATGTTGGTAGTAGGGATATTTTATGGCCTTGTTCTGCCTATTTCCGAGTGTATTTTTTTTTTTTTTTTTTTTTTTTTTTTTTTTATAGATATATACAAGAGTTGTTACATTCTTGTACAGCCACTAGTACGCGTAGCGTTTCGGGCAGGTCCCTGGAATACAATCCCCTGCTGCGAAGAATCGTTTTTTCATCCAAGTACACATTTTACTGTTGCGTTAAACAGAGGTTACAGTTAAGGAATTGCGCCCAGTAAATCCTCCCCGGCCAGGATACGAACCCATGACATAGCGCTCGCGGAACGCCAGGCGAGTGTCTTACCACTACACCACGGAGACTGTAATTACCTAAGCTACGCTCATGGTGTCCCATCTTGCCAGTATTCTTTGCCATGTGACGCTCTGAAATTACTTATAGTTTTGGCCTCCACCACTACCTCTCTTAACTTGTTCCAAGCATCTATCACTCTGTTTTGCAAAAGGGAACTTTCTAAATTTTTTGTGGGGCAGTTTAGTTTCCTTGTTTTGAATGTATGACCTCTTGTTCTTGAAGTTACAGTTTTCAAGATTTCTTCTTTGTTAAGTTTGTTGATTCATTTTACTGTTTTGTATGTAGTGGTCATATCACCTCCTTTTCTTCTATTTTCCGCATTGGTATTTTTAGTATCTCTTGCTTTTCCTCTCGGCTCTTGTTTCTCAGTTCTGGACACTATTTAGTTGTATGTCTTTGCAATTTTTCCAGTTTATTGATGTGCTTCTTGAGATATTGGCACCATACCACCACTGTATATTCCAGTTTTAGTCTTTCAAAGGTCTTGAACAATTTCTTTAACCCTTGCAGTGCGCACCTGTTTTTAGCAAAACCTTCATAGTGCAATTGTTAAGGACATATTGTTGTTGTTTTTATAAATGTTCAGGTAAAGTTAGTGTCAAAATGTTTCCAAACTCAACCATTTTCATTTCAAAACACAGAGAGTGATGAAAACATTAAAAAACATTAAAATATAGCTTAATTAAAAAATAAAAATAGCACAACTCTCAGAACGAGATTTCTCGGTTGGCGCAGCACAGTGGTTAATGTTTCACTGCTACCATTTTTGTAGATTGGAACTGTTTCTCTTTTTCAATATATCTACCATGATTCCTGTATACACATATGACTGAAAAATCAATTTAAGTGGAATGCTCAGCTCAAATGCACATTCTTTCAGAACCCAAGATGAAACTCTATCTGGGCCATCTATCTTGTTTCTGCATATCTCCTTGAGCATGTTTTCCCACTTCATTTCAAGATGAAGTGGCCTATTACTTGTGGCCTATATACTATGTTATTCTCTGAAATTCATATTGTCTATAAAACAATGCCATGGTTTTCATGTCACTGTTTAAGACCCATACAGCCCAGGTGAATGGACTCGTATTGTCTAATTATCTGAAAACATAATTTTGCACTCATTCCTTATCAGCCTCTGGATTTTATCCTTTACCTGCAATTTTCTTTCAATGAATTTATAGAATAGGGCTGGTTCTGTTTTACATTTGACATCTAGTTCACTGAATTCCATGCATTAATATTTAATTACTATCTCCCATAGGTGTACACAGTTGAGGCCCAGAGATTTCTGCAGTACTCAGAAGGGGAGGAAAATATATCATACAAACCATTATTGAAGAAATTTGCTACCTTTGAACGACGATATTCAGAGTTCCTCACTGTGTATAGTGCATTGATGACCTCTCACAGATCACTAATGGAGGATTTTGATGGCTTTCCCAAGAAAGTTATTATAGGTGAGTAATGCATGAAGCTTTTCTTTTAGTTAATGTTAGTGAACTTCTAGGAGCTGTATTCATAACAACAATCTTACTACATAATAATTTTCGTTCCTAATCTGATGGTGGCTCTTGGTGCATTTTCAATGAAGTGAGTCATAAAATCACTTTAAAATGAGATTTTAAAGTTGGAAAGTCTAGCATACGTTCTTTACACAATGTTCTTTATGTGGTCCTCAGTTGACCCCTAGATCTTTTTACCAGAATTCTTTAAAGCTTTTCACATACTGTAATTTGTAAGTTGTGTGCAGCCTAATTTCTTCTATTCCATATTCCATAAAATGGCATTTATTCACATTAAATTCCATTTACCAAGTGTTGCACCATACACTTACTGTGTCCAGGTGTTCTTAAAGGGCATGATAATGGTCTAAGGCCTCTTATCTTCCCCAGTAGCTTGGCATCATCAGCAAACATATTCATTTAATTCTATATTCTTTCTGATAGATCATTTGTATTCTATAGACAATGAACAATATTGGTACAAGAACTGATCCCTGTGGTACTCCATTAGTAACATTTCTCCAGTCTGATACATTGCTTCTGATTACTGGCTTAATATTTCTGTCAGAAAATTTTACATCCATGTCAGCAGTGTTCCTGTCACTCCATTATGTTCTAAATTCCAGAATAACCTCTTATGTGGAACTCGGTCAAAAGCTTCTTTAGGTCCCAATAAATGCAGTCAACCCAACTATCTCTTTCTTGTAAAATGTCTGTGGCTCTATCATAGAAGTTAAGTTGATTTGTTACACAGGATCTCCCTGATAAAAAATCATACTATTATAATATAATTTCTCTCCAGGTGTTCTACCAATTTGGTTTTAATTTTTGTTGCTAATGCTTTGATTACTATGCTTGTTAACATTACAGGCCTATAATTAAGAGGGGTCTTACCTGCTACCATTTTTGTAAATTGGAACTGTGTTAGCTTTTTTCCATATACTGTACACAAAGATGACTGAAAGATAAATTTAAGTGGAGTGCTGAGCTCAGATGCACATTCTCTCAGAATCGAAGGTAAAATGACATCTGTGCCAATTGCTTTGATTCTACATAGCTCCTTGAGCATTTTTCCACTGCATCTTGAGACATCTCTGTGTACTCTGTTATTCTCTAAGATTTGTAATGTACAGTATTGTCCGGTTCTCGTAAAATTTAATTTTGCACAAACACACTTTGGGACTATTCATTTAGTGTTTCACTCATTTCCTTTTCATTCTCTGTTAATCTGTTACCCCATTTTGAACCTTGGAATTTTATCCTTTACCTGCAATTTGCTTTTAATGGATTTAGAGATTAGGCCTGGTTCTGTTTTACATTTGTCCACTAGCCCTTTCTCAAGATTTCTTGCTGCCCCTTTTCTCACTGCTGTGTAGTTGTTTCTTACTTCTTTGTACTGCTCGTATGCTTGAGGGTTTGGCCTCTTCCTACACTGATTCCATTTTTTTTGTTTTTTGTTTCCTGGCCTTCTAACAATTTCAGTTGATGTCCTGTTTTCTAGCTCTGCATTCCTTGTTTTGGTATACATTTTTTTTTTGTATCATATATTTCACAAAACTTGGCATACATCCTGTTTTCTATTTTTGCAAACAGTATGGTAGATGAATGGATAATTTTAAATGAGAGGGCAATTTATTCTACAATCATCAGTAGCTTCAAGATATCAAATGACTGGAGATTATAGGGAAGATAGAACACCACTAGCCTATCATCCTGTAACTACGCTTTGGTTATTACATGATATGAAGAGAATTGTTAAGGTATGTGAATGTAATGTAAAATAGCGCTCAGTCATGGGTGAAAATGTAAGTCCTCTACAGTAAATAATGTAAATTTTATGATACATGCATTCAAATATATATATATTATGTACTTGCCTTTCAGGAAACTTTAGCATGGATGTGATTACCGAACGTTGCAAAGGATTGGCACGTTTTATGAATTTTGTCCAGGACGAGGGTGTGCTGAGTCGTACAGCTGTCTTTTCCAAGTTTTTGTACCATCCTGAGGTAATGATGAGCAATAACCTTCTCCTCCAGTCCCAGTTTGAAGAAGCATGTCCTATTCTAGAAAATACATACATTCTTCTCAGTAGCCTTCACTGGGACACTGGACTTACCCTTCGAACTCTCTGTCAGTTGATTGTTAGTCTACATGCTGTGAGCAATTTTGAAAGGTCCTACATGTTTGCCCAGGTTGCTCTTCATAAATTTAAGTCGCCTAGTAACAAGAAGATTGGAAAAGGTCTTTATCTTCCACTTCTTATCTTTTGTGATAACCTTTGGCATGTATTGGGGAAGGATGGAAATTATATTAAGAGCAAAATTCAACTCGTACGAAAACAAAAGAGGCAGGACGAGTGTATACCAAACTTGCTTGATGTGCTTCGGGATGAAATTGCTCTACGGACTCTGCACTGAACTTCTGGCCTATTTGTTCCTATTTGGTAGTTTTATATGATGACCAGACTTCAGCAATGAAGCCCCATGTTAAATGACAGATTAAGAATTAAATCAGATTTTTTTTAAATTTAATTTCAACATTTAAAACTACAAATATTCTTAATTTATTTTCATTAGCTTACCATTCATTCATGGTGCTATTGGCTTTCCGCTGTGGAATACAGTGCGTCATATTTCAAGAGTAAATGACACAGTAGTAGTAGTAGGCATCCATCAGTCTCGGTAGACAATGGAGTTGTGCTCTGGTTGTCGGTCAGATGTGGCCTCTCCAGGGCGCAAAGCCAGGGTAGGTTGATGCAGAGGATTATTAAATTGTTACATGGAGGATTATAAAAATATTATAATATATAAACAATAACACAGCATTGTTTATATATTATAATATTTTTCCTGCTATAGATTGCAGAGCAAGGTCCTAATCACATTAGGAAATACAGTACGTGTTATCTATTGCTTATTCATATGTAGTTTTTTCTTTTGAGTAAATGGTCTTTGTGTACTCATTCACTGTCCACTGGTTAAGTTTTGACTTGGCACCAGTGTGATGGATAACTTAATACTGCAGGCCCTTGCTAGTCACATGAGGTACGTGTGTGGGAGACACTTGTGAATGCTTATACAGTACTAATTGACCACTGGGTAAAAGGGGAATAGCTTTCCTGTTGCATAAAGTAATGATAATGTATTTTTAAAAGTATTAATGATATAAAAATGGAAGAAAATAGTGATGAATATGTGTGTGGAAATGTTAGTGTGAGAATATGTGTATGAGACTCTGTATAAGGAGTGTATGTATGTGTGTGGGTATGTTTACACATTGGGCAAACTATACTGGTAAACAATTGAATAGTAACGCCCGAACTAGTATTGAATAGTAACTGCCCGAAACGCTTTGCGTAATAGTGGCTTTAGGCATTGTATGTACTAGCTCTTATCTATAAAGCCAACAAACTTTGTAAAATCTCTTTATGTATGTACCTTTGCCTAAATAAAAATTATTATTATTATTATTATTATTATTATTATTATTATTATTATTAGTATGCTACTAGAACAGATGGTTTACAGATTGTGTGATCACTGGGTCACTTGGTGATGACTGCAGCTGTTTTTTTATATAGTGTTCATCTGATAAAATGATAGTTGCTGGAAAATGACTCCCTCAATGGCTTTCCAAACTTATTCTCTGATACACCTAGCCACTGAGACCCATTCATCACCTACCGGAAGGCAGGACCATAATTTGGCTCATTCTGCGAAGCGAGAGGTGCAAGACGATCAGAGATAAACTAAAAGCCAGCATAAAATCTGCAAGAAAGCATAGGTGCAAAAAAAAAAAAGCCAAGTGACTCCCTTGAAGGAAATTAGTTACTCATGGGTAGACAAAGAAAACAATTATTGCTGCAGGGTAAACAAAGCAAACCAGTGTTGCTGCAGGGTAAACAAAGCAAACCATTGTTGCTGCAGGGTAAACACCCAAAGGTTGAAGTGCCTGATTATCCCCCAGATGGCAGTCCAGGTCACTCATGATCCAAGCCAGCCCTCTCTTCCACTCGTGTGCTTGGTGCGTCCTGTTCTGCACCTGCTGTCTCTTATGGGACCCACCTGCAGCCCTTCACTTTCACCCAAGTGATGTTGGCTTTCCCTGATATATAGGGAAAAAAAAACAATATATATAATATATAATTTATTTATTTATTTATTTTCCCAGGTATATTTGTGTTCCCAGAGACCAGTGTGGGAAGCTAAGGCTCGGTTGCAGCAATATATCAAGTTAAGACTGACTAATCTTAACTAAACTGACTAACTTGACTGACTAAAGACCAGACTAATTTGTTATATAATGAATAAAATGATGCATGAAAATATTTTTCATCAAAACTGAAAAGGAATGATAGCTACAAACAGCATAGACAAAATCTATGAATAACAAGGGCCTGCTATATGGATTGAATACAAGCATAAAATATTTAATAGGTGTTACTTCACGATGCTGTTTACCTTATTGAAGGAAGCTAAAAAAATATTAGTTTATTATGCTGCTACTCTTGAAAGTCTGAATTATCAGTACTGTATTTGTCAACCAAAATAGCATTTAGTGAGTAACATACTGAAGGAAGGAAGGAATAATCAAGGGAAAGTGCCAAACCATTACGACTATATAGCACTTGGAAGGGGTCAGGATAAGGATTTGGGATGAGACGGGAGGGGGGGGGTAGGAATGGTGCCCAACCATTTGGACGGTCGGGGATTGAACACTGACCTGCATGAAGTGAGACCGTCGCTCTACCGTCCAGCCCAAGTGATTGGAGTAAACTAAATTTGTATATAGGAGCTTGAATTTTAGCACTCGTGTTTCATTGAGGCTGTCACATTTGCTTTAAAAATTTATACAGATCTGATTTGAATAATGAACAAATCAGTATTTTATAATAATTAAAACTGATGGTTTAGCAAATTAATAGTAATTTGTTAGTAGTAGTTGATATTTTTTAGCAAATAATTAGTATAAGTTTGTTTTAAATCAATTTAAATTTTGTTGCTAACAAAATATAAGAGACTGCAGTGACATCTCAATATTTCATATCTCTATATATATATTTCATTTCTATAAAATCCTGACAAAGTCTTCCCACTACCTACCATATTTTTCCTTTGCATTCAGAGTTCTAAACAAAATGAAGATAGTGGAGATGGCACTGTGAAATCTGAATCATCAGTTCATCATGTAAAATAATTTTCATCAAATTATGCATATTTATATTTTTATTAATCCTGTGTTATGATATATAATAGTTGTCAAAATAATGCATTTATATTTTAGAAATGTTTCACTGAGCTTGTACTGCATTATAAATTGCACAAAAAGGGTTTGAGGTGTTTTCTGGTGTGTTCATAGCCTGCTGAGTGCACTTGTGTGTACTCAGCAGGCTATGCTGAGCCCATATGTGCACACTATGCCCATATGTGCACTCGGTGTGTGCCTTCTTGCTACTGAGGCCTTTTCGCTGAGTTTTTGTTGGATATATAATTATCTGCGATTTAAAACCATGTTATCTGGCAAGAGAGGTAAGAATGGAGTAGGAATAGGAAGTGAAATTTTTAGACCATGAATTAAAAAGTCAGCATTATTAGAGAAACTAGATTGAGGTGTGACAGGTAAAGAATTGGCAGAGGATTATAGCATTGGCACTAGTACTGTTTTGGAGGTTAAGAAGTGAAGGAAATCATGGAATTCGTCCTTAAGAGGAAAAGCAGTGATGATAGAAGTAGCGACAGAAAAACTGCAGTCAGGTAAATATGACCAAATGGATGATACTGCTTATGTGTGGTTTACACAATATTCTATGCATTTACAGTATGATGCGAAAGGCTTGGTATTGCATTATATGTAATATATAGTGTTATAACTGTATTCTGCTACCACTGGGGTTAAGAAAGCCAGCCTGTGCTCCAAAAAGGTGTGTAAACAAATTACTTTTCTCTTTTTTTTTTTTTTTTTTTACATTTTACATTATAAATATAATATTTATGCCCCACCATGATCATTGTTTACTGTATATATATATATATATATATTATTTGTATCGTATCCATAAACATGTCTTGTATCACTTGTTTTAAGAAAAATCCAGAACATTTGTTGGTAAATAGCAAATTTCCAGAAAGCTATGTTCATGCAAATCCAAATTGGGTCCAAAAGGATATAACGCAGATTTTGGAGTGTGCCTGTATAGATGTTTGTCAACCTTTGATGTGAAATGTTGCTGTTATTGTTATCAACTCCAAAATGACTCGGATAAATAGACCTGTTGTTTAACCCCTTCGCCATCTTTTGATATTTAATTTTTAGTAGTTAAAATTGTTTTCCTTTTAAAGAAAAAGTTTCTTACCAAGTTAGTCACAGCATATGTTTGTCACATGATGCATGTCCAATGTTGATAGTTTTGTTGGTAATATTATCAGGTAGAAAATATACTTGCTTCTAAACTGGTGAACTTCCAACAACATTCAACAGAAGTTATTTCCATGCTGTATGAATCTCGGTAAATGGGATTTATGAATCTTGGTAGGCGTGAGTTATGAATCTCAGTAGACATGATTAATGAATCTCGGTAAACCTGATTGCATTTCGGTAAATAGGATTTATGAAACTTGGTAAACAGTATTTACGAATCTCAGTCGGCCTGTATCTGAAGCATTCTGTGCTCTTCATAAGTATCCCCATTACAACAGAATGACTATATACAATTAGTTTTTTCATCATTTATACTGTACATGACATTAAGATTACATGTTCTGTGATGTTGGCAGCGGGCTAGTGCCTGTTGAGTGTTGTTGGCAGCCAGTCCATACATGTTGAGCATTGTTGGCACCCAGTCTATACATGATGAGCATTTTTAGCAGCCAGCCAGACATTGGTAATGCCTACTGAGGATGCCACTGGCTGAGGACTTGTCATGGGTCTGCTAGTGCAGTTTCTGCGTTATGTAGTTTCTAAGTCCATCGACAACAATGTTTATTTGTTAATTGTATACCTTAGTTATTAAGCTAAAATTGTTAAGTATTGCCATGTTTAAAGTAGGAATTGATTTGGGTAGTCAGTATTGTTGAGTTGATATTTGTATCATCACAAGATGGGTTTTTATTTTTTTAAAGCAATGCATTCCAATGCCAATCTACTTTGTTCTTGTTGTGTATTAATATATACATAATTGTGAGTTTTGTAATCCAGTATACACCACAAGAGTCACAGTATACCCATGATTATTACCAACAAGTAAACGGTGTAACCACTGTTTTTTTACGTTGTAACAACCATTATGATTATTATGTTATGTTGTGTATTTGCGGGGATATACTTGCCGTGTCTCCTCTTGTTTGTCTAACAGCAGCTCAGCATTAACAACATTTTCAAAGCTGTTTAGATGAAATTGATTTGCAAATCATTGTTAGAAATTATATTATAGTAGTCTGCTGTTGGATCATATTTATTTGATATGTAGTCTATAATATAAAAATGTAGACCTATGCAATATAGTATAGAATGATGATAGTAACTTGTATGTATACAGCTAGTGATAAATTAATGGTTACACACATCAATGTAGCAATAACATTAATTCAGGCTTGGCTAATTTTTTATTTATATATAATTAGCCTTGAAATTATAAGTTATGAGTAATTTGAAAGCATTGAATGTTGCAATAGTATATATTATTGTACAGTACTGTACCTGAATTTTCAGCAGAATTGAGTGCTTCTTTATCATATTTTTTCAAGAATGTCTTCTTTTGTATAATATTATAGTCAAAGTTAGACCAAAGATATTGTTGATCTCTATGCTAGCACAGCCCCTAAAGTGGTGGGTAGAGGGGAAAGCAACAATGATTGTGAAGTTTAGGTAATGTTAATGTTTAATCACGTTTCCTTAAAGTCGTCACACCTCTGGTAATATTTCTACAAGCTATTTGACCTTGCTCTATTGTTCTTCATACTGTATTTGAGCTTAAAATTATCTCTACTAAAGCTAACCAATAGGAGGAGAGTCGTACATGTTGAATGTTTATTTTGCCGGTGCTTGTAAAAGTACAATCTTTTACTAAAGCTGAATGTATTGAGAGAACCTGGAGTGTTCAAGAGGATATTCATTATAAAAGGCATTTTTTGTAGACAATTGAAATTTGAAGTCTTTATTCATAAATTTGTTTACATTTGTACAAATTCAAAATGTTTAATTCATAAAATCGTTGCACATTTATAATCGACTTGGTTTACAAAAATTTAAATACATTGTTCATTTATACAATAAAAAGGTAATATTAATAGCCTAACACTGATTATAATTATATACTCGTACAAGTATTTAGTGATTTCAAGATGTACTTTTCTGCTAAGCTATTCATAAGAAAGTTTAACATTTTGGAACATTGTCAAATCTTTGGAGGCATGAAGGAAGAGAGAACAGAACTACTCTCGAATAGAAGTACGGTACGGAATAGCTTCCACCAACTTCACTGTCATTAAGTAACTATTCTTGTATATTAATTTAAAGGTCAAAGGTATCTAGTTTGTTAGCTATTAGTAAATGACTAAAATATTTGAGTATACATTATAATGTGTTTAGAGCAATAGCCTTAATACAGACTACGAGTCAATACGTGGCTGAAGATATGATGTCCAAACTATACATCAGAAAGTGAAGAAACATTGTTGTTTCTTCAGTTTCTGATGAATGTATGGACATTAATTGCCTATAGTTATCAGAGGAGGACAGATGTTCAATATTTCTTTGGAAGGGGAACAAGTACAGAAGGGGTTTATTACAGATAATATGAAAGAAAGAATCGTGTGTGTGTGTGTGTGTGTGTGTGTATGGTACCACTGGATTGAGAAGACTTGTTTCTTACTATAAATATAATAAAAAATAAGTATAATTTTAGTGCTCTGATGGATGCTCTAGAATTATCATTTGTGTTGGCTTGGTAGTAGAACTACAGCATCTGCCTTGTAGACTGAAGTAGGTCTTGCGAGACTGGCAACTAAAGAATTTTGACCCAGTTGACTTCATAGGCTGGAAAGTAGGTTTTGTTACCCATTTCAGGTATTCTCAGGCTGCCCTTGTAGTACCTCACGGCTCGACCCATCACATATTTGTAGCCTGCACACTGAAGACCCTGGAACACCTACATGAAAAATGAATATATTAAAATATATTTTTTTAATTACCGGTACCACAATTTCCATTTTTATGAAATTGAGTGCCTTCCCAACAGAAAATATATAAGTTATTGGAAAAGGAAATGATGAGTAAAGATATTCAAAATGACATCCATATATCAGTGCCATGTCCTCAACATTATATACAGTACTGTAAAATATCTACTGCACACCTCACCATTCATATAACTAGATGCACAGTGTAGGGGAATCAAATATTCTGTCCAGGAAATTGCCCCCTATACATTGTCCCGGCTTTGGTACAATACTTTTAAGTTTTGTCATGGGCCTTTGACTTGCACTGTTTCTGGGAGGAGCCCCTTAGTGCCTCCCTGAGACCATCTCACTTAAATGACTCCCTACTACTGGGCGACATCGCCAGAAGTTCTGTTTGGCCTACCGGGATCAGATCCAGAATTTGGTGCCCCCTCTTCCCCACTCCTCAGAAGCACAGAATGCAGGGAACTCCTTGCCACCCTCACCATGAAAACATCCAAAAAGTCTGCAAAGTTTTATAGACAACTAGAAGTTGTATACATGTCTATTCGAAGGCTTCGAATAGGTTCTGTCAAACCCAAATGCTTGAAGTAAGCAAGCAAGTAATTATCAAAGGCACTAAGCCGGGAAAATGCTTGAATAGCAGTGAGCGAGTTCCGTCTTTCAGGTGTTCTTGGTTGTACTTGTTCTCCACTGAAGGATTGTCTGTGTGCCCTGGTGCTCCCCAAAGACGTGGGCAATTGGCAACTGCCTCTGCCGTGTGGAGCCCTTATTGCAGATGATCAAAAGGCTCGTATGCACTATGTGATGGTCATGCATGTTTGGGCTTTCTTGACTCATTTTCTCCCCACCAGATTTATCAGTTTGTCGTTGTACTCTGGATTGACCATCGGAGCTAGCAGTAGACTGAGGCTCCGACTTTCTGAATGCTTTTCCAGTGAAGGGTGATAACAGTCCCTTTTTCTTTGAGGCTCTGGTACCTGTTAGGTCTAACAGGACTCTTGCGAGTTTTGTGACTCAGTAGTGAGATACAAGACCCAGTGGCTTCCTTAAGCTATCAGAAAGAGGTACAGTAATAATTACATACAAGACAATGTTTTCCCCACTTTGTGGCAAATCCAGCTATATCAATGTGCGTGCATTCCCATAGTCCTCTGCTTCTTATATAATTTAGTACTGTATAACCATGTTTGCCATGAAATTTCCGTTTTCTCTAATAGCCACATAGCCTATTTGGGAGAACGGCCTTGTATTGTATCTTCGTGGTAAGACCATTGTATTGTTGACACGACGAGTGTAATCGACGTAGTTTTTTTTATTTAGTGCTGGTCTAACGCATCCTTGTGTGACATTTGAATTGAAATTTGGGTGAAATTCCCAAGAAGAGAGTGTCCGCCTGACTCGGGTGGATTCTCCTTCCACACCATAACCCCTCGCCTCCTCCCCACCTCCCCAATCGTCTCCCTCAAGTCAGCAACTACTCTTCATAAGGTAAACATTAAAACAGTATAACAAAACATTTATAATTACATGTGCGGTATTATATTTACATAAAAAAATGTCATACAAGTATGGATGTTTTTGGGAGTGGAACGGATTAAATTTATTTCCTTTATTTTAAATGGGGAAATTTGTTTCTTAAGACGAGTTTTCCAGATAACGAGCTCGGTGCCAGAACGGATTAAACTCGTTAATAGAGGTTCCACTTAGGTCATTTTGGACTTTAGCCTTGGAAAGAGAGAATGCTGCACTAGTCATTTAAATACAGTGCCTGACCTCTTCATGTATGGCACATATCCTAATACTGATTCTCAGGCATCTTTCAACTTGCTGTCTTTCCTGCTTCTTATCCTGGAGTTGTCTCAACGTCTTCATCACCGAGACCTCAATTTAAGCACCTCATCTTCATAAATAATTGAGGGGACCATTGACAAGCCATCAGTTTCCCCATGTCCCTACAAAGACCACTGAAGATGGTGGTCCTAAGGCAAATTCTCTCACCCCTCTGGTTGGGAGAATTTGCCTTAGAAGTCCTGTTCCCTACCTTCTCTGAGCTTTAATTCCACTCTTGTCTTCCCCTCTACTTATTGGCACTTTTACTCCTTTAATAGCTACAGCTGATGTCCACCCCTCTCCCTGCCAGCCTCGACATTTGTCTCTAGACTGCCAATGTCCTTGTTCCGTTGTCTGGCAACACTCATACCAGAGCAGCCCCGCTTACCCTAGTGCTCCCTGCCTTCACCTTCTCCCTTGAATAAATCTTCATTACCGTGCATCCATACCTGCCCTTCCTGGGTCATTCTTCATCGCTTGATTTATTTACAACATCTGACTTTGATTTTACAGATCTAGACCTTATTTGGCTCTAGTTTTTTCCTGCTTGCTCCTTTCCTTAAACCTGTTCTCCATCTGTTTCCATTTTTTTCCAAATATGTATCCTTCAGTGAAAAATATATATGGATCTTTTGTGTGTATTGTCTGAAGTAGAGTGTTGTAGTGTTGTGAGCGCGACAACCAGCACATACTTACCTGGAAGAGCTTGGCGAAGTACTGATGTCGAGTTTCGCCACTCTTCTGGTTGACAGTGACGGGGATGTGGAGCCTTACGCCAATCTGAGGAGAGGAAACCGTGGTCTTTATCTTGGGCAGCTGTGTATGGAACTCATTAACCCTGTATTAAAGCCTCTTAACCCTCATTAAACCTGGAAGAAGTATTGAAGCCTCTTCAATACTTCTTATTACTGTACTTACAACAAGACTTTATCACAAGTGTTGTCAATTGTCATCATCATCACAACACAAGATACTGACAGGAATCTAGGTGAACAAAGATAGCATCTTTAAAGCGAGATAAAGTCGGACGACCATACATAGTTGGAAGCTGAAAATGCAAACAAGTTGAACAAATGTAAAGAAGTACTCTTTCCCTGTATTTCCTATAGGAAAAATACAACCTAGAGAGAATACAGAGATCAACCTATGGTGAAATACTCTCCCTCCACCCCCCCCCCTATAGGTTAATCAAATAAATGGAATAATCAATTATAAATGGAATGCACTGAAAGAAGTTGTGGAAGCCGCCTCCACTGACAACTTTTAAGCCAAATTCAACAAAGAATTTGAACGTCAGAATAGCTAAATTATAACACAACACGTAAGTAATAAAGTACACTCTGTTAAGCAAGTACTGATAGGAAAGTTACACAGCCATGATATCTGATCAACGGAGTTTAAGTAAATATATTTTGGCCATTATCCATGCAAAATTTTACTAGTTGACCTCACCAGCAATTTGGCCCAGGTTCAATCCAGGTCATGGAGGATTGACTAAGCACTAATCCTGAACTGTACGCCCCTGTTCACCCAGTGGCGATAGGGTACCTGGTCGTTAAACGATTGGCAGGTCGTATTCCAAGGAAACTAGTGGATAAGGATTACCATGAACTATGGAATGGTAAAGTTCTCAGCCTGCTATACAGGAGTCGGTAGTCGCCTGTTCATGTACCCATTTGTGTAGAACAAAACGAGCCATCCTGCTATGTGATTTTTTATGATAATCCTTGTTCTCAGAGATAGGAAGCCTGTACAGTACTTAGGCTTATGGAGGTCCCCACTCTTCCCAGGACCCCTACAGACTCTCCCGAGGATGCAACCCCACAATAAGTAGTCACCCACAAAAGTAACGGCCTAAGGTTTATTTATTTATTTATTTTTGAATGGTAGTTGACAAAAATTGGTAGTCACAATACAGCATATGGCTAGCACATAAAAGAAGACAGCAATGAACACAATGATAAGGTTGTTTGATATTACATAAAAATTAGGAGATTGGGTACCACTAGGTACAGAGCAAATTTAAAGCTCAGTGTAGGAAACTAAATAGATGAAGTTAGGTACTTTTTGGTTTTGCTTTTAAATAAGGCAAAAGTTTTAGTTTTTCAATTCACTAGGGAGTGAGTTCCATAGACTAGGTCCCTTAATTTGCATAGAGTGTTTACACAGATTAAGTTTGACCCTGGGGATATCAAAGAGATATTTATTTCTGGTGTGGTGATAATGGGTCCTATTACATCTGTCCAGGGAGAGTTTCAGAGCATGGTTTGCATTTAAGAACAGGGTTTTGTAAATGTAGTTGACACAAGAGAATGTGTGGAGGGAGTTAATATTTAGCAAGTTTAGAGATTTAAACAAGGGAGCTGAGTGTTGTCTGAAAGCAGAGTTAGTTATTATTCTGATAGCAGATTTTTGCTGTGTGATGATGGGCTTAAGGTGGTTTGCAGTGGTAGACCCCCATGCACAGATACCATAATTAAGATAGGGGTAGATTAGTGCATAATATAGTGAGAGGAGAGCAGAGTTAGGAACATAATATCTGATTTTGGAGAGTATACCAACTGTCTTAGAGACTTTCTTAGTTATGTGTTGAATGTGGGTGCTGAAGTTGAGTCTCTTGTCTAGGAATAGGCCAAGAAACTTGCCATCATTTTTATTACTGATGTTAATGTTGTCTATCTGTAGCTGAATTGCATTTGATGATTTGCTTCCAAATAAGATGTAGTAAGTCTTTTCGATGTTTAATGTTAGTTTGTTCGTTGACATCCATAAGTGGACTTTTTTTAATTCATTATTCACAACATTATTTAGTGTATGTGGGTTGAGGTTCGAGTAGATAAGGGTAGTATCGTCAGCAAACAATATAGGTTTGAGAATATTAGAGACATTAGGCAGATCGTTTATATATATATAAGAAATAGAAGAGGTCCAGGTTAAGTGCAGAACACACACACAGAGGGAGGAGATTGGACTTTGAGAGATATTCCCTACTCTTGTTCATGGGGAGAACGTGCCAAGATGGGACTGACCTGCCTCACGTCCAAATTCTGGAAATTGGCGATGACCTGCTTTAGAAGAATCCACTCGCGACCTTCCATGTCACTCTTGAGGAACTTTATCTGGCGACCGGTGTGGCTGAGGGCAGTGGTGATGTACTCGAGGGAGCGGCGGCGCTCAACACTGCCTCCCTCCTCGGGTTTGTCGTAGGGGAACTCTGCGATGTTCCAGGCGTGCTCTCGCCAGAACTCTGACCGCTGCACATGCTCTGCCTCCGTCACCTGACATGCACACAATATCAGGGGAAACGCATTGGGCCGTGTCAAATGACACGCTGGAATGACCTCCAAAATAAAATTAAAACCTACTTCTCAACCAGTTAAAAAAAATAAAAAAAGGCCAAGAAGGACCTAATTAATAGTCACCACTATTATTTACATTCCAGCATCCTACACGTCAGCCTGTGTTTTGTTGTTATTGTGAATATTAAATAATAGTCACCGTTGCTAAAACATGATTTCCTAAATATTAACATTTGTAAATCATTTAAATCCCTAACAATTCAATTAATGTTAGCTTCTCTTCGTATTAAATTTTACCCACATTAAACTGTTCTGCTGGTTTAGACCCCTTTTTAACATTCATAATGAATTATAAATGATCAAATTATGTTATGCCCTGGTACATTAGTAGCTTTACACGATATACATTAAGTTATCTCAAGGCCACCATCCATCTAATGACCTCAACGGGAACAGGAAGCTGGCGGCTTGTCAAAAGGTTCCCCCTTGCACTCCCCTCTCAAAATGTGTCAGGCAACGGACTTCACTCTCAACTGAATTAATCAAACCCATCCACGGCCGTTAGTCAACATACTATCTGCCTCTCACCCTTTCGTGGTCGAAGGCATGAACCTCACAGCTAAACATCTGCATGTCACGCTCGAACTGGTTGTCGGCGTCCTTAGCGAAGCTGTACACGAGGCACGGGTCCAGCGTCATCTCGTACTCCTCGTTAAAGCAGATGTACTTAGTCTTCCGGACTTCATCCGTACACTCCTTCTCGCTCTGTTGAAGTCAACACTCCCGTCACTCTGGCCTCAACAAATTAGTTCTACTCTGTTACTAATACAACATAACTGACTCTGTTGAAGTCAGTAGTCAACGTGTCAACGATATTACGAATATTCACCATTGGACTTGTTAGTTCCAAGATAACATACGTATTAGGCTAGGTATTCTTTATAGATTTGGTAAAGTATAGGTTATGGGAGCTTCACATGGGATATGTAAAGTTAAGTCTTAATTTATAGGTTAGTAAGTAATTATCAAAAGAAGGCACCAAACCGGGAAGGCTATGTAATTTATAGGTTAGATGAGGGCACAATATTTATATTTTGGGTTAGGGGAGCCTTTATTTATATACAATTAATACGTTACAATGGGAACTGAAAGCGCGTAGAATGAATGTAAAGAACTTAGAAAGAGAGAAAATGGGGGTAGGACGTAGGGACTGACTGACCTGGGATGCGATTGGGATCTTCTCTCCGCCAAACTCTACCCAGGAGTAGCAGTGGTCGTCATCAGGGTTGGTGAGGTACTGGAAGAAGCTCTCTACTCCCCGGTACTCCAACATAGGCAGGCGAGGGTTCGCGCACACCTGTGGGAGCATGAGGTACTCACATCGAGTCTGTCCTACTGATATGGTCATGATGGTGCTCTGATAGTCTGCTATGATTGATTTGGTAAAGTCATTTGTAGTGTTGAGGCAGTGATGATGCCAGGATTCTGTTGTATGCATGTATGGTGGTGGGGGGGGGGGGAATAGGAAAGAATGAAACTATAGGGAAAAAGCGCCATTGATTGATTGATGAAGATTAAGCCACCCAAAAGGTGGCACGGGCATGAATAGCCCGTAGGTGGTGGCCCTTTTGAGCCATTACCAGTATCAAGAGCTGATACTGGAGATCTGTGGAGGTGCGCCTGCACCCTGCGTGACGGGAGATGTCTCCCGTCAAAAAAAGCGCCAATCCATAACAACTATATAGCACTTTGAAAGGATCGGGATAAGGAGTTGGGATGGGACGGGGGGGGGGTGCAAGGACTGGTGCCCAACCACTAGGACGGTCGGGGATTTAACCACAGTCTACATGAAGAGGCCATAGCTCTACCGTCCTAATGGGCTATTCATGCCCATGCCACCTCTTGGGTGGCTTAATCTTCATAAATCAATCTCTACCGTCTAGACCAAGTGGTTGGGTCCGTCCAACCCCTCCTCCTCGCCATCAGCACCTCCCCGCCCCACCCCCTCCCCGCCACCAGCACCTCCCCGCCCCACCCCCTCCCCGCCACCAGCACCTCCCCGCCCCACCCCCTCCCCGCCACCAGCACCTCCCCGCCCCCCATCCCCAGCCTCCAGATGGCACACACCTCCTTAAGTTTGTCCTCGAACTTGGTAACGGGGTAGACTTGGGTCGTGGTCTGCCACAGGAAGAGGAAGGCGAGAGCAGCTGCCGTCGACGCGGCTGCCATCACCGCCACGATCGTCCATCTGGGCACTGTCCGGTGCTGCCGCCCGCCAGATACCTGCCATAGCAGTCAAATTCTTAATGATTATGTATTGCTATAAAAAAAATTGTGTACACTTGTGAATGTAGTGTACTGACCGGCCCTTGTGTTTACATTGACAGTTTTAGCTCCCACGTACAAAAGTAAAAGTTTCTAAAGCAATAAGCATGCTGTCGAAAATCTGATACTGGGTACCTCGCTCTGCCCTGGTAACACTAATATTAAGTCTTCTTGCATAGTCTCCTCGGCTTGGTGGCTTCTTTTGTTAATTACTTATTAACTCTTCTATATCGTGCATTGTTAACTTATGTTGATATTATCAAGTTATTTTTCCCAGGGTAAAACTTTCACTTTGTTAATTACCCTCATTATACTTTCAAATTTAATGAATTTATTAGTAAACTTTTATCATCATAGCGTGTTTGAATCACTGAGACGAAACTAGACTAATTTCACAAGATTTAGCAAAACAAGTTCACTTGCTCAGCTAAATGAACTGTAAGGTTCAGTTTTTGAACGTATGACAGTGTACTTCTGTAACCACTACAATTTGACCATTATCTTATAATTTTTTAATTAAACAAAATTAATTGTAATTATTAGTCATTATACCTTTTTTTAAATTATAGTTGTATCATTGTTACTTCTGGCTGTTAGTGCAAGTTTTTGTTGCTTTAAGATTCAGCAGCTACTCTACGAAAAGTTCCAAGCAGCACGGTCTATGGTGAGCCCGTCGTACTCACCTGGCACAGGAGATGTGCCGGGGGTGAGTGCAAGATGTTACATCTCGGGAGAGTATGCTAGACCTTTCAACTTTATCTTTCGCGCAGGTAGAGTTGTAACTTACCTTGTGTGAATGGACGGTCCAGACCATGGCCGAGAGTGTAATGCGGCTTGTGTGCTAATCGCTTGTCCCCGTGTGTGTGCTGGGCCAGAGTGGAACCCTGCGTGTGTGTGTGGGAGGTGGCTCCTGGTCACATCAAAGCCGCTCTAATGATGTTCCTGGTGACGGAATTATGCTACGGATTACGGAACTTAGTTGTCACCTGTCAAACACCTGTTTGGAACTACCACTGTTGCGTCTACAGCACACTGTTACCGTCAACTATATAATGTTACCGTGTAGGAAGTGTGGTTTGATATTTAATAATGTGGAGTTTTCCCGGTGCGGCCCACGTCAGCAGGGAGCGGCCCAGGGCGGCGCTGACTCGGCTGGGCGGTGTCTTCACCTATATGTACTTCCCTATTAGTGACTACGGAGACGTTATTGTGCTCGTCTGGCATTCATATTCCGTGTCGCATCTGACATTAACGTTGAGAACAGCTGTGGCTTCCACTGCTCTCACTGCTTAACAGCGTACGAGTTTTCCCTGTCACTTTTTAGACTTGTTTGCCTCTCCAACTTCTACTTTTGTCCTCTCGGTTTTCTTTGTATCAAGTTAAAGAAGGCATTTGCTGAAACTGGACACTACTAGGACTGCGACCGGACAAAATCTTACCTGGAACAGAACGGAACAGAAGCCCCCACGAAGGTCGCTTTCTACGGTGTATACAAGTCACTGGAAACTGGGAAAATTTTCTGAAAGTCAGAAGAGAGCCAATGTGTTTCCAATTTAGAAAAAAAACGGAGACATGAGGCCATGACTTTCGTCACAGGTTGGGGGGACAGGAAGCTTGCACTTAAGCTTATCAAGGGTTTCCCTAGGCCAATTGTAAACTTCATGTAGGATGCAACCCACAACAGCTAGTTGCCTTACCCCTGGGTACATTTTAATGCCCGGAGAACAAAAGCATCGGGTGAAATATGGCATGAAGGGGAAGGTAAGGGAACTACCAGAAAGCACCAAGCCATTACGACCACATAGCACTTGGAAGGGATCAGGATAAGGGATGGGACGGGGGAAGGAAATGGTGCCTAGCCACTTTGGAATTGAACGCAAACCTGCAAGAAGCGAGACCGTCGCTCTACCGGCCAGCCCAAGTTATCAGATGAAAGTAAAGCAATTATCAAAAAGGTACCAAGCTGGAAGGATTATAAAACAGGCATCAGGGAAAAAAAGGGTGCCCAATCGTCTCGATCCTGCAGCGAGAATCGAACTCGGGATCCTTGGTTATGTACAGACGATATAGACCCCCCCCCCTCGAACTACAGAACCTTTTCCTCTCACTCATACTGCGTGTGTGATCGGGATTTTGGTATTATTTGGAGTCTGGTGGCAAACCTCTAAACCTTCTCCAATTTAGTCTTGTGCTTGACGAGACTACCTCAGAATTTCTTCAAAAGCTTTCTAAAGAGGTTTAGAAAAAAACGCTCTCCTCCCGCATTCGAGCTCTTTGACCCAGCCCGCATTCAGAGCTCCATGCTCTATGCACTCACCCCGCCCCCATCCGAGCTCTGTACCCCCGGCCTCACTCGAGCTCCCGTGCTCCAGGCTTCGTCTCGGCTATCACAATACATGTCTCCAACAAACCGACAGTTGTAACAGACTAAATAAATATAATACAAATCACAACTCTGTGTCCTATCACCCAAATATGTATATGCAAACCTACGTTATATTCCGTTCATCCTGGGTCCTGGGAGAGGTGGGCTGTGGTGTCCTTGGAGTCCTCCTCCTCGTCCGGAGGAGTCCTTGTTGCTTGGCAGCGCAGGGAACACTGACGACTGGAATGTTGAACTCTGCATTCGGGCGGATATAGTGGTAGGTCTTGCTTCTGACATCTTTTTCAGCCCTCCCTGCCTTGTTGGGCAGTCCTAGGAGACGGCGGTGTGGGCTCCACCGCCGTTAATGTACAGCGTGAGAAGATGGTCACCACTGGCGTCAACAGATGTCCATTAAGGTCACCAGACGTCAATTACCAGACAGTCATTCAATTGACGTCTGGCGACCCCAGTGGTGAGCCTCTTCTCACCTCTAGTGTTACTCCACTAATTTCATATAATTTATTAGAGAAAATTAAAATTTATATTTAACATACCAGTTTATATTTAAACCTGTTTTTCGGTGATTAATACTAAAGTAAGGAAGAAAATGAACTATATATTTCGACAACCAGGTACGAAGCCCTGTCCTAGTCCGGTTTGCAGTTAGTAAATATTACGATTTACCGCCATCTATTGGTGTGATAATATATATATAGTAGCTTCGTCTACCTGCTGGAAAAAAATATTTAGAATTCACTTCCAGGGAAGTACATGTGCAAAGGAATACTTGTTGTTGTTCTTCATTACTTCAGTCTCTTGTTTTAGAACGCTGTTCGGCGGAGGAGTATTGACGGGAAATATTCTCTCCACTCCAACCACTTGGACTGGACGGTAGAGCGACGGTCTCGCTTCATGCAGGTCGGTGTTCAATCCCCAACCGTCCAAGTGGGTGGGCACCATTTCTTCCCTCCGTCCCATCCCAAATCCTTATCCTGATCCCTTCCAAGCGTCATATAGTCATAATGGCTTGGCGCATTCTCTTCTGATAGTTCCCTTCTCTTCCCCCTTCAAAAACTGAGGCTACAGGTGTGTCGGTATAGACGCAATCTGCAGCACCAAGACCCCACAGACAATACTTCATACAACCTCTTACCTTAATTAGACGACCATTCGTTACAGCGGCTTTCATAGCAACAGTGTTGCGGTTTCACAGAACTACGGAAGGAGGAAGGAAGGAAGCTATCAGGAGAAGCACTAAGCCATTACGACTATATAGCACAGGGAAGGGATCAGGATAAGGATTTGGGACTGGACGTTAACGGTCAGAACTACGGAAGAACTTTCAGAGTTCTGTGAAAATCAAAATCAGAACTTTCACATTCTCTGATTTTGACTGTTTGTGTTCGGGAGAAAAGGCCAAACAGGTGCCAGAAAATAAACAATGCGAGGCACTAAGCTGCGTCCTCATTTAAACGCCACTTTTCCCTTGGTATTATTTCTCCTGCGTTCTCTCCTTTCTTTATTTCAAATGAAATCAAAAACTTTATTCACAAATGGTAGTACATTTATAATTGGGAAAGTGTACATGAAAAGTACAGTACACTAAGTACATAAGAGAGTCACAATAATAGCCCCAAAGTCGTTGGCCTCATCACAATCAGAATCTTAATTGTTAACTTCTTTTCCAGACTTTTTCAGTGTTGGCAAGACTAAACAGGTGTATAGGAACCTAAATATAACATTACATTTTAGGCATAAAGTGACACTTTGCTAAGAATGCTAAAGATGATATACTGTCAAGACACAATACGTATCACAGTATTAAGCTGATACAATTAGCTGTAGAACTAATATAAAACTAATCATGTCATGACGTTGTATATATTTGAGCACTCTCAGCTCTACATCAACAGATTCTGGGTCTATCCTGGCTCCACACACACACACACACACACACACACACACACACACACACACACACACACACACACACACACACACACACCAGCCAGCCAATGCTCAACCCCTTCAAACACAAATAGATGAGTACACACAGCTTATAAAACATTGATCGAATTTAATTGGACTCAAAATGCTTGCTAGTAATCGATCTGTGACGTAAGTTCCTTAATAATTCCAAATATTCAGGTGGGGGCCGTCTTCCTGTTGACAAGACCTGTACACTGGAAAATACTGTGCAGTGTTCACAGTATTTTCTTTAATCTTCATTATTCATTATAGTCCTAGACCCAAAGGTTCCACCGTCTACTGCAGCAAGAGCAGTAATTTATACTAGAAACATAACCATACATTCGTTAACTGAGATATTTATATTCATTTATCTAATAATGCCAAAAGTTGAAGAACGTCCTGACACAATGGCCACCTCAACACTGTAAACAGTAAGCTACATACACGTGTATAAAAATTATACAAACAAGCAATATACACAAATCCCGTAATATCAGAGCCGACAGCTGAAGAGTCTTGAATAACCCGAAATTCTTGATAAATGTTATGTGAAGGTGTGAATATTGGGAGTGGAGGCTCAGAGGAGGTGGCAGGCCGTGGTGGTGAGGGCGTCGGTGGGAACACAGCCGTCGTAGGTGATGGAGACGGTGGTGGACTGGTCGGTGGTGGTGGTGAGTCTGTCTACTGTCAAGGACTTGAAGGACTTGATGGTGATGAGTTGGTTGTGAAGGAGGCGCGGCCGACGGCCCTCCCCGCCCCCACAGTCACAAGAGGGCATCACCATCTCCACCACGTCGAAGCTCGTCGTCTCTCCACTGGCCACAGATGACGCTCTGCCAGGGGGGTGAGAAATAGCTTAGTTTAACTAGTACATTATACATTCCATAATAGCATTACAAAATATATTCTAGCGACTGATTATTTCTTGCCTGAAGATGAATACTAAATTGAAGTGCACCTTGTTGAAATAAAGTTGAGGTGTTCTCATCTCACGAAGGCTTGAATCATCTATTGGTCACGCAAAACAATTTTGACGGGAATTCATTACGCATGTTGGTCGTCGGCTCACGCCTGTTTACGTGTTGTTGGAGTTCGTAACGACTCAACGTTCTATTGTGCTCGGGAGGGAACTTACGTGAAACATTTTCATGACAGTGACGGTAAATATATTGATTTAGATTTTTTAAACCAGTTGAAAATTATACAAAATGCAAATAAAAGGTTAATAGGATGCAGACTAGGAACAATTATGAGGTATTAAACTTGAAACACTGCCACCAAGACTGTGCAAAAATGAGTGATGGTATACTCACTGTGAGTGATGGTACTCACTTGAGTGGTGGCACTCAGTGACTGATGGTCACTGGTACTCACTATGAATGCTAGCCACGTACTCATTGTGAGTGCAGGTACTCACCGTGAGTGCTAGTGGCACTGTGAGTGTTGATACTCATTGAAAGTGCTCTTTGTCTTTACTCATTGTGAGCTGGTTACTGGTACTCACTGTGAGTGCTGGTGGGGGGGAGGGCTGGCCACTGGTAATTGAAATAAGTTTATTGAGGTAAAACACACACAAAGGAATGAGGTAGCTCAAGCTATTCTCACCCCGTTCAGTACATCGTGTTAATACATACATAGACACACATCACAAACAATAAACATATTACCAAACATTCTGAGAAGGTCACTGGTACTCACCGCGAGTGCTGGTCGCTGGCGGGAGGCTGAATAAGGTGAGTAAGGTGTGCATTCATTGGGGCGCAGGCCGTCACGCCCACCACAGTGGTGGTGCAGGTCGGGTAGACCGTGACGGCGTGGTAGACGGTGGTCACTACCGTGCTGACCACACTCTCAATGGTCAATACCTTCGTCTCCTGAGTGATGACCTCGTCCGTCGTGGCTTCCAGCCATAGGGATCTCTTGGGCTCCGCCAAGCTCACTCTCACCAACAGGAGGAGCATGAGGGTGACTGTAGCGGGGCGGCGGCTGGACATCTTGCTGAAAACCAAGGGGAAACAGCGTGAATAATTGGACAATCAACAGTACTTCCTGTTCGCTGGTTGTATGTAGTCAAGCCACAATTAACACACAGGATACGTTATAGCTAATTTCGCAACCGTGTGTGATTCAAGTTCAAGTTCAAGTATGTTTATTGAGATAAGCAATAAATACATCTCAAAGGGATAGAGTAGCTTAGGCTATTTCTACCCCCCTCACCCTTGTGTGATGTGTGTGCTTAAATGACTTTATACTAGGCGTGTTAAAAAGTATATAGACAAATGAAAATCAATGCTCTACTATTCGAATCTAAGCGTAACCTAGCCTAACATAAACCTAATATAGGTTATTCTGACTTTGGAATACTGTCGGTTATAAATTGTTTTGAATTCTGCTTTTGCACTGCTTTAAAGGTGCAGTGCAAAACACCAGTGCAACACACCAGTGCAATATCTGTAATTATATGTTTTACATGTAGCCATCAGTGATGATTCTTCATTATCCCGTATTATTCGGGATAATGAATCACTGTTAGCCATCTTCACTACACACTGCCTTCCTCACTGTTAACCACTTTTAGAGCACAACTTCACTAACATACACTGAGAGTGTACTACAGTTCTGGATTATATCCTGAACCAAAGTAGACGTGTTGGTGATGGTCAGCCAGTTATTGTGACCTGAATAAAGGTTGATAGACCCAACACCACATCCAGACAGGGCATACTTTGTACATAAAACTGTGGCCACTTTGTACATAAAACTGTGACCACTTTGTACATAAAACTGTGACCACTTTGTACATAAAACTGTGACCACTTTGTACATAAAACTGACCACTTTGCCACTTTGTACATAAAACCGTGGCCACTTTGTACATAAAACTGTGACCACTTTGTACATAAAACTGTGGCCACACATAAAACTGTGACCACTTTGTACATAAAAACCGTGGACCACTTTGTACATAAAACTGACCACTTTGTACATAAAACTGTGGCCACTTTGTACATAAAACCGTGGCCACTTTGTACATAAAACTGTGACCACTTTGTACATAAAACTGTGGCCACTTTGTACATAAAACTGTGGCCATTTTGTACATAAAACCGTGGCCACTTTGTACATAAAACTGTGACCACTTTGTACATAAAACTGTGGTCATTTTGTACATAAAACCGTGGCCACTTTGTACATAAAACCGTGGCCACTTTGTACATAAAACTGTGACCACTTTGTACATAAAACTGTGGTCATTTTGTACATTAAACTGTGGCCACTTTGTACATAAAACTGTGGCCATTTTGTACATAAAACTGTGGCCATCTTGTACATTAAACTGTGGCCACTTTGTACATAAAACTGTGGCCACTTTGTACATAAAACTGTGGCCACTTTGTACATAAAACTGTGGCCACTTTGTACATAAAACTGTGGCCATCTTGTACATTAAACTGTGGCCAGACATTAACCTGTCCTCAGGGAGGAAATCCGCTTACGGTAATAGATTCAGAACGACTACATAAGTAGTGTCATTATCTACTCTCTACGCATGGTTTGGTTATGTTAAGGTTGGGATTCATTATGTTTGGTTGCGTTAATATGATGTAATATTGGCCAAAATCTGAAATACGCAAATTTGAAAACTATTTAAGTGTACCATTGAATTTAGTTTACAGAAAATCAAATTCTTTAGACAATTTAAAAAAAAACTTTTCAGCATACACTGTTTTAAACCAACTATTTATAATACAATAACGTTATAACTTGAGAATAATCTCTGTTTAGGACAAAGGTTCATTTGTCAGGTTACAAGGTAGACTATTACTGGAACCGTAAAATGCTTTTAGACCATAACTATCTATCTAGTTTGTCGCTTGAGGGGCTCTGAAGACAGGCCAAAAGCCCACACACCATCTTGAGCATACCTGTGGGGGCCGCTACCTAGTTTAGTTAATTTATTATGCACCCCATACCCATCCTGTGGGGGGGGGGGTTTGCGGAAAGGGTTACATAGGCATGTAATGGGCTCAGAGACTGAAACCCAAAATTTATTTAACTAAGCAAGTTACAAAATTCAATTCACATCAACAATGGGCTCGAGACCGACCACAAACACAGCTTCTAAATTAAGTATGTGGAGAGCCAGTGCCACACAGCCATGGGATACCACAGAGACATTCAAAGGAAAGAAAACTCCAATTTTATTACCAATAATATGAAAGGGGATTTTAAAAAATCATCCACAGTAAACAAAACTTAAATGCTTCATGAGCAGGATGTGCGTGGTAATTTGCTTTCTTGTTGAAGGTGTTTACGGGAGCATTGCCTTGTGGCGTCACGCCGGAGGGCGCTAGAGGATCCTTGTGTGTTTTTTCTAACACGGGAACACAGTGATTATCAGATGAAGACGGCATTCGTTCACGTCCTGTGCTCGAATCGGACTTCTATAAATGCTTCATCCAGATACTGTTAATGCAAATAATTACCAACACGCAAGAGTGGTCACTGCTTGAGGAAGACACACGCAAGATTGGTCACTGCCAGAGGAAGACATACGCAAGATTGGTCACTGCCAGAGGAAGACATACGCAAGATTGGTCACTGCCAGAGGAAGACATACGCAAGATTGGTCACTGCCAGAGGAAGACACACGCAAGAGTGGTCACTGCCAGAGGAAGACATACGCAAGATTGGTCACTGCCAGAGGAAGACATACGCAAGATTGGTCACTGCCAGAGGAAGACATACGCAAGATTGGTCACTGCTAGAGGAAGACACACGCAAGATTGGTCACTGCCAGAGGAAGACATACGCAAGATTGGTCACTGCCAGAGGAAGACATACGCAAGATTGGTCACTGCCAGAGGAAGACATACGCAAGATTGGTCACTGCCAGAGGAAGACATACGCAAGATTGGTCACTGCCAGAGGAAGACACACGCAAGAGTGGTCACTGCTAGAGGAAATACGCGCAAGAGTGGTCACTGCTAGAGGAAGACACACGCAAGAGTGGTCACTGCTAGAGGAAGACACACGCAAGAGTGGTCACTGCTAGAGGAAGACACACCTAAGAGTAATCACTGCTAGAGGAAGACACACGCAAGAGTAATCACTGCTAGAGGAAGATACACGCAAGAGTAATCACTGCCCAAGGAAGATACACGCAAGAGTGGTCACTGCTAGAGGAAGACACACGCAAGAATAATCACTGCCAGAGGAAGACACACGCAAGAGTGGTCACTGCTAGAGGAAGACACACGCAAGAGTAATCACTGCCAGAGGAAGATACACGCAAGAGTGGTCACTGCCAGAGGAAGACACACGCAAGAGTGGTCACTGCTAGAGGAAGACACACGCAAGAGTGGTCACTGCTAGAGGAAGACACACGCAAGAGTGGTCACTGCTAGAGGAAGACACACCTAAGAGTAATCACTGCTAGAGGAAGACACACGCAAGAGTGGTCACTGCTAGAGGAAGACACACGCAAGAATGGTCACTGCTAGAGGAAGACACACGCAAGAGTAATCACTGCCAGAGGAAGACACACGCAAGAGTGGTCACTGCTAGAGGAAGACACACGCAAGAGTAATCACTGCCAGAGGAAGACACACGCAAGAGTGGTCACTGCTAGAGGAAGACACATGCAAGAGTAATCACTGCCAGAGGAAGACACACGCAAGAGTGGTCACTGCTAGAGGAAGACACACGCAAGAGTAATCACTGCCAGAGGAAGACACACGCAAGAGTGGTCACTGCTAGAGGAAGACACACGCAAGAGTGGTCACTGCTAGAGGAAGACACACCTAAGAGTAATCACTGCTAGAGGAAGACACACGCAAGAGTGGTCACTGCTAGAGGAAGACACACGCAAGAGTAATCACTGCTAGAGGAAGACACACGCAAGAGTGGTCACTGCTAGAGGAAGACACACCTAAGAGTAATCACTGCTAGAGGAAGACACACGCAAGAGTGGTCACTGCTAGAGGAAGACACACCTAAGAGTAATCACTGCCAGAGGAAGACACACGCAAGAGTGGTCACTGCCAGAGGAAGACACACCTAAGAGTAATCACTGCTAGAGGAAGACACGCGCAAGAGTGGTCACTGCTAGAGGAAGACACACCTAAGAGTAATCACTGCTAGAGGAAGACACACGCAAGAGTGGTCACTGCTAGAGGAAGACACACGCAAGAGTAATCACTGCCAGAGGAAGACACACGCAAGAGTGGTCACTGCTAGAGGAAGACACACGCAAGAGTAATCACTGCCAGAGGAAGCTACACGCCGCTTGAGGTACTAATAGTGGAGCCAGCCTGCCAGGCGTCGGGGCCACGCTCACTTTCCCAGGGTAAACAACCTTCCAGGGACCACATATGTTAAGGCTCACGTGCGTAGAGATTAATTGTGTAAAGTCTACATGCGAAGAACACACGCGAATTAAGTACATATGTGTATAGTACCTATGCGTAAAAAAAAACACTTATGCAAAGCACATGTGTGTAAAACCACGTGTGTAGAACATACATGTGTAATGTTTACATGAGAGAGTCTCCTACTATTGTAGTAAGTTTTATTCATCTTCTGCATACGTGTATTCTTAAATATATATATTCACACATAATACGTACATACATATATTATGATTACCATATTTCTTTACCTGTGTCTGCGTTGTGTCACATGATTTAAACTTGCTACCTCGTGAGCTTAGTATTTAAGCTCATCTTATTCAGGACTAAAAAGGTACATACCTACAGCCACTGCTGGTAAACGCATGGAGGAGAGTGCATGTGCACGCCCGTCTTCCCAGCACGTGCTGGGAAGACGGGACACCACGAGCGTAGCTCTCATCCTGTAACTACACTTAGGTAATTACACACACACACTTCCCGTCATTATTCCCGGTGACCCGACGCTGTAGTCATGATGGTGGGCTGGTAATTCAACCCCCTATCATCACTTCCACGGTTTAAGGGTGACTACTTATGGGTGGAGGTCTGCTGCTTGTACTCGATCGTGGGTAGAATTCTGCTACTCGTGGGTGGAGCCCAACTGTCTGTACTCGTGGGTGGAGCCCAACTGCCTGTACTCGTGGGTGGAGCCCAACTGCCTGTACTCGTGGGTGGAGCCCAACTGCCTGTACTCGTGGGTGGAGCCCAACTGCCTGTACTCGTGGGTGGAGCCCAACTGCCTGTACTCGTGGGTGGAGCCCAACTGCCTGTACTCGTGGGTGGAGCCCAGCTGCCTGTACTGTACAGTTGACCTGCGGGAGCCGGTCGGCCGAGCGGACAGCACGCTGGACTTGTGATTCTGAGGTCCCGGGTTCGATCCCGGGCGCCGGCGAGAAACAATGGGCAGAGTTTCTTTCAGCCTATGCCTCTGTTACCTAGCAGTAAAATAGGTACCTGGGTGTTAGTCGGCTGTCACGGGCTGCTTCCTGGGGGTGGAGGCCTGGTCGAGGACCGGGCCGTGGGGACACTAAAGCCCCGAAATCATCTCAAGATAACCTCAAGATAACCACAAGGCCTAAAGCAGTCAGGTAATTATTCTAGGGTTGAACTAAGAGACTTGGAGACGGCCCTGCACCTCACTAGATGGTCAGCCAGTCTCACATTCGTTTCGCAACTATGCAGCCTATCAGTCAAAGGGACGGTCAGGCAGCCGGTCAGTGAAAAACGGAATTTCAACGCAGAAGTGGGAAGTAATCCTAGCCTGGCCGTAGTCATTACGCTATGCTTCCCACCACAAAAACCCCATATGTCCCAATTACTGTAATCTCAAGTGGGGGGAGGGGGGGGGCATACCACACACAGCTGCTACGGTCTCCCCTGCAGATATAGAGTCCACACCTGACTGGAGTGCAGTGTGTCAAGAGTGACCACAAAGCCGCAGGGGGAGACGTCCGGTAGTGGCCTCAGGCGCCCAGGTGATAATAGCTCAGTGTTTTTATGGGTTACGTGTTGAATGTATACCAGGCGCAGCCACAACTGTTAGTTAGAACACATGTTAATCCCAGCCAAACTCCAGGGGTGTGGCCTAATTTTGTCCTGTTTGACCAATATAGATGAACTCACGGTCCTTGCAAGTAGCCAAATAAACACTGTTCTCGTGCTCTTCGCCTCTACATTTTTTCATCGCATTGTTATTCCTTCAGTTTGACTTTGACAATGGTCGTATAAAGTGCTTGAAAGTGCTCCGGCAGTTCTCCTATTTTGATTTGATTTGTCTGCATTTAAACTGCAAATGAACCACATTTACATGAGTTACGAGGAAAGGCTGCGTGAAATGCACCTCGTCGCTGGAAGACAGAACTCGAGAAGACATGATCACTATCTACAAAATTCTCAGAGGAATTTACAGGGTAGATAAAGATAAACTGTTTAACACGGGTGATACGCGAACAAGGGGGACACAGGTGGAGACTGAGTGCCCAAATGATCCACAGGGACGTTAGAAAAAACTTTTTCAGCGTCAGAGTAGTTAACAGATGGAATGCATTAGGCAGTGACGTGGTGGAGGCTGACTCCATACACAGTTTCAAAAGTAGGTATGATAGAGCCCAGTAGGCTCAGGAATCTGTACATCAGTTGACTGACAGTTGAGAGGTGGGACCAAAGAGCCAGAGCTCAACCCCCACAAGCACAACTAGGTGAGTACCACCCCTAGCAGAAGAGCTAGCTCATCACACCTAGCACGACGCCGAGCTTAGCACACCGAGCACAACACCCAGCTCACCACACCTAGCACGAAACTGAGCTTAGCACACCTAGCACAATACCCAGCTTAGCACAACATTCAGCTCACCACACCTAGCACGAAACTGAGCTTAGCACACCTAGCACAACTCAACACAAACCTTGAGAGAGGAGCGACCACTGAGGCAGACACCAGCAGGACCGGGAACTCACCTTATTGAGAACTCGCTGCTTCCGGAGTCAAGTGGAAAATGGCTAGCTTTGCCAGCCAGCGGGTCTTATATAGGCTACCTCTTGAATCCCTCCTCTGATTTATGACCCCCCCCCCTCTCCCCCTACCTCCGTGTCTCATTGCAGTGTTTCTTTCCTGTCCATGTTGTGGTGGCGGGGGGTGTAACAGAGCATTACTGAGAGTACAAGTTACGCACTGATCACAGGAATCGTTACCGCAACTCTCACTGACTATTACGTTCTTCCTGTGCAAAATGCTACACACACACATCTCCATCCTGTTTTCTTGCCAGACTGAGAGGGAAGTTGGGGGCTTTCCCTGCTACTTAAGGGGTCCCAAATGTGGTCCTCCCTAGGGAAGGTGCTCCGGATGTTTCTCGGGCCAAGAGCAAGGACATGCCATTACTGTCACACATCCAGGGCCAGAGTCACGAAAGCATTTACGCAAGCACTTACGAACCTGTGCATCTTTTCTCAATCTTTGGCGGCTTTGTTTACAATTATTAAACAGTTAATGAGCTCCGAAGCACCAGGAGGCTGTTTATAACAATAACAACAGTTGATTGGCAAGTTTTCATGCTTGTAAACTGTTTAATAAATGTAACCAAAGCCGTCAAAGATTGAGGGAAGATGTACACGTTCGTAAGTACTTTCGTGAATCTGGCCCTCAGTTACTAACGAGTCAACGGTGGTCTGACTGATCAAGTGACGGAGTATTTCTCTCTCGTTAATACCATGGTTCATAAGAGGCATGATAGTGCATGAGTGAATGCATGATGAGGGTGAACTGTATGAGTGCATGATGAGGTTAAGTATGAGTGCATGATGAGGGTGAACTGTATGAGTGCATGATGAGGTGAACTGTATGAGTGCATGATGAGGGTGAACTGTATGAGTGCATGATGAGGTGAACTGTATGAGTGCATGATGAGGTGAACTGTATGAGTGCATGATGAGGGTGAACTGTATGAGTGCATGATGAGGGTGAACTGTATGAGTGCATGATGAGGTGAACTATACGAGTGCATGATGAGGTGAACTATACGAGTGCATGATGAGGGTGAACTATACGAGTGCATGATGGGGGTGAACTGTATGAGTGCATGATGGGGGTGAACTGTATGAGTGCATGATGAGGTTAAGTATGAGTGCATGATGGGGTGAACTGTATGAGTGCATGATGAGGTTAAGTATGAGTGCATGATGGGGTGAACTGTATGAGTGCATGATGGGGGTGAACTGTATGAGTGCATGATGGGGGTGAACTGTATGAGTGCATGATGAGGTTAAGTATGAGTGCATGATGGGCGTGAACTGTATGAGTGCATGATGAGGTTAAGTATGAGTGCATGATGGGCGTGAACTGTATGAGTGCATGATGGGGGTGAACTGTATGAGTGCATGATGAGGGTGAACTGTATGAGTGCATGATGGAGGGTGAACTGTATGAGTGCATGATGGAGGGTGAACTGTATGAGTGCATGATGAGGGTGAACTGTATGAGTGCATGATGAGGGTGAACTGTATGAGTGCATGATGAGGGTGAACTGTATGAGTGCATGATGAGGTGAACTATATGAGTGCATGATGAGGGTGAACTGTATGAGTGCATGATGAGGGTGAACTATACGAGTGCATGATGAGGGGTGAACTATACGAGTGCATGATGAGGGGTGAACTGTACGAGTGCATGATGAGGGTGAACTATACGAGTGCATGATGAGGGGTGAACTATACGAGTGCATGATGAGGGGTGAACTGTACGAGTGCATGATGAGGGTGAACTATACGAGTGCATGATGAGGGGTGAACTATACGAGTGCATGATGAGGGGTGAACTGTACGAATGCATGATGGTGCATGTCAGCACGGTGGTGGTGAGGGCTGGTGTCTGGGCCCCGTACCTCGCTGTGCTAGTCTCCCTGACACCCTGGCCATGCGAGCCGCTCCAAGCCTACTTATGCGCTCCTGGGCTACCACTTGCCGTCTCCTGGGTTACTACTACTAGTCTTCTGGGCTGCTACTACTACTGTACTTGATATTTCCTGGGCTACCGCTTGCTGTCAGCAGGTCTTCAGGGTAAAATGATTAGATCGATACACCAACAACTCCTTTCAGGCCACCTGCATAGTTATCTAGACATGACCTGAAAGCATATTACGATTCCAATAATAGTCTACTTGTATACTGGAAAATGAGCCTGTGTCCTAAACAGAGATTATTCTCTAGTTATAACTGTATTGCATTATAAATCCAGGGTTTAAATTATAAAAAGTATATGGTAAACTCGGTTTTTGTGAAAAGACCCGAGATATGTTTTCTTTTTATTTAATTAAATCATGTAATTAGTCTCGAATTCTAGGGGAACACTCAAACAGTTTTTAACCCTTATTCCCAATCGAGAATCCTGGGTTTGATCACCAGGTGGAACAGAAACGGGTGGGCACGTTTTCCTTCTAATGCCACTGTTCACCTAGCAGTAAATAGGTACCCGGGAATTAGGCAACTCTCCTGGGGTTGCATCCTAGGGGAGGCTCAGTAGATCAACCTTGTGGAATCTCAATACAAACCAAAAGTATATATGCACACAGGCTTTCTATCCCTGACAAAACAAATTAATAACACACACCCCCGGTTAAAGTGCCCTCAGGCTCACAATAAAATTGTGTTAAATTACAGTTCGTACGCAAAATATTTTAATAAATAACATTTGCATTATTATTACTAATTCATACTTATAAGATATTAAGTCTGTTTAAATATATATTAGTTTGCCATGTCACCAATGCCATCATAGGTATTGTACGGGTCAGGTCACCAAATGAGGCCAGTGTGTTGTGACGGCCGGCAGTACCTGCACTGCTTAACATGAAGTGTGGTCTAGCTCTTTATGTCCCACCTGACTTACTAGCTTTGTTGTACCTTATCTGCAATAATTTAACTGATGTTTTATGCAGTATACAGTATATATATATATAATAATATATTGCAAGTCTTTGTTAATACTTTAAAAAAAAAATGGCCCAGTATTCATCAAATGACAAATTTGATGCAGCACTTTTACTATTAACCTGCAGCTCATAAGAAGGAAGAACAGCCCAAGCAATATGATCAACTCGTAGGGAAGCCTGTTTTGAGTAGGCCACCCACAGAGAAGCCATAACTCAACAGCGAACCTGGGAAAGTGAGGTTCGATCTTGGGGCCAACCATTTTTGTCATATACATCAGTGACATGAGGATATTTACAAACCACATCATCAAATTTGTAGATGACTAAAATCTATGGTAAAGTAGGAAGTGACAATTATATTGAGCCTCACAGAGAGATCTACAAAAGCTCCACAAATGGTTGGAAGACTGTCATATGCTTTTTAATACTAAAAAATGCGATTATTTGCATGTATGGCATAATGCACATCACAACTATCAAATCAACAACATAACCATGCAAGAGATTGATAATCTCTTGCATGGATCTCTTGCAGAATCCACCAGATACTGAAAGCTGTACAAGTGGGAGCTGCAGTAAAAATAAACCAACCAAACCCTAGAAATTGGCAAACAAAGCCTTTGACCTCAAGGAAAAGAAGATAGTTACTCAACTGTACAAATCTCTGGTGCACCCCATTCGAACTATTGCATCGAAGCATGAAGACCTCATCTTCAGAAGGATAAATCAGCACTGGAGAAAGTTCAAGACAGAGATAAGATTAATCCCAGAACTATGTCAATTCTCATATAAGGAATGGTTGAGGGCCACAGGGCTAACAACACTGCAAACCAGACATGACAGGGCTGATTCTCATCAAAATGTTTAAAATACTGAATAATTTGGAGCATAGTGATCCAGACTACTTTATTAAAAACTTGAACTGGATGGTAATGCAAAAATCTCGCCTCTTGCAGATCAGCATTCAATACCCAACTATCCAAGTGGTTTGGGCACCACTCCTTTCCTGTCCTATCCTAAATCCTTATCCTCACATTGCTATAGTATAGTTGTAATGGCTTTGTGCTCTCCTAATACTTACCATACCATACCTTACTTCCTTGAAAGGTCAGACCCAACACAAACAAGAAGCAACGGCTTCAAGCTAAACAAGCCACAATGCATGACAGAAAATAGTAATGTTTCTACACCCATAGGTTATAACCCTATAGAACTGGTTTTGAGAGCTTTGAGGGTTCAAGGCTCTCCTCTGTGGCGGGAGAGCTTTGAACCTGACCCAATGTCAGGTTCTTTACCATCCACATCATATACTCTGGATCAAAATATTTCCTTACTTCAGGATAAATCAATATCGTCTAAAAATTAAAAATGTATATTTTATCTATCACATAAACAATTAACATTTTACATAGAATAAGGCTTTCCTTGATTTTTTAATAAAGGCAATCTACCTCCTTTAGACTACCTTGATGTACTGTAAATATAAAACTAACAAATCAATTTCAATGTTTATTACATTCATAAATAGTAATCACGTAGCAACACTGTATTACGCTCAGCGGCCACTTCTGGAATCAACATTACAATAGCTTTAGGGCAAAAATCTTTCTTGACATATGACTAAGGAAAAACGTAATATTTTTTTTTAAATAAAGTACAGTAATTTTTAAAACCATGTAATATAGTAAAATGTGAAAATTACCATTTTATAAAAATAAAATAAAAATATTCAGACTTATCATTCAGCCTAGATATGCAAACAATAGCTGTGATGGTGTTAATAAAGTTTTGTGCATATTGTTCCACCATATATATATACCATTTATCCCCCTCGGTAGTTTCAAAGCGTTATATGATAAAGAGTGCTCGGAAGACGGGACACCACGAGCGTAGCTCTCATCCTGTAACTACGCTTAGGTAATTACCATGGCTGAAGATCATTTATTCATATGTTATCAGGGTTGATAAAAACAAAACTATTTGAAGGAGATAATGAAGGCACGCTAGTTAAAACAAAACATGTTAACCGGGATAAAACTGGCCAACAAAAGAATGTACTGCATACAAATATTTTTCCTATAAATCAAACGTTCAGTTTTACAGACAAAATGAGAACATCAAAAACAAAAATATTCTGAAATCCAAAGCAGTATTGCAATTTGTATTATACTAGAAATCTTCCGATTTTTAATGTGTGTCGAGTTTTTAACAAACTAGAGGCAACCCAATTTTCTCCTGCCTGGCCATCTTTATTATATCTATCCCACAAGTCATATTGATCCTCAGTGTCACCATCAAGGTAACCACTTGCACCAAATACTCTATTGAAAATTTTATTAAAACATTGTACACACATCGTCACAAAAACCTCTTTGGAATAAAGTATGTCGACGAGTTAATATTTTTCCAAAAACATTGTTCACGCACGACAAAAACTGGCACCGACTAAAATGAAGAGTTAAGGATGTCATCTTCCAGTACTGTACCCGGGGCAAGCAACTAACATGACCAAACTGTCTACAGCAGCATCATCATCCTACAGGCACAGCAGAACATCCTTTTGCACAACACACCAATATTAATCCACTTTGAACACCCTTTCTCCTAGGCAAGGGGCAGCTTCCTTAGGTCTAATTCCACTTAATTTATTCACATACAGTAATATATTGTTCATTTCTTTACCATCCAAACTTGTTTACAAAGACCTAACATCTTGGGTATCTGTAAACTTATAGTATAAACTATACATTTTCATTCTGCTAACTTATCATTCCACATCGTTTAACTTCTTGGATCACTTGCATAAGAAAACCACCATTGATATATCTACCTCGAAGCTTATACTGTGTTCATGTTTTTACTATTTTCAAGACAGATTATGAAAATCTCGTCTAGTTTTTTTTAAATTTAAGATTATATATTTAGATTCACCACTTTTATATCCTAGTAGAGGAACTGTACCTTCAAATCTTAAAAGCTATTTCTCCACTTTTTTTGCCAAAGAAATTCCTGAAGTAATATACTTCAATTCTTATTCCATTTCATTGAAACAAAATTTGTATAAAACTTTAAGAAAGCCTTTAACCTGAAAAATAATAAGTGTTATTGTAACTTATGATAAGTAATAGCAACCAAATATAGTACAAATATGTTTATTGTTTGTGATGTGTGTCTATGTATGTATTAACACGATGTACTGAACGGGGTGAGAATAGCTTGAGCTACCTCACCCCTTTGTGTGTATTTTACCTCAATAAACTTATTTCAATTTCAATATAGTACAGTGTATTTGTATTTATTAAAATATATATATACTTCAGTACATGACTAATTATCAAAAGATGGCACCAAGTTGGGAAGACTATCGAGTGCCCTCCATGTCGTGGGATATGCAAACGGTTCTAAATTTCCCTCAAGATGCCAATAATAGAGTATTTTCTGGGTGAGTCCCGGAGGCTCCCCGGAGCTATCCCAGGCTGAGAAGCCGAGACAACTGGCTGCAACCGCCGACCCAAAGCAACACAGGCCCGACGAGGGCCAGGGACATTCACAAGGTAACGAGCAGCCAGGACCCTGTTCGACCGCCAAAATCCCCGCGCCCGAATATCAGACCAAGACATATTCCCAAAGACGGCAGCAAGAGCCGCGAACTTACGAACGTCATGGGCACGGGGATAGACCGCAGGCTGGCTAGACCTAATAACCCTGCGGACGACCTGAGAGACCCGAACCCGCGAACAGGGAAGAAGGGAAACCGGATCAACCCACAGCGCGTCCCCGGGCACAGAAGCTGTGGCGCGCAAATAACGGCGAAGCGCCGCAACCGGACACAAAACATGATGCACCCCCGGCCTGACCAACCAAGCATCAACCACCCAGGGACCCCTCCGGAACGCAGCAGTCTCATTCTTCGCCAGAAAAGAAGGAGACGGCTGCAAACGAACAAAACTATCACCACGACCAAAAGAGCAGAAACCCCTGCGCCGGAGGAGAGCATGAAGCTCCCCTACCCGACCCCCAGAGGCCAAAGCCAACAAGAAAAGTGCCTTGGAAAAACAATCCTGGACCGAAGGGGCCACAACGAAACGAGGAGATGAAAGGAAAGCGAGCACTCTGTCCAAAGACCAGGACGGCTCAGGCGACGCATGAGCAGGCCGGAGGTGAAACAATGCACGAGACAGCTTGCGAAACGGCGCAGACGTAACATCGATACCGAAAGCAAGCTGAAGCGGCTCCGCCAGCGCCGCACGATACGAAGCGACAGTGTTAGGCATAAGATGACGGTCCTGAAACAACCACGAGAGGAAGGACAAGACCACCCGAACAGACAAGGAGCTAACACGACGAAGACGCAAAAAGAAACGGAAGGACCGCCAGGAAACTTCATACTGCCGCCGAGAAGAAGCCCTCAGGTGGGACACCAACAAGGAGGCCACCTGATCACCATAGAGATGATGATAGACTCGAGTCAAAAAAACCATACGCGAAGACTCGAGGAGAAGATCGAACCAGCTACGTGACGTACCGGCCCGATCTGCTGAAAGAGGCGGAGCCGCGGGAAAACCCTCGGGTTCGGACACCGAGCAACCAGCGCCTGAAACCAAGGCTGGGCCGGCCACCAAGGGGCCAGAAGGACAACTCTCCCCTGGTAAGTCTCGAAGCGAGTCAGGACCTGGAGCAACAGCCGAACTGGGGGAAAGAGGTACAGGAACCCCCACCTCGACCAGTCGAGCCGAAAGGCATCGACCCCGACGGCCTCGCAATCGGGGAAGGGCGCCGCATAAACGGGAAGACGCCGCGACCACGCCGACGCGAAGAGGTCCACCTCGGGGCGCCCGAACGTCTGGCAAAGCCAACGGAAGGACTCGTCGTCGACCGTCCACTCCGTGGAGAGGGGAACGAAGCGAGACAGGGCGTCGGCCAAGACGTTGGACACGCCCCGTACGTGAACCGCCAGGAGAGCCAAACCCCGAGAACTCAGCAGACGAGTCACCCGAAGCGACCAACCCCAAAGAGACAAGGACCGCATCGAACCCCCGCGGTTCAGGCAATGAACCACCGGAGAGCAGTCCGAATGGAGCCGAATCGTCGATCCGCGGGCCACCCGAATCCTCCCCAGAGCAAACCACACCGCCGCGAACTCCCGCACCGTACTGTGAGCTCGACGGAAGGACGGATCCCAACGCCCCTGGCCGGCCTGGTGAGCACTGGTCACAAAACCCCAGCCGAGAGACGACGCATCCGTGTACACATCGAGCGAGGGCTCGGGTAGGCGCCAAGGCACTGAACCCCGAAAAACCCGAAGAGGAAGCCGGTGACGCAGCAACCGACGCAAGTCCCCCGGGGGTCGAACTCTGCGATCGCGAGAGAGGCGGAAGGGGGAACCCCGAAGGAACCAGAACAGCCGTCGAAGCCAAACCCGACCCGGCGGGTAGACCACCATCGCGAAGTTCAGGCTCTCGCACAGCCCCTCGAGCAACCGCCGGGTGACCCGAGGGCCCTCCAGAAACAGACGAAGGCGGGACCGCAGCTGCAGGAGAGACTCCGGAGGGAGAGACAAGGAGGCGGTCCGAGAGTCCCACACGAGACCCAGCCAAGTCCGAACCTGAGAGGGAACCAGATGGGACTTCCTCCAGTTCACCAAGAACCCGAACCCGGCGAGCTGGGAAAGAACCAAATCCCTGGCTAGCAAGCAAGCGGACTGGCTGGGAGCCCAAACCAGCCAGTCGTCGAGGTAGGCCAACACCCGAACACCTAGGAGACGCAAACGAGCCACCACAACCCGTGTAAGGCGTGTGAACACGCGAGGTGCCAGGTTCAACCCGAACGGGAGACAACGAAAGCGGTAACTCAGACGCCCCACTACAAAACCGAGCCAGTCCCTGAACCGCGGATGAATCGGGACATGCCAATAAGCGTCCCGGAGGTCCAGGGACACCATCCAAGCACCCGGCTCCAAGAGGAGCCGAACCTGAGACAGCGTAGTCATCCGAAAGGAGGGGCAATGAACCCAGGGGTTCAGACGGGACAAGTCCAGAATGAACCGCAGGTCCGCGCAGTCCCGTTTCGGAACCGGAAACAGACGGGAAACCCATCTGAGGGACGACGTCGTTTCGACGACGCCCAAGCGTACCCACTCCAAGACGACTCGACAGAGCGCAGGGGAAGAAGCCTGCCCCGCCAGCCCCGACCCCCCAAAGGGGGGAGGGGCCACCCAACGCCACCGCAGGCCGCGAGACACGACCCGAAAGGCCCACGAATCGTGGGACCAGGCGCGGGCGAACAGCGCAAGCCGCCCCCCCAACGCCCCGTCAAAGGGGCAAACCGCGAAAGGGCCGGCGACCCTTACGAGACCCAGAACCCCGCACAGCGCGAACACCGCGCCGACCAGACGAGGGAGGGTCCGCAGGAGGAGCCAACCTGACACCAGAGGCCTACCACGACGAGAGGAACCCCGAGCCCTGGCACGACCTTTCCGGGAAGACCCACCCCGGGACCCCCGGAAAACCAACAAGTCCGACATCGGACGACAAGCCGCCGACGCAGCCTGAATAAACTGCGCCACGGCCGACTCCCCAAACAGGAGAGGACAAAAAGGTGAAGAACGCCTAAGAGCCAGAGCCCAAGCAGATTCCACGGAGGAACCCAGCACCGCCTGCCGACACGCGAGACGGGAAGCATAGAACAGGGAAACCGCATCCCGCAAAATCGGCGTGAACAGCTTCAACAAGGCAGCCGACGAACGCGCAGCCGAGGACAAGGTGCCGGACCCCGGGACGGACCCAAGCGTCCCCACATCCTCCACGAGCCAATCCGAAGACAGCTCCAGGAGGGAAAAGAACCGCAAGGCCGAACACAAAAGGCCCCGAGCGCGCAAGTCCTCCGCCACGAGCGCCGCCGAAAGGGAGGGAACCTGCACATGGAGCTGAATAACGCCCACATCGCGGGGAAGGGCAGGGGCAAACAAGCACTCATTCAGGTACTCAAGTTCACCCCCCAGGAAAACCTGAAGCACCGTGGAAGCTTCCCGCCACTCCAGCGTGCGGGAACGACAGAAGGAATGCCAGGAATCCAGACCAAACAAGGGGCAGTCTGCTAGCCAGGATGACTCCGGAACCTCGTAACGGAGCCAGAAAGGGAACGAAGTCCCAAACCTGAACGTGGACGGATCCATTTCCGAGGCATAATCCGGGTCACGCAGGAGGTAAGCTGCAAAGGCCGCTCGCACCACACCAGGTTGGATGCGATAAGCCGAAAACCTCCGGAAGGACGGAACCGACGTACCCGGGGGAACACGGAACCGTACCCGGGGAGGGGCCGACACCAAATCCAACTCGTACGCAGAGGGGGGGAAAGAAAACCCCACTCCTTGTAACAATAAGCCCCGCTCAGTGGGAAGAAAAACCCCGGCGGGGTCCAGCGGGGCCCAAGGCCCCCAAGTCAGCCCCTCCCCAGCCTCGAGGTCCGTCACCACAGGACCCGAGGCCGAGTCCTCTCCCCAAGCCCCGACCCCACAAGACAAGGACGGAGCAGCCGGAAAAGCTGGAGGAAGGGGGGCCCACTGGTCAGACCCTGAAGCTTCGGCCGGGAGACAAGACTCGAATGCCTCTGCCGCCCCCCCGGAAGGGGCAACCCCCGAAGCTGCCCGAGTCTCGAGATCAAGTAACCCCTGCTCCGACCCCGAAACCCTCAGACGCTTCGGGGCCGGAAGCAGGGGCGGGGGACCAGAACGAACAGAAGGGGAAGGACGAGGAGGTGCGGACTGAACCAGGATCGAAGCGACCCCCACCCCCAAGTCCGGGTCTCGAAAAGCAAAGCGGGGCAGCCCCGGGGCATCCGGGGAAGCAACCAACCGAGCGCGTTGCAACAGACGAAACCTAGACTGCAACGCACGTGCCGCCTGTACCCGAATAGAATCATCAGAGGATTGGGTAAATTGAGTCACAAGCAAGCAGCAACACTCACAGGACTCAGGGTCGAAAGTATCACCGACCCAACAGGCAGCGTGGCAGAGGCAAAAACAATGAGGGTCACCCTGAGACAAGGGGACCGAGCAACCCTCAAACTCGCACACAGCGAGTGGGGACTCCGGGGTCACATCCATCGGACCCACGCGCCCCCTAGGGGATTCCCAGGGTCCTGAGCGTTTACTTTAAGAGGACTCGCGCTCAGGTAGTCCCAGGCAGGGTGCTGCAAACCGGCGCCCAAAACTACCAAGCAAACTTCTAAAGCTGAACCCCAGGGACGTGTACACTCACGGGGACCTAGCAGGGGGCGCCACCGAGGAGAACAGTGGAAGGGCAAAACAAACTGAATAAAATGACAGAACCCCCCACCAGGCAAAAAACAAAAAGAAAAACAAAACCCCGCAAGAGGACAGCGAACCCCAAGGAACAGAGCCGGCCGCGATGTCGGGAATTACAAGCTGAGCAGCACCCTGCGCCCCTACCAGTGCAAACTGCCTCTTACCTGCCGGTAACAAAAAGAAATGTGTATGCTTTTGGTTGAAATTAATAGGGTCTCAAGGGGAAAGTGTTTGATTACTCATTACCCGTTATTTGCCTCGTACACGACAAATCGGTTGTATTTTGTCAAAAGTTTCAATGAAGTTTTAAACATACAAGAGAAAATGTGCTGTGAGAACACAAACTGATTCAGATGTGAACTGGATATGGTTAGAAAGAATTCTACCAAAGCACCATACTTCTCCCAAATCTTAGCTAATAATGATGACAATGAAAACAATGACAGTGATGAGGATAATGACAATGAAAATAATGACAATGATGAGGAGAGACAATGGCAAGAAAATAATGAAGACTGATAAAACATGCAGTAACAATAACATCCATCATTAAATAATACCTGTTTAGCCAGCTTCTCATTGTTTAAGTCGATGGGAACCTTGGCTTGTGGATGGTGTGTCAGATGAGCAAGCTTTGGACTTTTTATCAGCTTTACCCGTAACCTGAAAAAAAAACAGCGTTGACTGTAATGAAATGTCTCTTTCTGGGTGGGCTTTGGTGGCTCCCTGTAGCTAGCCACACTGAGATAGCTCCATACACACACATACGTTACATCAGCTCTAGGAGTTTTCAATAGTCTTCTGCAGACCAGAGCCAAAATCTGATCCTCTTAAAGAGGCACAGGGAGCAGGAGATTCCTAAGATCACCCTCTTAGAACACAGAAAGGAAGTAAAGCAAAACAGAAACTGCAATGTTCACAGAGAAAAATGGCTACAGATGATTACCCACTAGTTAGGTCAAACTCCCATAGTTACAGCAAGACACCACCAACTGACAGCACAATTGGGAGCTGCCAGCTTCCCATGTTAACAATCCTTAGTCTGGAGCCTAAGAAAAATCAACAGACGCATTTGAAACAGGGAAGAGGACAAGCAACTTTCCTGCTTTACTTGGGGTGGCTCTGCAGAGTATGGGGAAGAGAGGAAGGGAATTTTCCTTCCCTAGATTCAGACTTCCTGCAAACCCCTGCAGTGGCTTGTGCTTGCAGGCGCTCATTCAGGGCCCCTTTTCTGGGGATGGTTTTGCTGGCTGAACTACAGGCAAAGCAGAGGGAGGGAGACCCAGCAGAAAGCATTCAAGATAAATGAGTAAGGACCCCACTACATAGTCTATGACCTCAATGTTTGGATAACAAAACAAGGGAATGCACAGCAGACCACAGCTCGCCGAGCCGTCCGTCAATAAAAATTGCAGAAGTCTACAGCTACAAGGGCAGAGATTTGCCACTGCTACAAGAATAGAGGCCAACACCCACTGCCATAAAGACATAAGCTTACAACAACCTCAAGGACACAGACGGCAGCCCTACATCCAACAGATGGAACAGTTGCCACAGAACCAATGACTTCCCAAAAAAAAACAGAATTGCAAACTGTAAAACTGCAATAAGAATAGTCTGGCCCATAGTCAGCTGGGGAAACTCACACAGCCACTTGAACGCATGAGCCCATGCACGCAGCAAGCAAGCCCCATGCACCACCTGGAGGTGAGAGGACTAACTCAAAAGGAGCCAACTTGCTGGATAGGAACACTAACTCCCCAGAGCAGAGAAAATGCAAGCCAACTACTAGTGAAGATAACCCTGGCACACAGCCAATGCAAAATAGTATACAGGAAAAAATGCAATGTGCATGGAACTAAACACAATAGTGAAATATAAAGGGAACAAAAATACAGAAATGGCCTTTATTGGAACTATTGTTCCAAGGACTGCCAACATCATTTTATTGAAAGAAAAGCAGTTCTGATGATACCAAAGAGAGATATGTACCCTTGGCTAGCACCTAGCGAGTGAGGTGGGTAACTGGCCAGGATCCTAGGTAACTTAGGGGAGCCGGTCGGCCGAGTGGACAGCACACTGGACTTGTGATCCTGTGGTCCTGGGTTCGATCCCAGGCGCCGGCGAGAAACAATGGGCAGAGTTTCTTTCACCCTCTGCCCCTGTTACCTAGCAGTAAAATAGGTACCTGGGTGTAAGTCAGCTGTCACGGGCTGCTTCCTGGGGGTGGAGGCCTGGTCGAGGACCGGGCCGCGGGGACACTAAAGCCCCGAAATCATCTCAAGATAACCTCAAGATAACTTGGGCTGCCATGTGGTAGCAGTTAGGTGCAGAAAGTTTTGTATTGTTCGCCCATAGCAACAATTGCTTGCCTCGTCTGCCTCAAAAGTTCACCTTTCTATGATTCTTTCTTGATTTGGGTTAATCTTTGATTTGAAAGCTCCCCTTGTCTAATAGAGAGCAAATTTGTGTCCTGGCTCTAAGTTAGTCTAAATCGGCCTCATGCATTTCTCAAGTCTTGGTATCACCAGAGCACAAGCTTTGGGAAGCTAATGAGCAGGCTTTTCCCTATTTTAAATACATGGTAAACATTAAGTAATATAAAATCAAGTAATCTATATCTGCTCCTCAGACTTGTTCAAGAAATACAGTCTTTAGAAACAATGTACACACAAAATGTTAGACAGTACCTCAAAGTGAATCAAGACACCCCAATGGTCTGATGGAAAGCTCTGCGTTCCTGAAGTTTTTTCCAAACCCAGAAGACCAAAGTGTCGAGGAGTTATAATTGGGGGATCAGATGGTCGAAGGTACACTCTATCAAATCTCGTTTTAGGCTTATAGCGACCTGGAAACTGAAAAAATGCAACAAAATAAAATGATGTTACATAATACTCCATATTCTGTTGCCAATAAAAGAACCATATCTTAGTAATACAGAAATCTCAACTCAACATTTGGAACTTGCTCGCCCTGAAGAATCTAAGCACATGTAGCTAAGGTAGGCATAAATCAACGGCACACTTGCCTGCTTGTTGGTATTTCGCTCGGTATCCCACGTCCATTTACATTCAGGTCTTCTTCCGCACGCCTCCCACAAGTCAAAACAATTTGATGGGAGGCCAGCACTAATGACCTGCATATATTTTTATACTCTATATTAATATCACTGATTGATTCAGATATGGTTTGTAAATTTGTAGTCATTTACCTATTTGCAAAATTGGCCATCTTTCATGTCAAAGTAACTAGACTCATTCAAAATACATAACAGGACAATAAATACAATCATACCTCTTTGTCACGTAAATTCAAATCGCCTCCAAAGATTACATTTGAATTTGGAGAACAAGACTTCATTTTGTCAAATCCAATTTTGAGCTGCTCTGTACGTTCCTTGCTATAGTCTGCTGTGCTTTCTAGGTGGGAGTTCATCAAGTTTAATTTTACGTCACCTATGTGCGCCTGAAGAAAAACATTTGCTCTAAGTTTTATCATCATGAATATTACTCGGCTAATACGGTTGAAAAATGCTCAAATTGTTATTATTAGTACTGTAGAAATAGTATGAAGTTTGGGTACTTAGCTCAGCGGTGGGACATGCAGTACAATGTAATCCAGTTGTTAGATTTTTTGGTAGCTGCCTACCTATTGTTATTTATTGTTGGCTATGGTTGACTAGGGAGCCGGTCGGCCGAGCGGACAGCACACTGGACTTGTGATCCTGTGGTCCTGGGTTCGATCCCAGGTGCCGGCGAGAAACAATGGGCAGAGTTTCTTTCACCCTATGCCCCTGTTACCTAGCAGTAAAATAGGTACCTGGGTGTTAGTCAGCTGTCACGGGCTGCTTCTTGGGGGTGGAGGCCTGGTCGAGGACCGGGCCGCGGGGACACTAAAGCCCTGAAATCATCTCAAGATAACCTCAAGAAGATGGTGAATGACTCATGGCCTGGTCATGGTCTGACCAGGCCTCCTGGTTGGTGGTCTGGTCAACCAGGCTGTTGGATGCAGCTGCTTGCAGCCTAATGTATGAAACATAGCCTAGTTGATCAGGAATCCTCTAGAGGTGTTCATCATGTTCTCTATTGAACACCATGAAAGATCAAGTAGTTATGCTCCTTATGTGTAGAGTGTTGAAAGGTCTCGGGCCTCTTGATGTTCACAGAATGTTCTCCCTACTGCACCTCTGTTTTTCAGTGGGGCAATTTGCACTTTCTGCCATACCTCATGCTCATATTAGAGTTATTTCCATGTGTAAATTTGAAACCAGTCCCTTTAATATTTTCCAAGTGTAAATTATTATGCATCTCTTCCGTGCACTCCAGAGAAAACTGAATTAACATTTTTAAGTGGTTTCAATTATTTAGATGCTTTATTGAGTGGATTCAGGCAGTAAAAGACCTTTGCACATTTTCTAGGTCAGCAATTTCTCCAGCTTTAAATAGGGCTGTTAGTATGCAACAATATTCCACCCTAGAGAGCACTTGTCTTATAAAGTAACATCGTTGGTCTGGCATACTGTGCGTCATCGGATAGGCAAATTGCCGATACTTTATGAACATGAACATATATAAATCACTATATACTATACAATTTCTACCCTAAATGAGAAAGTTAGATAACTAATTAAATTGAAATTGGGTATTGTTTTGTCTACAACCATTTAACAAAGCAAGAATTGATGTCAATCCATCTTGGACAATTATCAAATTAAAAATTAGTCTTACATTTCCATGTAGTATAATGCTTAAAATGCAATGCTTAAACAAATAATTAAGCCAAGACAAAATATACCATAAAATTACATTATTTTTAAACAAATGTATATTGTAGAAAAAAATTCAGCAGAGTTCTTCACCAACCTCGACACACAGCAAATTTCTACCCATACAAGTATTTGTGAAGGGAATTAGGTTGTGGCCATCAAAGTAAACTGTAGTGCGACGGAGAAGTATGGCTGTAAAGTATTCTTTTGTATCTCCCACAACAAAGACAAACTGCGGGAGAAGGTCTTCCAAGTAGCTGTACGTCTTCGGCACTAGTTCTTGTATGAAAACTATATCTGCACTTTCCCTGAGAACAAACATACTGCATCAACAAACAACTTCCTCATTTAAAAGTCAAGCAAAATATCATATTACATCTTGGGTAAAAGTAGAGGCATTTACAGCATATCATGGGTTATACAACATCTACATCATGGGTAGAGTATATCATGGGTAAAGTATATTACGGGTTAGACATTGTCTACATCATGGGTAAAGTATAACTATCTACATCACGAGTAAAACTAGACACTATACATGTCATAGGTAAAAGTGAAAATATCTACATCATTTCTAGGTAAACAATCATCATCTACTTCATTGACAAGTATACAATCATATACATCACTTGTAATAATACATATGTATTTTTACAAACAAATTAATAATACATATGTATTTTTACAAACAGTATTTTTATGGTTAGGAAGTGGCCGGATTAGTACTGTACTTAGAAATGGACTAGAAAAAGGCCCGTAAACTGCACGGGTAATATTGATGCATTTCTGTCGAGCGCAAGGAAGAAATTATGAAAATTGACTTTCTTTTTGACAAGTGTTAATTAGCATTCAAGAAGCATGAAAAATCTCTGTACAAAATTTCTGCCCATCATGGTTTAGCTGTAGTGGCCCGGAGAAGTTGTGCTTTTTTTCTTGTAAAATATTTTGTCATATTTAGGTACTGTATTTTTTGTTAAAGTTTTTACGTACTTAATTAATATTTGAACTTGAACTACAGATCATTTGGGTAATGACAAAAATTAACAACATGTAGCAGCAAAATAACATTAACTTTTGGCTCTTCTGTGTATATATTTTATATACAATATTAGTACTTTATAATATAATTTGAATAATATTATGCTGAATTTTTGTTTGAATACGTTTTCAAGCACTGTACAATAGTTCACACTTTGATTAGGTGTATAATGGATGATAACACTGCCACCACCTGGCGTTTGGCATGATAACAGCTTGGATGAACAATCCTCAAACACTTGCATGCTCCACCGAACAATTTGTACTGAATACAATCTGTGCTGTTCAACCAGGTTTTTTTTTAGACTAGGGTTTGTTAGGGGCGAGGATGCATTGTGTATTAATGTCATATACTGTACTGTATACAGTATATATACAGTATATGACAGTGACATGTTTTATTTCTAAAATAGAAAATGGTTGAATCATTTAATCATAATTTTAGAAATTACTGCTACTGTACCCAAAAATACGTACTTCTCAATAATCCTGGCTATAGTTTTGGTTCTTTTTTTCAAGTGTTTATCATCCAGGCCATCAACATTCCAGGTAATAAAGCGGAAATTCTTTGGAGCTTCCTCGGAAAGTGTTCCCCCAGCAAGAACAGATACCAAATTTGAGCTGCAATATAAAAAACAAAAAATCATATAACGAATATGAAAAGGTACTTTTCTGACGATGGCACTAAGGCAAACCCTCAATGATTGTCCCATTTAACAGGTTCACAAAGCCATTCTCCAATTTACTCTTACCTATATGGTACTCAAATCTAAAAGTGAATCGTTACAATGCATCCAGCTCAAATGGACAAGTCCTGTACTCTGTTTTGGCATCAAGACCGTTGTGATCCGTTGCGGTAGAAAGTAACGGAGCACCTCTGGTGGAGCAAGGCTCTGACAATTGTTGTATCAGAGAACAGTATAAAAAAACTAATTTATTAAACAAAATAAAATTTGTTATTAAAAATTCAACTGATTTTGGAACAAAAAAATGGTCGATAACTTGTACTGATAAAAATAATTGAAAAGTTTGGATGCAATGAATTTTTTGGGGAATGGGGGAGGGGGAGGGGGAGAGGGAGAGGAGGGGGGGGGGGGCTGCAGAATGGTCAGGAGCAAACGGGTCTATTTGAGTGCAGACACCCCTCTATACAAATATATATACAGTATGTATGTTAAATTGTATACAACTGAAGGGAAATATCAGGGGAAAGTGCCAAGCCATTATGACTATAAAGCACTGGAAAGGGGTGAGGATAAGGATTTGGGATGAGACGAGGGGAAGGAATGGTGCCCAACCAATTGGACGGTCGGGGATTGAACGCTGACCTGCATGAAGCGAGACCGTCACTCTACCGTCCAGCCCAAGTGGTTGGTCAACTGAAATTGTCAGAAAAAAATCATCAACATATTTTCACACTTACTCAAACGTGACGACAACCTCAGGCTCATCTCCGTCATTCAGGACCTTTATGCCACCTGTTCGAGCCTCAAAAAATGCATTCACCGACCGCTGTAATTGAACACGAAAACTCTAAATGAGTTTAAAATTCTTGTTCATAATGACGATAAAAATAAGCAAATCAAAGTTTCCACCCAATAATATGTTTAGGTTCGGTATCTGAAGCCTTACATGACAAAGTAATTTTTGTGAAATACCCACACTACAGTTCAGTGGTGTACTGCATATTTGTACAGAATGGTGTTTTCGTTCCAATCTCACTTGATATTCACGATTCATTGGAATAAACAAAAAAAAATTACGGGTGACAAAATAATAATAATAATATTAATAATAATAAAATGACATTAAGAAAGACACACAGTTCAACCTTAACAGAATGTGATTCCAAGTGCTTTTGTGATTTTACTTCTTTAGCTCTCTTTCAAAAAATTTTATGATGAATGATGTTGGAGCTATTGGTCTTCAATTTTTTACATCTGCTTTACTACCACCTTTGTTAAGCAGCACAATCTCCGCTGTTTTAAATGTGTCAGTGATAGCACTAATACCTAGGCTTAGTCGCAAAGATTTTTAAGGCCTGTTAGCAAAGACTTTTCTAATTAGAATTCATTGGAGTAGTATGTCAGTGATAACACTAATACCTAGGCTTAGTCGCAAAGATTTTCAGGGCCTGTTAGCCAAGACTTTTCTAATTAGAATTCATTGGAGTAGCCTTCAAAATTTGATTTACCACGAATGATTTAAAATGTAGGCCTATCATTTCTAAAATAATTGCCATTCATTAAGCAGTAAAACATACTGTATTTAGTAGGGAAAACACAATTGATTGCAACAATTTTTGGTTTAAATTAGTATAAATGGTTAGTAGTTAATATTTACTTAAGTGTTGTAGTTATAAAAATTATCAGGGCAAGTTATTATATTTGTCTTTTCATAAAATACATTTGATATGAGTTACAGACACACAACACATTGCTAGGATGATGGAATCTGGCCACCAAGGATATTTTCATTTCCAGGTTAAGTTGAAGAGAAAATTTGACTTGTGTACAGTTTACATAAAAGTAAGTGCGTTCCGATACACCCACAGGATATGGGGGGTGCATAATAAATGAACAAACTAAAATCTTCAGTGGTGTCTTGGCCCAAAGGGGTGTTTTTAGGAAGATCAGCAATTGTAAATAGTTTGTTGAATTATGACATAACCACCAAAAGGGAGAACAGAAGAAAAAGATTACCAAGCATGCAAGTACCCATTGGATGAATCCAGCTTTTGTTACAATGGAACAGTGTTGGTTATAGGTGCTTCAATACAAAGGAATACTGTACTACATTCATATATTTTACTATTATCAATTTATCATGCCTCTAATAGTATATATTAATAAAAAATGCATTTTTCCATGAGGGTGTTACTGTACTAGTACCAGTGCTACAAAAATGTACAGAACAGGTTGTGCATGCTGTATATGTCCCAATCATGTACATTTCTGATCTGTTAGCAGTGTGACCTCATTACTCAAGGACTCTCATTAATTCTTCTTTGGATATTTCATTTTAAGTTGAAAAGACATTACCATCAGTAACAGGTGAGGGAAGGAGATCAGTCAATATGGAAGAAAAAGTTAAATTGATTGAGAAAAGTAACCAAGTCAAGCAGAGGAGCTGGTGGTGGTGGTGTCATACTAAGTACAGAAGGCATGCAGCTTACCAGACACTAAAGAGCAGGCAAATGCAGAAAATATGTCACATTACTGTGACTGAAACAAATAACTCAACCCACACATATAAAATGAAATGAAAGCAGCAACATTTTGGTCTATCCTGGATCCTTATAAGGTAGTGACAAGGAAGAGTAGGAGTCATTGTATGGCACAAGGAGAGGCGAGGGGAAAGGAGATGAGGGTTAAGTGAAGAAGCATGAAAACCCCCACTACCATAAAAATTAAATGAAACTATAAAAGGCCTAATGGCAGCTAAACAAAGGTGTAGAGAAGGGAAGTAAAATACAAAAAGAAAATTTGTGAAATAAAACAAGACAACAAAAACTCTTCCTCGACACGACTTGATGAAGGTCTAGGCCAGGTCTAAAGGTCACAATTTTCATTTCATTTCATATGTGGGAGTTGGGCAATTAGTAGCCAAATATTGTTATGAAATTTAAGGAAAAATATACAAAAATTCTCTATTCCTCTCTTTTGTGATACGTTCAATAAATAAAATGTCACCTCCAATTACAATACCTCAAGATTCCAGTCACGGTCCTGAAGATAAAACTGAGCACATGCTTCATCTGTGTTGGTTATACTCGCAAACTGCTCTACAAGTGCCTGAGGGGAAGAAAATATAAAGCATTCAATATAGTGAAATATGCAGAATAAGTCACAATAATGTAGCTGAAACATGTAACCCAACCCACACACACAAAATGAAATGGTGTCACTTTTATTTCATTTCACATGTGTGGGTTGGGTTATTTGTAATGAAATGTCCATTTCTGCAAGGCCCATAATGGCTCCTCAAGCTTAATCTTCAGTACCACCAAGTCTTAGCTCAACATACCAGGTCTGTTAAGAACCAGCTTTGTCTGTTAAGAACCAGGTCTGTTAAGAACCAACAAGGAGAGTGGTAGTTTGCCCAAATGTCAACAAATGCTGCACATACCCCTGGTTCAACAAGGGTCCAGTCTGTCTGCCACCTCATTCACGTGCTGTGGAAAGGGCAGTAGCGGAATAGTATATAAAAAATATGCAATATAGCAATAACCTTACATTGTTTGAATCAGGAAAACAGTTTCTGCCATATATACTGTCATAAAAAAGATATCCCTACTTTGCATCAAAAAGATAAACTTGTGGGCTGTAAATGTTAACCACTTGTTTGACAGTCTGTACAGTTCATCCTATTAGGGGGAGAGGGGTTGTACATGCTTTCCCTCACAGGATGAGTGATGCTGCCCAATAAACTCGCCCTTCGGGGCAAGTTCAAGTACGTTTATCGAGACAAACTATATCTCAAAGGGATAGAGTAGCTTAGGCTACTTCTACCCTCAACCTTCGGGGCAAAGTTTTAATGACCCACGCGTATATATGTGTATATATATACGTATGTGTATATATATACGTATGTGTATATATATACGTATGTGTATATATATACGTATGTGTATATAATTATGCATTTGATGGTTACAAGATATACATGGGTTGATACAAAAATAATAATGCAAAAAGGTGCTTAAAGGTTATGGATCTCTTGAAAAACACAACAATGGGAAACATTGATGAATGTCACAGACGGGTTCGATCATTGTTGCAAGTCAAACACTTCTTCGAATTCCTCTGAAGTTGGACTAGTGCCCAAGACGCAACAGGCATTTTCCCTCTGAATCGCAACACTGAGGCGCTGGAACAAGAAACTTTTTGCTCTCTGGTCTTTTGTAGCGCTGATCAATTTGTCCCCCAATTCCTTCAGGAACTTCAATGCACATTTTCCCCACGAACCGAGGGTCTCCGAGCCGATCGGAACAAAGCTGTAGCAGTGCTAGACCTCTGTATTTAATAATTAATATATAGATATATATATATATATATATATATATATATAATAATATATATATATATATATATATATATATATATATATATATATATATATATATATATATATATATATATATATATATATATATATATATATATATATATATATATATATATATATATATATATATATATATATATATATATATATATATATATATATATATATATATATATATATATATATTAGTATATTTTGGTAGCAGTCTTTCCTGTAGACATATATTATTAAATATGACCAAAAAAGTAAGATTAATAATTCTAACACGAATTTTCTCAATCTTTCGTACATTTCTTTTCACTGTTGGAGGTAAATAAAAAATCAATTCTCCAAAATTCATTTTTATTTCTAGTCTGACGCGACACGAGAGCGTTTCGTAAAACTTATTACATTTTCAAAGACTTTAGTTTACAAATACACAACTGAATAGAACTTACGCATCTCCAATTTTATATCTACATTTTAGTGAGGTGGATGGGGTGAGGTGGCATTAATAGGGTATTAATTTCATCAACACAAGACAGAACAAGGCTAATTAATACCCTATTAATGCCACCTCACCCATTCTTTCTGTTCTAGGTTCTGAATTATACCAACGGTCCAAGTGTCTTCTTATAGCAGCGTTTATTTCCGCGTTGCTATATCCGTTGTTCACCAATACCTGAGTTACTCTTTCAAACTCTCTACTCACGTTGCTCCATTCAGAGCAGTGGGTAAGCGCTCGACGAATATAAGCATTGAGAACACTGGCTTTGTATCTTTGGGGGCACTCACTTCTACCGTTCAGGCATAATCCTATGTTGGTGGGCTTGGTATATACGTTGGTGCTTAAAGAGAAACCACAACACCCCCAATAAAATTATATTACAAATCAACCATGCACAGTGAACATATAAAAGAGGAAAGAATAATGAAAGAAATAATCCGTAAAGGAGTAAAAGCACTACTCCTAACCAAAACATAAACCTGATAATATTCTACAAACCAAGAAGACTTCCGAACTCCTTATCAAAAACAGCCCGAAGCCGACGGAGAACCCTCTACAGCAGTCAAGCGTTGTATACATGTACACTTGCCCCCACGAAGGATGTAACCTTCAATGTAAGTACATAGGTATGACGTCGACCAAGCTGACGAGGCGTTTGACATGCCATCTTCAATCTGGTGCCCCTAGGAATCACATGAGACAAGCCCATGACATTACTCTAACAAGAGAAATGTTGAACAAGAATACTTGCATAATAGACAAAACCCAAGATTCAAGAAGATTACAAATTCTTGAGGCAATTCACATAAGAATAGAGCGACCTACCATGAACACCCAAATCACGGAACTATTTACTCTACCCACCATGAGAGTAAGGACAAGACAAGAACATATCGATGCCAACACAGAAGACAATGGCCAACATAACAGGCCAATTACACTGGATTAATCTTTGTGTTTGGATAGGAGATGCCTCGTATGGGCCAATACGCCTTCTGCAGCCCCTATGTTTATCCCTTATGTATCCCCCCATGTTTTTCACCTTCATTGTATTATCACCTGACCTAATGCGGGTATAAAATCAACTAGTATTGTAAGATCTGTTCACTTGAGAATGAACCATGGAGGTTCGAAACGTCGTGCAAATTATACAAATAAGTGTAATACACTCTATAGTAAATCACTTCTTTTCTTCACCTTAAAAGTACGAAAATGAGTTTTGGAGAACTCCTATTCCAATTAAGCCCTGATGCTAAGAAAATAGTTAGAGGGATAGATGCCCTAAACCAGAAAATAATAAATACAGAATATGCAGTCATATTCAATGAAACATGTTTGAAAGAAAACCTGCTGCCAGTATACACCAATATAAACCCACATGACCCAGCAGTCCGCAATATATATATTTATATATATATATATATATATATATGTATGTATGAGGGTGTGTACATGTGTATACAACATTGATAATTTTGTAACTAGCGTCAAACATTGTTATTTGCTTAGCTAAACGAACTAGAGGGTTCAGTTCCTGAACCGATTATGTGCCTCTGTAATCCTTTACACCACCGCCCACGGGATGGGTATAGGGTGCATAATAAAGTAAGAAAATCTAAACCACGTGAGCTGCTCCCTAGACCTCGACCACATCAACCTGCGATACACAAGGCGTTTCTCACCTGACACGTGGCTACATCTGGAATATTTGTTTCCTCCTCGTCGTCTAGAGAAATAACGTCCTCCTCCCGTTCAGTCATCTTCGTCCTCTTCAGGAGGGCTCAGGTATATTGTTGGCGATACAGGTATCTCTCCCTCCCTGACACGACTGCTCCAGCTGCCCTGTTGAGACCCGTGATCTGTTGACATCCACTACCAGCCTAAATTATATCGCATCACTCCACAAGTTCTAAACTATCATTAACTATTTAATCATTATATATTAATTGGAAGTAAATAAACCAATCAAACAGAGATAAAATAAATAATGACCAACTTAAAAACAGGTCAGAAAGTTATTTCTTTGGCATATTATATGTACATTGACAACGAATTGAGCTTCGGTTGCAAGAGCAGCTGCAACATGACAGTGAAGCCATCGTGGGGATTGCATAACTGCTCGGGGGGCATTATGGGGTGTGTGTGCAAGCAATGATATTGACTTTGACCCTTTTCCATCCCCCATTTTCCCACCTATCACCCCCCCCCCCTTCCCCCTCTTCCATTTCCCACCACTAAATATGAGCCCTCCTTTGTTCATCAGATGAAATCTATCTAGTGACGTTGAATCCTTGTGTAAGCGAACCTTTCCACGAAAATCAACTGTCAAAAATATGCAAAATTATATTGAAAACGAATCAATAAATAAAAAGAAGATAGAAAATATATACGTGACAATTGGAGGCAAATGAGTCATTAATGGTGACATGCTAAGACAAGTTCCTCGGATTTGTACGTTCCGTAGAGAAATAGATAAATATATTTATCTGTACTTACCTGAGGGCCATATCTTTGAAGTGGCCTCGATGAGACTAGGAAGCCGGCGGCTTGTCAAAGGTCCTCCACCCGCAGTTGTTTTGATGATTTTGTCGACTGGATTTTGGAATTCAGCAGTCACGGATTCAGCGGGTAGGCGGTTCCATGGGTTTATAGCCCTATGAATGAAAAAAAGCCTCTCTACCTGGTTGATACCTGGTTGATGGGGTTCTGGGAGTTCTTCTACTCCCCAAGCCCGGCCCGAGGCCAGGCTCGACTTGTGAGAGTTTGGTCCACCAGGCTGTTGCTTGGAGCGGCCCGCAGGCCCACATACCCACCACAGCCCGGTTGGTCCGGCACTCCTTGGAGGAATAAATCTAGTTTCCTCTTGAAAATGTCCACGGTTGTTCCGGCAATATTTCTTATGCTTGCTGGGAGGACGTTGAACAACCGCGGACCTCTGATGTTTATACAGTGTTCTCTGATTGTGCCTATGGCACCTCTGCTCTTCATTGGTTCTATTCTACATTTTCTTCCATGTCGTTCACTCCAGTACGTTGTTATTTTACTGTGTAGATTTGGTACTTGGCCCTCCAGTATCTTCCAGGTGTATATTATTTGATATCTCTCTCGTCTTCTTTCTAGTGAGTACATTTGGAGGGCTTTGAGACGATCCCAATAATTTAGGTGCTTTATTGCGTCTATGCGTGCCGTATATGTTCTCTGTATTCCCTCTATTTCAGCAATCTCTCCTGCTTTGAAGGGGGAAGTGAGTACTGAGCAGTACTCAAGACGGGACAACACAAGTGCCTTGAAGAGTACAACCATTGTGATGGGATCCCTGGATTTGAAAGTTCTCGTAATCCATCCTATCATTTTTCTGGCTGTCGCAATATTTGCTTGGTTATGCTCCTTAAACGTTAGGTCGTCCGACATTATTATTCCCAAATCCTTTACATGCTGTTTTCCTACTATGGGTACATTTGATTGTGTTTTGTACTCTGTATTATGTTTAAGGTCCTCATTTTTACCGTACCTGAGTACCTGGAATTTATCACTGTTAAACATCATGTTATTTTCTGATGCCCAGTCGAAAACTTTATTAATATCAGCTTGAAGTTTTTCAATGTCCTCAGCCGAGGTAATTTTCATACTGATTTTTGTGTCATCTGCAAAGGATGATACGAAGCTGTGACTTGTATTTTTGTCTATATCTGATATGAGAATAAGGAAAAGCAGTGGTGCAAGGACTGTACCCTGAGGTACAGAGCTTTTCACTGCACTTGGACTAGATTTTATATGGTTGACAGTTACTCGCTGAGTCCTGTTTGACAGAAAACTGAGTATCCAGCGTCCTACTTTACCGGTTATTCCCATTGACTTCATTTTGTGTGCTATCACGCCATGGTCACATTTATCGAAGGCCTTTGCGAAGTCCGTGTATATCACATCAGCATTCTGTTTCTCTTCTAATGCCTCAGTGACTTTGTCGTAGTGCTCAAGTAGCTGTGAGAGGCACGATCTTCCCGCTCGAAATCCATGTTGGCCTGGGTTATGAAGGTCATTGGTCTCCATGAAATTGGTGACCTGACTCCTAATCACTCTCTCAAATACTTTTATGATGTGCGATGTTAGTGCAACTGGTCTATAATTTTTTGCCAATGCTTTGCTCCCTCCCTTGTGTAGAGGGGCTATGTCTGCTACTTTAAGTGCATCTGGTATCTCCCCCGTGTCCAAGCTCTTCCTCCACACTATACTGAGTGCCTGTGCTACCGGCACTTTGCATTTCTTTATAAATATTGAATTCCATGAGTCTGGACCTGGGGCCGAGTGCATGGGCATGTTTTCAATTTCTTTTTCAAAATTTAGTGCGCTCGTGTTTATATCAGTTATATTTACCGGGGTTTGAATATCCCGCATAAAGAAAATGTCTGGATCTTCCACCTTCATGTTGTTTATTGGAGTGCTAAACATGTCCTCATACTGCTTTTTTAGGATTTCACTAATTTCTTTGTCATCCTCCGTGTATGAACCTTCACTTGTACGAATAGGTCCAATACTGGCAGTGGTTTTTGCTTTTGATTTCGCATATGAGAAGAAATATTTTGGATTTTTCTTTATTTCCTGAATTGCTTTCTGTTCTAACTGCCTTTCTTCAGTTTCATATGAGTGTTTCAATTTCCGCTCGATTTCTTCAATCTCCCTATTTAAATTATTCCTTCTTTGACGGGAAATTCGTGTCTGCATAAGCAGTTCCGTTATTTTTTTCCTGCGTTTATAGTGTCGTCTGCGTTCTCTTTCTACGTTAGATCTCTTTCTGGCTTTCCTCAAAGGAACATGTTTCAGACAGACTTGATACGCTTCTGAAGTAAGTTTTTCTATTCCTTCTGTAGGACTTGTATTATTTAGAACAGTTCCCCATGGAATGTTTGTAAGTTCCCTGTTTATTATCTCCCAGTCTATCCTTTTATTATTAAAATTGAATTTACTGAATAGCCCCTCTCGCTTTATCAACGTTTTAGGTCTATTCTGAGTATTGATGGTCGTTTGCACTTCAATGAGTTTGTGATCTGAGTATGTGGTATCTGATATCGTAATGTCTCTGATAATGTCTTCATTGTTCGTAAAGACCAGATCTAGAATATTTTCATTTCTCGTTGGCTCCGATATCTGCTGATTGAGTGAAAATTTGTCACAGAATCTAAGTAGTTCTCTAATCTGTGGTTGGTTAGGTCCTGATAGATTTCCTGGTATAATATTATTGTTTGCTATTTTCCACCTGAGACTAGGCAAGTTGAAGTCACCTAGGAAAATAATATCAGGTATCGGGTTCTCCAAATTATCAAGGCTATTCTCTATTTTGCTTATCTGTTCTGTGAATTCCTCAGCCGTTGCATCTGGCGGTTTGTATATTAGTATAATCACTAAATTTATTTTCTCTATTTTTAATCCCAGTACCTCTACCACCTCATTTGTAACGTTTAGGAGCTCCGAGCATACAAGGTCTTCCCTAATATACAGACCCACTCCTCCATGTGACCTAATTTTCCTATCACACCTGTATAGGTTATATCCTGGAATCCAGATCTCACTGTCCAACAATTCCCCTGCATGGGTTTCTGTGAAAGCTCCAAATACTGCATTTGACTCCGTGAGGAGGCCATTTATGAACTGTACTTTGTTGTTTGTTCTTGTTTTCAGTCCTTGTATGTTGGCAAAGATGAATGAGGTTACTCTATTAGTGATAGTTTGAATGGGAGACTTTTTCGGCACGTCCATTAATCGTGGACATAATGAGTTTGTTCTGACCAGTACTGATTGTTGTAGGGCAGTTTTCTGTCGTAGTTGTAGTTCCCTTTCGGTGGGTAATTGTATCTGTAATTCTGGAATGCCAGTGGATCTGTCATCCAGTTCCATACACTCTCCATGCTGCTCCTTTTGAATTCTCTGCCGGTCTGGTATAAAAAATTTATAGAGTTTCCTCCAAATTCATTATCCTGCTTGCCACTCTTTATGTAGCGTTCCGTGCCTTTCACGTGAAAGTGTGGGCAGCTAAGGTCATAGCATTTTCTGTCCTCCAGTGAGGTTTGGCACATGTCAGGATGGAAAAACCTACATATTGATCCAAATCGACACTCACCTTTCCTAAGCATATTTAAACATTTTTTGGGATGTTGGTAACTGCATTCTAATCCTTTCTTATTACCAGCATATCTATGTCTGCATATGCCCTTTGCATAAAATTTGCATAAGTCTGTCCTTCTGTTCTGAATTGCTCTATCGAGAACCGTCGTGGTGTCTGTACCTATCGAGCTGTCAGGTACACTTTCTAGTTTAATGTCATCTACATCCTGGCCTACTGAGTCAGAGTTTGCAACTTCCTGAGTTTCAGCCTCAGTTTCATCCCTGACTATATCCTCCGCCCCTTGTATATTAGAATTGTTGTTCCTTTCCCACTCCTTCTGGATGGCTGGTAGGCTTCCAATGAATGATGTTTTCCGTTCATGCGTCATGTTATCTAGAAGGTTTTTTAGGGCCATCTCTCAGTGCCGTAGTGTTACTCACTCCTGTACAAGCCGAATGGAATCTAGTCTTACAGATATAACATTCAATTCCCGTTACCTTCGTCTTTAAGAAGTTGTTACAGTGGCCACAAAAGAGTCGACTTTATTTATTTACTTATTTATATACAAGAAGGTACATTGGGTTGTACCCCCCCCCTCCCCGATGGTTCAGTCCCTGAGCCCATTATGTGCCTCTGTAACCCTTTCCACTTCCACCCACAAGATGGGTATGGGGTGCATAATAAATGAACTAAACTAAAAAAAAAAAAAACTTGAAGTTTCTCCAATGTAAATGTCTGAAGATGATGTCTCCAAGCCTGCATACAATAATACAAGTGTGG